TGGTCGTGTGGTGGGTAAGCTGTAAGGAGTCGGCGATGGTGGGTGACGACGAGTGACGGTCGAGGACGGTCGATAACAGTCAGTAACGGTCGACCACGGTCGGTGACGGTAAGTAACGGTCGGTAACGGTCAGTAAAAGTCGGTCAGTTGAGTTTCGCCACCACGCCGAGTCCTCAAGCTCCTTGGGCATGTTCGCATCACTAGCCTTCAGTGCACGATAGATGTCAATGGAGTACCTATCTTGTTCGGGCGTGATGAACACATGTGCCCTTGTTGCCTGCGCGCCTGGTACGACCTGCACGGTGGACATCATCCTCCATGTGATTCGGCACGTCGTAGTTTATACCCAATTTCAGCTGCTTGACGTCCAGACCATACGCAGCCACAGACGTCGCAATGACGATGGGCACGAGACCGGACTTGAAGTCAGTGATGGTCGAGTCACGGTCGACCTGGTCCTTGCCACCGTGCAGGGACATGCACAGGTAGCCCACCCTGAGCCATGAAGAGCGACCTGCCAAATGCGTTCAATAGCTTAGCCGCCAGCGAGCGCGCACAGAGACCCGGGGATGTGTCGCGCTCAAGACAGTGACAGCGCCAACGAGGATGTCAGGCCCCGTGACGCTCCTGGGGGGCTATGTCGGCGCTTCAATAGCTGGACGTACGGGAAGGGCGAACGTCTGGACGTCCGCCGATGGGGCCATTCGGGACGGAGCTCTTCGCCCAAGGGACCTGTCGCGTCGATCGTATAGCTTGAGGAAGTAGTGCGAGCTTCCGGTCTGAGACTCCCGGTTCCCTGAGTCGTTGGAGGCGAGGACCCTCGCGTCGAGTTGGAGCACGTCTCAGCGATGAGCCGTGATCGGCGGTTCCATTCCGGCGTTGCCATGCACTTGGACTCCAACCCTGAGATGTACGGGAAGGGGCGGCCATCTCATCGCGTGAGAGATGAAGAAGGGTGCAGAAATCATCGTCTGTACGCCTGGCCGCATGATCGGTTTGTTGACTGCCAACTCGAGCCGTGTCACTAACCTCAAGCGTGTTGCGTACCTCGTCCTCGACGAAGCCGACCGGATGTTCGACATGGGCTTCGAACCTCAGGTCATGAAGATCGTCAGCAACATCCGTCCCGACCGGCAGACCGTCCTCTTCTCCGCGACCTTCCCGAAGCAGATGGATTCGTTGGCAGGCAGGATCCTGTGGAAGCCGCTCGAGATCACGGTCGGTGGCCGGTCTGTTGTTGCTCCCGAGATCGATCAGGTCGTTGAGATCAGGGACGAAGACTCCAAGTTCAACCGGCTTTTGGATATTCTTGGGCAGACGTACAACGAGGACCCCGAATCGCGGACACTCATTTCGTTAACTGCCAGGAGGCCGCCGGTAACCTCCTGCGCGAGCTCATGCGCAAAGTGACTGCCTCAACGGAGTCGGAGCGCGCAGAAGGATAGCATAGCACCCTTCGGCTCCGCGATCCGCACGCCACATACAGCGAGATAGAGTGAAAGATGCGTCGTACGCGTCTGGCGGGAGCGCAGCGAGACTTTTGCAACGCCTGCGCAGACGCATTTACAACCAGAATGCCGCGACAACGACCGCGACAACCAGAATGCCGCGAGACTGAGCGAGCGTACGATGGTGGAGAGTACGCAGGCGAGCTAACGAAAATCATGAGTCAGTGTGAAGATATCTGAAGAGTGAGCACGGGAACTGGCATACCTAGACAGCCATAGACTCCATTGTCGACTCCATACTGACGCGCACATTCACGCTTTTGATATGCACCAGACAATTTCCCACATAACATTGACGATCCCTGCGGACGAGGTCAGCGGCAGTTGAGAGTGATATGCGGCGAATGTGTAGCATACCGATGAGTTTCAAGCTGTCTTATGCGGACGTGTTCTTGGCACGCGTGGGGTTCGTATTCGACTCGGACACGACGAGTATACGAGTGGCTGTGAGCCAGCGCATGAGTCGCGGAGACGTGCGGGACTGTCTGAATAGCATGTCGAAGCTCGCGCGGCTGCCGATTCCGACGACGGAGTACAGGTTGTGGATAGCTCGGGGATACCACACAGCACAGGGCGCTCGGACGATCGTCCTCATCTTCCCGCACGTCCGGTGGGGGGGTCACCGACAGAGCTAGGACTGTCGTGGGGCTTCAAGTCCTCGTTGGCGCTGCGGTGATTATGAGTGCAGACCAACGCCCGATCTCGATGCGTGCGAACTGGCGGCTTCGGACAGCGGAGAGGATGCTACGAGCTACTCTACACACTCGGGCGATCACTCTTGGTGGTTCAGGGTACAGAGGAGCGTGATTTCGGAGTGCTGCAATGCAACGTTAGACGTTAGGCCGACGCAATGATCTAAAATAGTTACTTACCTGCGTCCAAAGGTCCGGTAGTCCAATATGAAGGGTTTCGGCCATATTCCAGGCGGTATCTGAGTGTCGGTGCAAGGAAGATCTCGCTGCGTCGAGAGAGTTGAGACGACGCGCCGAGAGGATGTGGCTGCCATTCAGTGAAGTGTCAGATATACCGTCGGATGCAAGCAATGACGCACTCTGGCAAGCACTGACCTCCCAACAATGGCCAGGATTGTCTGCGCATATCGCCCTCATCGACCTAAAGTCGAGAAACGTGGATCTAGAGCTGATGTTCCAATGGTGCAGGCCTGTCGGAACGACGTGCGTCATGATCATCTGGAGGAGCGCAAGGCATCAGGGATGGACGAGCAGGAAATCCAAAGCATGTGTGACACCACTGGATCAGATTCAGCAATGTGACGAACCGGAAAGCAGCAGGGTTCAAATAAAGTGGGAGCGCACATAAATAGAATCCGTACGCCTCAAAAGTCACGCGTCACACACTGCACGGCCGAAGGGGAGAAGCAGCGCGTGCGGATGCCTCTGTTTACGGCGAGGTTGGCAAGATGCGATCAGCTCGAGCGTGGTCGAGTAAGGGCGTGTCGGGCAGAAACAGTGTACGACACCGCTCGGACAGTATGCTGAAGCTGGTGTGGCCGAGAACCACTTTGTGTTGAGGTCTACACATGCACGGCGTAAGGGGCAAAAGAAAATCAATGCCGTGGCAGCCGTACTGACCAACATCGGGGCCGCTTGCCATCCCGTCGAACATGAACTCGGAGGTCTCCAGCAGTATCGTCGACGAGACCACTGACGGCATGATAGGAAGATACAGCTCCTCTTGTCGTAGTTTCCGTCGCATTGCAGCGTTAATATCGACCGTTGAAGGACAAGATAACGCTAATAACGAACGCGTCAGTCGCTCAAGCGCGACGGACTGCAACAGATGTGCAGACGCGAACCTGGGTCCCCAACGTCATGTAGGCTGCATTTGCTACCCGCATGGACATAGCGCAAGTGCTGCAGGTCACTAAGTGAGTCGATGGGAGCAGCGGGAGCAGCGGAGACCTGGAACGAAGCGGAGGTCGGCGGTCGCGTTGGTCGAGGAGGAGGAGGAGGAGGAGGAGGAGGAGGAGGAGGAGGAGGGATCCATTTAGCCATCGATAGCCACAGGCGCCGTCGGCGTCTTGACGATGACAGCGCTGGATCCTTGCTCGCCGGCACGGCCTCTTTGGACTCGCTCCCCGAGGAGAACAGCGCAGCCGGATCTACCTCGTCCCTGGTCACACCCACCGTCATAAGGAATGTCATGCGAGCCCCGGTTTGTTGGCATTCGAGGCTTGCAGACGCGCAGCGCGTGGGCCGTCTACATACGCCGTGGTTCGGGCCTTCCGTCGGAACCTTATATCCATACATAGAAGATGACGCATCGGACTCGCCGTCGCGCAGAGGGCGGGCGCGTGGTTGCACGACCTCACAATCATCCTCCCGTCGCCCATGATAATGTTGAACGTTGACAGGGAACAATGTCGCACATAATGCCGATTAGCAACGTGGTCAATCCCTATTGTCTCGTCTGAGCGACCTGGAAGCACAATGCGATGTAGAGGTCGAACGGCGCCCGAGGCGAGGAGGTATAAGAGCTACTGTGTGTGCTCACTATGCCAACGTCCCCGTTTACTGCAGAGATTGAAGATGCTCTCCTTGGTCCTTGTCTTCGCTATCGTCAAGTATGGTCTAGCTGCACTCCCGCAGGGTCCCCCAGTCCCCAAGTGAGTATTATCGTCGGTGCAGCTCAACGTCCTGGACTGAGCGGTACTTCGCTTCACAACAGCGACGTGATCATCTGCTTTGCAGGCGAGACGGATGACTATAGGAAGATCGCCCCTCAGTTCGACCAGGGCGATCCTGCAATCGATGCTGGCGCTGGAGTGCCACTGCGTGCCACTGTGCTGATTGTGCGTCTCCCTTGCGGAAAGTGTGAGTCTTTCGTTATGAACGTAAAATCAGGTCTAGAGAGGTCTAACAATGGCTTTTCAGATGCTATTCTGTCCTCGTCGCTCCCGGGACCCGCTGCTCCTGTGTGTATGGTCCTGTCAAAGAACACGGCAACCATCGTTTCAAAGGTGAAGTCTCCTCAGTACATAGCTGACTGCCTTCTGACTTCTGTTCTCGACAGCGGACGTTGACAGTACGCTGGTCCCATGCCCACGACTTGTACCAAGCACAACTCTGTGACACTCAAGATCTTCGGGCGTTTGTCCGATGTTTCCGAGAGAACAGTGTCGACGCTCCTAGCGATGCCGACATCAAGGACGATGCCTACATTGAGGAGGAAATCGCTGAAGACCTTGATGTCATCTCTAGCAACTACGAGGCTTGCCTCGAGTATGGCGCCTTCGCAGACGACGAGTGGACATGGCGTGACGTTCGAGCAGCCTGCTGGATACTCTACGTGATCTATGTGGCTCTGCACATTACATGCGCGATGCGCAAACTCGCTCCCACGGAGGAGCGTGCAAGTGTAGCCTAGATCTACTTCTTGATTTTCTCGCAGTAGTGTCGATGATACCAACCATGTAGTATGCACCCCTTATTCTATGTCTTCTCTTTCTCCGTCCATCCAGCGTCTCAGGCGCAGTGTCGTAACATTCCCTGTTGTGACGTGCACCCTGGCACTATATCTTGAGCAAGCGCACGGAGCCGAATGAAAGGCACACAATAGTACAGCAATGGTTTCTCAGGGTGTCGGTCCTTGGACGGTCTGAACTGTACACGTTGTGGAGCAGAAGAAGCCGACGAAGCAGTTGGATATAGCAGTGCCAAATTTGAAGTGGTACAAACAACTCGCGAGGAACGTCACTCCATTTCAGATTCAGATACATGCGTGGGTCGACTTCCATGGCGGAACGAGCGAGGTGGCGATGTGTGAGGCCTCGAACACTCACGAGGGGTCCGCCGAGGTGCCCGTCGAGCAGAACAGGTCCCGCGCGCAACGGAGACGGACGATCCCCGTCTCCAGACGAGAGATGGAGCTCGTCGAACGGATCCGGCGCGAGGAGGATGATGAACGCGGTTAGTGGGCTAGCCCGGAGACCGCGTGGAAAGCCCGACGAAGCGTTTCTAAAGGGATTGGCGACCAGACGAGTCAGCGGAACGGATCTCTATGTACAAGCCCGGGGGCGACGAAGCTGGCCATGGGCGGAGGACGCGCGAGAAAGAGAGAGAAACGGAGGTGAATGTATTCGAGTAATCATTCAGCCTGTGTGCAAGTCACACCGGTAGGCGCGTGTGTGAGCGAGTGGGTGGGCAGACACGTCGCGTCCGAGCACGGCCCGTGCGCATGTATACGGCGAGCTTGCCCTGCCACTCCGAGTCGATTTGCATGTCCGCCGCACCGGCGTGACGATCCTCCTGCGCATCGGCGGGCTTTCCGACCGACTCCACGCAGCTCTTGCCCCGAGGGCCCTGCGGACCACCACGCAGCTTCCGGTCGGCGGGGTACCGTGACAACATTGCCATCACGACCAGCTCCACGGTGACGGCACCGAGCAGAAGCCAGACAGTGGAGTGCTGGCCCACATAGACACAACGGGTTTACGTGCCTGAGTGGGCACCTTCAGCCAGTCAACAGCAGCGATGCCGATGGTGGACCCCGAGCTGGAGCACGCCGACGAGGTCGAGCGAGCGCCAGCGCTGGCAGGGAGTCCTCGAGGTCATGGATGGCCGATAAGAGAGCAGAGTTGTTGACGGAGTCGAGGGATTATGCAAGGCAGAAGACGAGAAGAACGTAGCGGCGAGCGGTCGAGTACTTTTGGGCGACACAGCCGTCAACAGGCGAGGCAGAAGGCTGGTGAGCATGTGAGTGAGAGTGTGGGAGTGGGAGCGAGAGGATGGGCCCGCAAGTGGGAAGGGGTAAGGGAGAGCAGGCGAGATCGCGGACAAGCGACAAGCCCAGGTCACGAGCAATGAGCTGTGCGTGATGAGCTACAAGTGACGCGTGATGAGCGACGAGCGACAGGCAATGGACGACGATCGACAAGACACAAATATCGAGAATGAGGGGCGAGCAGCGGGACGACGGACAAGGAAAGAGGGACGACGGACAAGGAAAGAGAGACGAAGGACGAACAATGATAGACGACCGACGAGGGTAGAAGGACGACAGGCGACGGGCGACGGGCGACGGGCGACGAGCGACGGATGGCGGACGGCGGACGAGCAACATCAGGCTCCCTTTTTCCTCGTCCATCTTCACCAGCACTGACGCGGGTGGGTCGAAGCGCGGGCTCGGAGCGGGGACGGACTAGACGAGCTGCCCGCCAGTGAGGGCACATTCATCCTCGCCTTCTCCCCACGTCCGCCCTGCGCGCCGCGGCTCGCCCGTTATCGGTGTCGACCTGAGTGTGCACGGTGCACTGGACGTCCTTTGGTGCGAGATGGCCTGGCCGGAGCTCCCTGAGCCGATCGCGCCGAAGCCCATGCTGCTGAAGTTCAGCGAGTGCGAGGCGGACGCGCGCCGGAAGCCGATCTTGTAGTTCTGCCCGCTCTTGTTGTCCCACCACTCGCCGCTAATACCGGGGGAGTAGCACACGACAAGGTACAGCGTGCGCTCAGTGAGCTTGTGCTCGTAGTCCTCTAACCGTCGTCCTGATCAGCTTACGCAAAGACGAAGTCGTAGGTAGAGACGTACCTTGGGCAGTCACATGTACTTGAACGGCGGCGTTGCCCACACAGAACGCTGTGAGGCGACTGCCTAGGACTTCTTCCGACAAGACGCTGAATCAGAAGCTATACCTTGTAGGCCGGCGAGCTGAGCAACGAGAAAGCGAGGACAAGTGACCGCGCAGGCAGGTGAGCTAGCAATAGAGCGACGTGGGCAGCAAGAGCGGGCGGGCGTGTGCGAGCTAGTGAAAAGGCGAGCGCAAGCGGGCAAGAACAGGCAGCGCGAGGAGGAGGCTCGCGCCCTTGAGGTATACGCGATACCTGTCGTCGTCCAGCTTGAGGCCTCGGCCTCAGGCCTCAGGAATGAGCGAGCTCCGGACGGCGGCCAAAGAGCGGCACATTGACGCTCGTCCGCCCGTGGCGGTGTAAGTAACCGTCTGATAGACGGTTATCTCCGTGACGGTCGTAACGGTGTAACGCTCCGTCTCCGTCGTTGTTGAGTCCGTCGTGGCCCGGGCGAAGTACGTGGATGTCTCTGTACTGACAGCAGGGAACGAGGCCGCCGCGTTCGAATAGGCCCAAGAGGTCGTGGCAGAAGCTGTCGTGACAGGGGAAGTGGGCGCCGTTGAGGGCGTGCTCGGTAGTGAGTGGGGCGCTACACGCAGTACTTAACTGAGTAAGTACATTGTCTGCTCGCCGTGCGCCTCTGACCGTTTGCGTTCCGAGGTGCTGATCCGATCCATCACCAGAGAACCCCTCGCACCCCTTGGTGCGCCCTGGATGTACGGGCAGCGCGGGCGCATTGCGCTGCATATGCCCTGCCCGTGCACACTGGGCTTTGTGTGTCGGTACATAGGGCGATGTGCCCCGGACGTGGTCCATGGACGACGCGCTCCGGGGGTACTGCCCCGCCATCTCCGTCGAGTCAATCACAAGGGCGTTTTCGACCACCGTCACGGAAGAGCCGCCTCCGTGAACACCAAGGAAATTAGGGGCTTCTCATTCGTCGATCGCCTGTTGAAGAGAGCACTGGCAAGAGTGGCCGCGAGAGAAGTGCGTACAGTGGAGGCGTACCTTCGAAGTTCGAGCTTTCACGCCCGTTCTGTCAGTTCACACTATACCCTTCCCTCTCCTTTTCGCTGCATTCTCCTCTCGCCCTCTCAATGCCCTCGTCGTCCTTGCCCTGCGTCCCTCGCGGTTCATGCAGTCGTCTCGCCCGGCGCGAGCGTCTTGATGTTCAGCGACTCGGAACCGGCTGGCAGAGAACTGCAGGTAGATGAACAGCGGCGCGCGTGGTCAGTAAGATGACTGAGCGAACAGGCAAGGAGGCGGACGGCGGACGAGAAAGGAGACGGGCGGGAGGCGTGAAAGAAGTGGGCGAGTGCACTGCAAGTGCGAAGCGCTCAATTCGGCAAATGCCGATTGCAGCCACAAGTTCTCGTTGCTCTAAAGTCATCCTAGACATCCTAGACTCTGAGGTCTTTCCGTCGCGTCCGCTAATTTCTGCCTCCTCTACTCCATCTGTCACTAGATCTGTCATGCCCTCGACTGACTGCTGCGGATCTCTAGGAGACACACAGATGGCCTCGTCCGCACGAGACGCCCCATGCAGCACGCAACCGCGACGCGCCTCAGTGATGCACCAAGAGCGTCGCGAGAGGCCTACATAGGATGGTCATGCAGGGATGGAAGCAGGTCGTGGGGCCAACAAACCAGGTGAGCGATTTGCTTGTCATCTCAGCCTCTCGAAGACAGCCCGGACACATCAGCTTGACCGGCCCATTGCACGCACGACGCACGACACGTATGAACCCAACCAATTAACAAGGCCAAGCACGGCAAATACTGAGGCGTGCGTGAGTCTACTACGCTGTCAATTGAATTCTTCGTCGTGTCTGACACGTTGGTGATCATCGCGCGCACGAAGTGTGTGCTCTACCTCGAGGACGACGACATTGTGCACATCGCCGAGGGCGAGCTGCACATCCACCGGCTGCGGGGCACGAACAAGGAGGGCGTGCGGGCGATGGTGTCGCCAACGTCGTCGACTCGCCAAATGTAGCGTGAGACGCGCTGTAGTGTGTAGTTCTCCGAATTGCTCAGAACCGCATCCGAAGCTGACAACTCAAATGGCAAATCCGACAGTCAAACCACAGAATGTGCGCGGGATTGCGCGAGGTCCAGGGATGTTCTCGACGCAGCTGTCAGGGATTGAATCAATGACTGCGCTCTCGACCGTGCGGACTCCGAGCGCGAGGTGGCCGAGTTCGCGCGCGAGCGGGCCTCCGGCGCGCAGACACCGCCCACGAACGCGCGCGCAGGCGGGCGAGCGACGACCGGGCGACGACACATGCACGGCGACCGCAAGCGCACAGGGCGAATGCCCAGCGCGCAAGCGCGGCCGACGAACAGGCCCCGCACGTGAGCGAAGACGGGAGACAGCGCGGGCTCCCGAGCTGGCGTTTGTGTGGGAGCCTGAGGGTGGGAATGGGAGGAAGGAGCCGCTACGGGTATGGTATTAGGATGGCGGATGGCGGAGGGCGGAACTTGACTGCACTCGAATCGACATAGCAGACAGGCTCGGTATGCTGTGTATCATTAGTAGCACTGCACATCAAATGAACAATCCTTCCATCACTGACTTGGATCTTCGTGTTGAAGCGATAGCTCTCGCGACTTGCGGCGCCGTCCACGGGGTCAGCGAACTTGGTCGGAGACCTCACCGGCATAGTCCATGACCATAGGCACTACCTACAGCCAAAACTGCCGTTTCCTGATGTGTGCGCATTGAGTCGGCGTGCACGGTGCCCATTTCCGGAATGCACACTCCGAAGGCAGACACCGTGCACGCCGCACATGATGGCGAGCTCATAAAGTGCACATAACGCCGTCACCTCCTTGACCGATGCGATGCACGTGCACGCCCGTTGAGAGATTTAAGGTGTCGGAGAGAAGACGTGCGTGCGACAACAAACACCACACAACACGCGTTCGTCCTTGATGCAGGGAGGTCGAGTAGTCGGGATGGACATAGGGCTCGGTGAGGACGGCGATAGTGGTGGTCTATGAACAGTAGCTAGGCCGTTGGAAACTAATGTTATACGTACCGTGCTCGAAACGCGTCTCTACTCGTGTTACTACTCGATTTATCTTGCACGCGCGAACCGTCTCATCGCGCAAATGTGCCGGGTCGGGATCGCGAGATGAGAGAACTGGAGAGATTCGATAGGAGAACGGGCGAAGCGGCGCAGTACAAATACACACGCGAGATTTAGAAGCACAGCAGAGCGAGAGAATGAAACAAAAAATAGTAGAAGCCGAGCAAGGGAGACATCGGCGAGTTTGAGATGGTTTGAAAGAAACGTGACGCGTGAAAGACGAGAGAGCGAGTGATAGATCAGGAAGTCATGATACCGTAAGCATAAGGAAAATTTCGTACAGCTACAAATGGACAACCTTCTGGGAGACAGACGTCCCTTGAATCCCCTTCTGGCTCCGAACGGTGGACCATAGTCTCCGCGCGAGGCGGCAGCTCGCCAACGGTGCTGTTTGCGATCACGACCTGGGCCCCCAGCTCGTCTCGTCCTACGATGAGTCTGCGTCCCCGCCCTCCGGTTCGTCGCGAACGCACTGGCAGAGTCGAGAGTACCGTAGGGAGTCGTATTGTAAGAGTCTGAAAAGAAGTGCATTCAGCGAGACAGAGAAACGAGCGAGAAAAGAAAAGAAAACGGTATGTAATGGCAACGATGATAAGAGGCGCCGAGTCTGACGTGCGACAGATTTACCCTTCCACAATGGTGGCTACAATTCGAAATCGACATCGTCATTATCCACAAAACCTTCCATGAAACCTTCAACTTCGAACGGCCTAGCAGACAGCAGAAGCCTCGGACCGCACCATACTATGGCGGTAGTGGCGACGACTATGAAGACCATCACAGTCACTGGCGTTGGCGGTAGACTGCTGGGTGTGAGTTGCAGAACGAGCTCTGACTAGTGTACTCACTGAAACGCAGCGTCAAGCTTGATGGGATGATTGTGTCCATCTGGCATCAATGCATCCCCTACAGTATCGCAGAGATAGTCAAAGACAGTGGCGGACGCAGCACCGAGCTTGTGGAGATGATTGTGTCCATTTGACATTGCTTCTGCAAAATTGCGGAGATAGCCAAAGACGGTGGCGGACAGGGCGCCGAGCTTGTTGGGGTGAATGTGTCCGTCTGGCATTGCGTCTCCTATGAGATTGCGGAGATAGCAAAAGACGGTGGCGAACGCGGCGCCGAGCTTGTTGGGGTGAATGTGTCCGTCTGGCATTGCGTCTCCTATGAGATTGCGGAGATAGCAAAAGACGGTGGCGAACGCGGCGCCGAGCTTGTTGGGGTGAATGTGTCCGTCTGGCATTGCGTCTCCTATGAGATTGCGGAGATAGCCAAAGACGGTGGTAGACGCGGTGGAGACGACCAGAGATCCTTGTTGAACAAATGCATACGATGCACGTGCTAAAAATATCATAGCTCCGGCATGAGCATCGCCAGCTGCAAGCGATTGTTCGACGTCGGTGTCGTTGCTTAATTCGATGTCACCCGTTGTAACCGCAAGCGATTGTTCGCAGTCGTTGTCGCTGCTCAACTCGATGCGACCCGCTGCACGTGATTCGCAAGACTCAGAGAGGGTAGAGATCGCTCCAGCCCGATGGCTCTGCCGCGCACTGACCCAGTCACGGACGTCGCGGATGGACCTGGTTGTGGCCCAAAAGCTATTTTGCAACTGCAGAAGCTTTTTGGGCTCCTTCCAAGGAAGGTGAGATTCATGTAGCGGGCAGAGCCATAGCGACACGTCCGCCAGGAGTGCGTCCAAGTCAGATATCAACGCACACACATCGGTGCATACTTGGTCGCGAAGGCGCGTCCCATGTTCTGATAAGTATCGTAGTGAGCCAGGCCCATCAGGAGATGCAGTTAATTAAGGCACTCACTGTTGTTTTGTGAGGGACAAGAAATGCCTTTATGTGACACTTCGTGGCACTGCAAGAACTGATCTGCGAGGCTAACCCTGATGGTTTGGAACCTAGTAACATCCTGCTCGTGACGTTTGTGCTATTCAATTGATACTTCCACCTACCTAGCCCCTTCCACGCGCAAACTAGTGCCGCCCACAATGGACTTGACGCCCTCCGCTATATCGGTACTTGCCAAGGACACTTCGTCGCCTGTCTTTTCGCTATGTACGAGGTGATCGTTCTGAGGTTGATGGGAGCGTCAGTCTGTAGTGGTAACAATGCTGTGTCAAGGGAACATACCGGCGCTACGTCATGAGAGCCTTTGTCTTCGCCAGAATGGCCTGGTAACGCTGTCTCGATGCGTTCGTCGATATACGTAAATATCTCTGCACGTACACACCCCGTAGATGTGTCGGCGCAAAAGACCTCATCCAATGTCGACTCAATCATGTCGTTGAGCATCGTCGAAATCATGTCGGCAAGGTTGTGCTTGAGATCCCAATCCTGAGGATGGTGTGTTTCGCAAACAGGATTGATACTAGCCGAACGAACATGAGCGACCGCGTTCGAAAGGAGCAGAACAAGAAGGCGTTCGGCGATAGCGATCTGGCAAGAGGTTTGCATGGTCATGACTGCACGAGAGAGGACTTGAACTGGCAGTGGCGAGGCATATACGCGTGCCATGAGGGCTTGGACGCATAATGTAACAGTACTCCGCCTTTGGCAGTGTGCACGTGTTAGCGTTCTGATTTAACCAACAGTCAGTGCCTTCAGTACTCAGTGGTAGGGTTATCTACTTCTCACCCACGGCGCCGCTCTATTGCCAGGAGCAGACGTTATATCGGTGCGGATGGCTTCCGAGCACGAAGACGACCCTCCTGCCTCAACTAGGTGGACGGTTACCTTCCCGGTGTCAAGCGGCCGCCTGAGCCACTGCGTATTACCTGTGTTCGGAGTGGCATCAAAGAACCAGAGCTCCATCATAACACTGCGTCGCCGTTTTCGAGCCTCGACACATGTAAGTCCCATCACTCACCTCAGCAGTGATACCAGCCGTTGCTCAGAGTGAATACGTTTTAGACAAAGCCTTCCTCTTCGGCAACCTTGGATTACGTCCCCTTAACGGCCGAGACAGCCGGAGGGCATGGCACAGGGACGTCGAAACAGCATTCACTAGCTATAGGAAGACGCGACCAATCAGTGCCTAAGAGCGCTTCACCGGGCCCAGGGCTGGACGAGCTTGAACAAGTAAGAGGTGTTTCAAATCTGTCCGGATCTTCTTTGCTTATGCATTGAGACAGAGACTTGACGTTGCACAACGGGGCCCAAGTGTTTCATCACGCTGTGAGCAAGAAGGAGCCCCTCAGTTGCCGTTGCGGCCGGATGTCCAGGACGACGCGATACGCGACGGTGACAAGACACGTATTCCCCTACGAGCATTCGACCGCGAATCGCCAATTGATTCCCTCCCTTCTGTTCCTCATGGCAAGGCTAAGCCCATTGGTCGAGAAGCACCAGACGCCACTTCCAAGAGTTCCGAAGGAGGTCGAAAGCACGCACTGAGGCATGTCGGACTTCCCGCCGAAGCTGATTATGACCGTGATGCACCTGTACGTGTTCATGGCACACGGTTTGTCCCACCTGACCATCGTTGGGTTGTATTACAACAGCCCGCTATCCCGCAAAAGCGCAAGATTAGAAAAGCGGACGAGTATTGCCGGTGGTATGCGAGCTCAGGCGCCGAGGTCATTGAAGGCTCTTCGCCTCCTCAGCTGCACACCGACTTGGAGCTTGGGACACTGTACGTTCACCATACCGGCTCCAAGCCGCGCGGTGCTGTACAGGTCTGGATGTGGGATCACGGCCAGGATGGCTCGCAAGGTTGGCAAAGAGTCAGGCTCCCTGATCTCCCTCACCACCCGACTTTGACGGAATATACATTAACGTTTTCATCCGACGGAACTCCGAACTGGATAGGACCAACCACGGCAAAGCGGTCACGAAAACTGCCCCGTATTTTGCCTTGACTCTGTTGTATTGTAGTGTGGCCTGTATGTATCCTTGATCATCACACATGTGATGCCCGAATCAGTACTGTCAAACGAGAATGTCTTGACAGTAGAAGCCTGAATGGCCAGTGGCAGTGAAAATCGGACATGCCTGGGCAGGCGTTGACAGCATGTTCTTGTTGCGAACTAACCAAAACGCGTTCTAACAGCGCGACCTAGTAGTCAACCTCCTAAACCGAACACGATCACCTGCATGACGATGAATGAGTTCAGGCCGAGTTCGTAGAAGGCAAACTAGTACGAGGCGTCAGGACCTTCGTCACAATGGTGCCGCACCGAAAACGGAGACGCACGTCGAGCGTGAATCATGAGTAACTCGTCCCGATCAAGACCTTTGAGCTCTTCCACCCCCCGAAATACCGCCTGATGTCCTCCTTCGTCGCCCTCTACGCGTTCAGGCGTCTCGAGACAGCTTCCAGATCGACTGTGTACTCCCCCTGGAGCGTGAGAACTCGTCATTGTCGCGCGCAGCCTTCTGAACGTTGCGCTGGATGTCAAGCCTGAAGCGCTGCGTCCCCGGGATGGCGAACCGGAAGTAGAGCGCGACGGCGGCGGGCACGCAGTCGAGCCTGATGGCGATCCGCCGCATGCGGTCGATGTCCTCGGGAAGCATGCGTCCGTTGAAGGCGAGGCTGGGTTTGTAGGCGTGCACGACGATACAGGACGGCCGTTGCAGCTGGGGCTTGCGTCAGCATCGGATAGTAGAGTAAAGTGTGATATACGTACCGAGCCCCGGTCGGCAAAGACTACTGTAATAACACGTCCACGGATGTGTGTTGGCGAGGACTCGAACGAGATGAGCGCGCTCAATGGGCAATCACCTCCAATTCCTATACCCATCTTCGTGACGGAATGGCTCGGCATGGGACACGATTATGGAGAAGAGTGATGCAGGAGAGGCGCCACGAAGGCGCGCGCCAGACGATCAACAACGCAAGCCGCGATGATTTGACCGGATGTTCCAATGATCATGATCATCAGCTCCAAACGGCTGTTCGTAAAAATAAAAATAAAACCCACACTGATCGTCGGTACTAGCCTTCAATTGGACCTACAATTCCCCTTGTGGTCCATGACGTCCCCGAGCCATCCGAAGAGCAGCTGACCGACTAAGATACCCATCAGCGTGGCGACCTTCGCGCCGAGCTACTGCATCGCGCTGGGCGAGTGGCGGGTCCAGCGACCGACACGTCCTGTTCTGTGAAGCGAGACAGTGACGTGAAGAATTTGCACCGTGACGGGACTATTGCATGATTTACATACCGTCGCCATGAGCGGAACCCAGCACAACAGTGTTAACGTTGAGAGCGAAGACGTCATAGCTAGTGTAATCACCCTCAGTGAGATGCACCGACGTGCTCAAGGTAGTCAGGAAAGAACATGCACATCGGTGCATTACCCTGCAACTGCACCAGATACGAACGCAGCCTTGATATGTATGGAACTATTTGAGAACCATTTCAATTAGCTGAACTATGGGAGCTGTGCAAACACGCTCACGAGAACCTAGCGTTGTCGATGTCAGCGAGGACAGCCGCCGTTCCTCGTTTAGACGGTGAACTGCGTTATCTTCGGCGCCGCCAACGACATGGCCATGTACATCATGGTCGAACCGCCTATGGAAGACCGTGACGGTGTGGTGTTTGGTAATGTCGCCACGTGCGCAGGGCCATGCCCAATTGGCGGATGGAGTTAAGTACACAGACTGCAGAAGTTTCAGGATCCGAGGGGCTGCGCAGATATAACAGAATGTGTCACGTACAGCTTTGTATCTCTATCGGTGTGATCGGCTCGAAGGGGCGGTACGGTCGGTCAATGAGGTATTACAGTGCTGGTCCTATCTGCTGCCCGACCTAGATGTGAGCTTGTGCCCGTCGCAGTGTCAATGGAACAAGAGGAGCGGGAAGAGATGCTGAGAACGTTGAGCGGCCTATAGTCGGAAACTGGATGGCATGTCGCCAGACCTATTTTCAGCAGGCACCAGGAAGAAGGAAGAGGTCGCCGCGCACAGACTCACGTGTGTGGCGCCGCGCGACTTGCGCTCGAACTGCAATGATATCCTGGTAACGCACACAACAAGACACACCCAAGCAACGATGGATATATCGAATGTGTCGGTAGTCATGTCACAGGTTCCTCTTCGCCAATGCGAAACCCCTGAGGACTGTATATATCTCGAAGTTGTAGCGACGGTGGTAAGCATTCATCGCCACAAACTAAGTATCGATGTTGAACCGATGGCTACAGGAGGGGAGACGCACACCCACAGGTCAGCTAGAATGGACTATAGACTACCTGGACGCCTCCGATCCCGCCAATACCCGTGATGATCAACATCCAGCGCTTGAGCTGGTATGTCGGAGACTGTCTCTGCTTCGATGTTTCTTACAAGATGTGGCAGCCTAGCTCATCGCAGACAATCGCAGGGATTGACCCTCGCCCCACAGAGTCTGCCACGTATCAGCATGGTGGCTATCCAGGACAGACAGCATCGCGTACTTCCCTCCGCCCACCATTTCTTGAGCACGCTCCCGGTCCTAATATCAGCAACATGGCTCGCTACAAGGAGTCCTTCAAGGAATGTGCGGAATACATCGAGGGCAGCATCGAGAGTGCGTCATACAGACGAGATCGTGAGGTTGTCACTGATTGCCAAGGTAGCTTGCTTGTCAACAGGGGAGGCACATTTTGCGGATGCGGAGCAGATTTTACTTGTTCGAGTTAATGAACAGGTGGAAGACCTCTCCACGAAACGGTTGACAATCTAGCTCATGTGAAAGAACAGATGGAATGGAAACTACGCTTCCTCGTTAACAAGACTGGTGCCGACGGGTCTATTAGGCGGATCATCCTACCATTTCTCGTGAATACAGGCGGTATCGGGTCCAGGCATCACGGGAACTTGGTGATGATTGGATCCCAAGGGCCGGAAGTGGATGATAACGACCAAAACACATCATCCCAATGGACAACACTCAACCGGCACTGAACGGTATACTTGCTGATGCGGCTGATAACCATTAGGCGACTCAGTACGAGTCGAAGATGAGCACAGTCACGACGGACACGGGAATCTGAACAGAGTAGTTATCCTGACAAACTTGCAATGTATGTTAACAACTCGATGTATTATGCGGCTTGATTGGGGGGAGGAAGAGGAGGCGCGAGAAGAGTCCATTTACTTAAGTATGAGGTGCGCGAACGTCTCCGGCTCATAGGTGAACAACAATCACGCGTCAAGTACCAAACAACAAACCCAACAAATCCTCATTGTACAGGCAGTCGATGAGCCGTGCGAGGGACATAGGGCTTGAGAGTGGGCCCTGTGTTAACGCAATGAGACCGACGGACGGTTGCTTGCGGTATGACTTGCAGTGCTAGTATCGATGACGCAGTTTGACCCTAATTCTCTGAAAGCGCGGGCGCGCGGACGACACGCCGTCCGAGTCGGCGCGAGCTTGATGCTACGTAGGTTGAGAGGCGGGAGGGACGTAGAACACGACAGTGAGCAAGCGAGCGGTGGAGAAGTTCGATAGAGACGGGCGGGGCTTAATATAGGTACACATGGCGCGAGGAGAGACGTTCTGGAGAAGCGAGTGGGTCATAAGGTAGAAGCCGACACAGAGACATTGACGAGAAGCAATTAGTTCGAAGAGAAACATGACAAGTGCTAGTGAGGGGCGACCGATTGTATGCGGCGCCCTATGGTCGGTCCGCATCGCCCTATTCCGGCTCGTCGCAGGTATGAGAACAAGCGAAACGGCGGTCGTGCCGCCCCATCCGTGAGCTCAACGCCACAGCTGTCGCACACTTCCACGAATGGCAAGCCAGTCTTGCCAGCGTGCTCTGCTGCCAATGTGCATGAATAGGGTCAGTGTACGATGCAACTGAAATTTGATGTCCACAGACCTATTCAGGCACGCGCCGGCAACATTGCCAGGGGAGGGCTCATGATGAAGCTTTTCAAGACATTGCCAACTTCCTTGCGGACGAAGAGTTGAATGGGCCAGAAACCTCTGAACTACGAGGCAATTGAATGAGGGATGCTACTAAGAAGGCAGGTTTGGTCAGGGTACTTACGGTGTATGCGGGTCGCACAATGTGGACCTCTCTGGCACCCTCAAATCGAGAAGGGTGTGCAGCTAAGTAGCCTGTGCGTCCGTCAGACATGGCTGACAAGGATGAAAGGAGTGGCTCTCACTGATGGCACTGGCGCTCACATTCTCCCAGAGCGTATCGCCATCGTCCTTCTCCTCGTCCATGGGAACATGCGCCGCCATCGTAGGGCTGCCGGTTATGACATCTCCGCCACCGCTAGCCTCGACATCACCCCGCGCATTCTCAGTGTCCCCATCCACACTGTCCTCGGCCACGCCACTTCGATCGTCGGAGAGTTGTGCCACGACTTCAGACAGTGGAATAAGGCACCCTTCGGCATCTTCTCGTGCCCGGCGGACTATGTCTTCATCTTCACCGTCCGGTCCTGGATCATCGAATGGCAGGGCCTTGAAGCCTTCAGTGATTTCGGTCCATATGATGAGATACGTTCGGCTGCCCTCCACCATAGTCCGGCGCTGTGTGCTCGTGAGATTTGCCAATGCATCAGAGTTCGCGAACCACTTACGATGGAACCGATGACCTCGAGATGACAGCCATCTTCAGATAAATCCGACGCGTCCACCATCTTAGTGTGCAGGACGACTCTCTCCGAACTCAAATCGAACTCGTGCCCGGTGGTTTCAGGACCAAGAAGGACGACTTGCGGAGCCATATTAGTTCAGTGGGCGAGTAAAGTGGGGATGAAAGGAAGTGAACGCACGGAAGATGCGCTACGGAGTGGTATATATGCAAGGCCTTGCATTGTCACGACAGACCAATGAACGTTAGGCACGGAATAATGGACTCGGAGGAGAGCCTCAGTTCGTAAAGATCACGTGCACAGTGGCCCGGGGGCACGTCTGTAATCTGCTGAAACTTGCTCGAGCTTGCCCCAATTATAATCCTACTGAAGTATACATCACGGTAGTGGGCTCAGTAGCCCTCCTGCTCGTTTACCCTCCCGGCTGCTCTCGCCGCTCGCCATCCCTGCCGCTTGCCGCGCCTCTCGTTCACTGTACGCGCCGCAGTTGTCGTGGACCTTAGAGGGACTGTCAGCGCCGCTATCCGTAAAGACGACACATGCATGCTCACCTCGTCGCCCTGAATGTTTCGGTAGCCACCGGACTTGCCGTCATTCGCACGCCCTTGGACGGCGACGATTCGGACACTGCCCGAGACTGTGTACACAGTGAGTCGGTCTACCCGTTGCTTGCCGCACGCCGCCGTGCCGAGATGCGGATTCGATCACTCACCAGAGAACGATTCGCGCCCTTTGCTGCATCCGTCGACCGTTGGACACGTCGTGTCCGCGTCGCAAGCCCGTCGCCGAGTCTGTCCACAAGCACGGCGGTGTTGAAGTTGTACTTGACGCGTATCCAAATCACCACCGTCTGGACGGATGTGGTTCGCGTCCGGCTCGCCGTTGGCTCTGACAACCTGTGACGGAGCATCTTCAACAGCGCCTAAGAACCGAGTCGACATACCACGGCAGGCCTCGTGCCTTCGTACGGCCCAGTCTCATTGACGGTGCAGCGTCATTGAGGGTAACTTGACCGTCAGCATACTGATCACCTGGACGCGCATATCTGCGCTCGCCCTCGAAGGTTGGTAGGCGAAGGCTTGCTGAGTCAGTCCGTCGCAATGGTAACATCGTTACGACGTTTACGAAGATTCGCCAGTCGTGGCGAGAACACCATGGAGTTGATGTTCAGCGTACGCATAAACTCGTTTGCTTATTTCGTGATGATGGCTCTTTGAGTCGAAGGGATCGATGCTGTCATTGAAGGGCGATGTATGGCCACGTCGACAAGTAGGCACGGCACGGTCGGAGGCGAGAGCGTAGGCCTCTCAGGCTTAGTGAACGATTGCAACACTGCTCTACCAGCGATCCCGGGCCAATAAGCATTGCATGTCCACAGATCCCGTGTATCGAACTTCGTAGCTAATAGGATCAAGAGCCCAAAATCAGTCCTATGACGACTCTGACAGGAGAAAAAAAACGAACCCTAACCAGAGCGACTCCACCGCCACGACACATGCTATGATCTCAAACGGCGAGAGAGCCTGACGTGCCCGCCGTCTTCTGCTTTCCAGGTGGGATACTGCGAGAAGCGGAGGTCGGTGATCATTTCAGTCGCGGGGAACTGTGGGGGACTGTCCGTGTGCGACTATTGCTCGCCGTTTGACTGCCGTGTGATCAGAGCCGCTAGACTACATTGACGGCGTTCGAAGACCACGATTGAGGTGACCGTCCTGGCCGAGGATTATCGTCCGAACCTTAAGTACGTAGGCCGGGCGTAAACTCCAGTGAACCCGATGCATGCAGAGTCGTTTGAGGGCGCGCGTGTTCCAGGGTTATGTCTTCGCCACGCGCGCAGCCCGAAGAGAAGCTGAGTATCCCCGAGGTCAGTGAGCTTAAGGTGACCGCACTCGTCGATGGACCAATATAAACAGATTTGACGTCACTGTGGCAGCAAGAAGAGTTAGTCAATTGAACAATGGCAGACACAGACGCTACGTACCGATGTACAGTACCAAGCCGGTATAAACGTTCCACGTCAAGAACTGCCTCGGCGACGTAGTTGCATGCCCGTTCTTTGAGTAGAAATCCGAGCGACCGGGTAGCGCGGCGCCGTTGCCGCTGTTGACTGCACCATAACGAGACAGAGGTTCTCCTTGCCCTGAAAGGCCAAGCAGCGCTTGACGACAAACGACGACTGGTCCTGCTCCATGAGGTCATACGCCCCGCCTTGACGTTCACGACCTGGTCCTTCACAATCGTCCGTCTTGGTCGCGAAGTAGCCGCTAGCAGGGTTATGTGCCACGAGGAAGACAAAAGTCGAAAGCGCCTTCGCTGATGGGCTTCATGATCTCGAAGTCCATGACTGACGCGGGCGTCACCCTGGAATATGACGCGGCGGAAGGAAAGCCGGGCGATCATGTATCACGGGGTGTCTGACACCGAATTTGTCGGGGTGAGACTGGGTCGCGCTGCAGCTGAAATGTCGGCGTTCGTCGCGTCCGCAACCGCCAGAGGTGATGAACAAGCGGGACTCACGATCGCTAGAGAGGACCGTAGCCAAACCACGCTTTGATGGACGTCGCTGAGATCCATGTGGGCGGCGTCAACTAGTGAGCAGCACTTCGTTGCAGATAGCGCTATACGGGTTGCTAATGCTGGAGGAGATCAAGCACAACACATTGCTTGGAGGTCACGCAGGAATAGGCGCGACAGGAGAGCAGAGACGAGTAGAAGCCTGAGTAGGATTGACACCTCGACCCGCATGATCGCCAGCGAACGGGGTCCGCGATATAGGCGTGATACGAGTGGGCTCCGTCCGAAGGCGTACCCGGAAGTATTGCCAATGTGGTTCGCGCGTGTCCGCCCTGCTGCTCGTACACGCTATCCCTCGCGGGTTGCGCGCCGTCCTCGTTCACGTCCTCCTCCGCAGCGTCCTCCATCTGCAGCTCGCGAAAGGATCCGGGCGAGGTTCTCCTCCCACTCGTGGCGGATATTCACCGAGTACTTCACCGTGTTCTGCGTACGCCCCACGATGTCAGCCCCCTGTCCTCGATCAGCCGCATGACTGCTGCCGGTAGAGGGCGAGGACAGCAGGCGGCAGACGTGGTGCCTTCCGCCGGGCTCTGCCGATTCCCCGTCTTTCAATGCGGGGATAAGAGCCGGACTTGCCTGGGTACACGGCACTGTGGTTTCTTCATCTTCACCGGTGCGCGGAGGAACTGCAGGGAGCGAAGACAATCCTGGTGAGGTAGCCGGAGGGAAGCACTTCGCATTGAACAGCCTGCCGAAGCCGCTAGACGGACGCGGGGTCACGTTGAAGGCGCCCGAGTCGGCGCAACAGATGATGGGGAGAGTGATGAGAACGGGGTAGAGGTATAGAGGTTGAGGTATGCTCTTGCAAGTTGACGGGTAAGTTGCAGGTGACTGCCATACGCCGAGAATGATACGCAGACTCAACCGTACAGCCTACGTGCAGCGTTTCCGATGAGGATGAGGATCGCGATAGCTTCTTGCCGGGTGGTCATGGACGGAAACGCTGCGGGTCGAGCTCACGCAGCGCGAGAGTCTGTTCTGCGTGTTCATCGGCGACCCGAGGAGCGTATCCGACGACTCAGTAGCTGCGCGGGCGTGAGTCTAGACAAGGATCACTGCTACTGGCCGCGCTCTGCTGACGCCGGCGGATCCGTAAGGAGCTCGGGTGCGAGAGTGGGTGCGGGGATTACAGTCGCAAGTGCGAGAGACGTATGCGGCCATTTCCGTCGTTGATCAGGGATGGCCGTACAGAGGCAACTTTGTCCTCGTTGGTATCAGCATCTACATCGCCCCCCCCCGACACTTCGTGGGTGATCCGGGGCTTTGTCCACGACCGATAGATCCGGGGCTGGCTGCCGACGTCGCCCACCGGCACATGCACGAGCGACAGCTGCCTCCGCACATGCTCCCCTGTGTACACGGAGGAAGAACAGACGCGCGCTCAGACACGTCGCAACGCGCTCACTAGTGGGTATAACTCACCTGAAATCCTGCACTCCAACGTTTTCGAGATTCTCCGGCTGTTGGATGCAGCGGAGCCCTTCTGAATAGCATGTCAGAATCCAAGGATCGTAGCCAATGAAGGAGTGCGTACGGGTCGATGCAGAGTCAACGTCGCTGGTTGAGCGTTGGAACGTTGAACGCACAAACGGTCCGGCCAACCGTCGCCTTCCGTCCGCTAGCGCCCATCTATACACCGCCAAACAGCACGTTCATCGTGAGCACAGATGAACATCCGTCTGGGCGACTCGGACGGTACCGGTCGTCCGTTGGATCTCCCTCCCGCTTTGTGAAACGGCCAACCAAATGTGGGCGCGAACTTGACGGCGCGATGCTGTTTCCATTCGCCACCGAAACCGAATCGCAGCAGCGTTGTCATCGCGATCCACGTTGAAAGGGTCGCGCCGGTTTCAGGCTGCTTCCATCGCTACCGTATACATCTGGCGAACAATACCGCTCCAGTTCGATGGACCACGCGGCAGCTAAGTATTGTATCCATATCGCGGACGTTCCGCGCTGAAGACTGTGTCGTTTGTTGCTCTAGACATATATAACCACGATGGATTCGACAGTTCCGCAGTTCGACAATCACTCTACATCCTTGCTGGGCTATGGACATGAACCAGAATCACCGCGACCGGTTCCGCAAGCGCGTGCCTTCTTATGGCGATCTGACGCAGCCTGGTTCGTTGGGCACTAGCAAGAGTGAGAAGTCGGTAAGTGCACTGTGTCTCACATTGTAAACGAGCGGCGCACTAATGCGATGGGTTGCCGACGAGCATCAGGTTGTTAGACGTGAGAAGACCACAAACATAGCGAATAATCCGCCTACGCGCGGCAAGAGCGTCTTCGATGTCCTGCGGAAAGATCCAGCGACGTTGCGGCATACCCTACCAGATAACTGTGAGGTTTTCTCGTTTACGCATGACTATCTTTCACTCATTCAGTACGCCCTACAAGTTCCGCTTGGCGGCGGTGAAGGTCTGGCGGGGTCCTATCCTGAGCAGCCAGACATCACGGATGAGGATCCCATGCTTGTGCGCGACGACGAGCCGCCGGTAGCACTCACAGGCCCGCTGCAGATCACGTCCCCACGGCGTACGGCGGATATTCTGCCGAACCGGATCGCCAGCCCGACAGTCATCGCTCAGGGTCCGGAGATATCAGCGGGGCTCGAGTGGCGAGCGGTCGAGCTCTGCCTGCCTTGTCCTCAAGCATTCGACCGGGACACTGTGCTTCAGGATTCCTCTGGATCGGTCCCGCCCGCGCTGAACGAGCTCGAGGCGGCAGACGTCGCGTACATTCACGGAGATGGCAGTGCCACCGCTACGCAACAAGTCGTTCCCGCGTCGGTTTCCACTGCGCCCTTCATCGTCGGTCTACAACTGCTTGTCAACTTCATAGTCGCGGCCGCATGGCTCACTGCTTCCGTCGCCAGGCAATGTGTCGTCACCCTCTTTATGAACGCTGCATCCGTTATTCTCGGTGCTTTCCTTATGCAAGCGCTGTGCCGAGGCGGGGCGCAGCTTCCGGAGAGCACGCGTGCACTCCTGCCTCGTACGCTCTGCACGAGAGCGCCCGCGTTCGACCCCAAGAGCCCAGAGCCGATCACCCTTGAGCGCGTCGCGATGGAAATGGATGCCCGACTGCTTCGCTCTGCCCACGATGACCTCGGTTACCGTGATTACGCTAGCTACTCCGCCGGTGCGAGGACCATCGAAGGGATGACATCTAAAACGTATGAAATGCCAGACGAACGAGGGCTGTTCGTCAGACTGTTTTCCCGCCCTGCAAAGACCCCGCACTCTGCCTCCACCGCCTTAAAGCGCGGCACTCAGCCCGGACATTGTTGGCCTATGGCTGGTTCGTCCGGGTTTATCGGGATACAACTTGCGGAACCCGTCCTGATCAAGAATGTTACTGTCGACCATGCACCGTCCTCGCTCACGCCTGCGCGCGAAGGCGACACGGCACCACGGTCAATCGTCGTCTGGGCCTTGATACCTATGTCTTCCGCAGTCACCACTGAGCCGCCGAAAATTCAATCGATCAACGTTCCGGTGCCTGAGGGCTTTCGTATCGTGGCTATTGCTCAGCTGGAGTATGACGTTTTCAAGCCGCAACATATCCAAACGTTCCCCGTTGACGCCGGCATGCAAGGCGTCAAGGTTGATCAGGTGGTGTTTCAAGTCCTGTCGAATTGGGGTTCAGTCGATTTCACTTGCTTGTATCGACTGAGAGTTCATGGCGAATCTCCGTAGTGTATGTGCTGACAGAATTGGATCATGACGTAGTTGACTCCGTCGAGCGTACGGTATATATCCTGGCTAATATACATTTCACCTTGATGCGAATTCGAGAGCGAGAAATTATGATATGAAACGTCGAACGCCACATCTGTGCGGATTGATTGCGCCGGCCACGGCACCATCCCGAGCGGAGAAGTGCTACCGCTGCAAACAGTGGCGGTCGACATGATCCAGTGCAACAATAGCACGGAGGTTATGCCAAAAGGGCTGTGACCGTGGCCTCACTAGTTAGTCCGTCGTCAGCCGAAAATCATGCGGCCAACAGACTTTTTCATACCTTGTCTAGCGGTAGGACGTGGACGCATTCAACGTCTGTGGTTGGCAAAATCCTTCTCATCAGCGCCGCATGACATATGATCTCTTCGGCCACCAGTGCGACTGGTTTGGGAAGGAACTCGGAGTAGAACAGCCGGCCACCAGCGATCGGGAAGTTTCTGTACGGATCACGCTCTTCGTGCTGTGAGGTGAGAGGCTTATACACGTCGACGATAAGCCATGTCGTCCATTGGTCAGAGTCGCCTGCGAGCGCTCCTTCTTGCTTGAATAGTTCACGTATGCAGCCAGCTTGCCAGTCTGCGTCGTCGTTCCTTCTGAAAACAACGATACTGTCGTGCTGAGCTGCCGCCATGGGCTTGTACCGAGCTCCCCGTAGCTCCATGACCTTGAGCGGAATTGCGCGGCGACTTGGCTGGTCTAGGCGCGTGCGCAGAGCATCGAAGACTTCCTGTGTCAGAGTGTACAGCTTATGTACCCTTCTTGTATCGTCTTCGTCTCCCTCGACGTTCTCGTTGGCCTCTGGGTTCAAGGACTCGGAGAGAATACTGTTAAGAGTTCCTCTGATGTCAGACTCGAATGTTTTTACGAATGTGGGTATGATGCCTCGAAGCATTTGGGGTAGCGCCAAGCGGGAGAAGAGCGCTCGTAAGTTTTGCCGGGTGCAGAAGCGGTTCAGCAGAGTGGCGGAAAGATCATCTACGACGAGAATTAAAATGTGAAGTTTGAAGCAGACATGTACATACCTATGCGGCTATTTGTCTTGATCCTTTGCAGAATGAAGTTGGCACGCTCAAAGACAAAGCACCAAATGGCGGGTGCAGGTCCCAAGGTCTCGAACACGGTTGCGAGATGCCCCAGGCACATATGCTGATACGGACTGACACTTGTCCCGGGGAAAAGCACCAGCAGCTGTTTGAGATACTGGTGCATGTTCGTCTGGATCTCCCATAAGCTCCGTGACGTCACCGACCTCGCCGTTGCAAGCTTGACAACGGTTACCAAATTCATGAAGTTATCTAATAGCTTTCTCTCTCTGCGATCACTCGGGAGGGACCCCCAGGCCCAACCCAGAGTAATGACGAGATTGACGGTGCAGAATGTTCGCCATTCGTCTGCAGAGAGCGAGCCTTGACCTGGAGCGCCCGCTTTGCCTGGTGCGCGCGAGACTTCAGACGGTAACACAATATCTCGCATCTCTGCCCAAACGAGGCGCAGGGTTTCTTGACCCAGGACTCGGGTGCGCACATTGCGGCCCGCCACCAGGCGTCCGTCGCCATCAGTGATTCCAGCCTTTGAACGCTAGATAGCAGCTCAGCTAGGCATGAACATCCAAAATGAATGTCTTACTTACCTCTGCCTCTAGTTTCAGGAGCGCTTCGCGCTTTGTCAGCCTTCCAGCTTCGGCTCTGGGTAGATGCAGCTTAGATACACATAGAGCAGCCAGGAGCGCTGCGCGCAAAGCCTTGAACTTGGTCTTCGACCCTCGCTGAAATGTATCTTCGGCAAGCACCAGGTCAGCCTCGCGAACGGCGATGCCGTACTGATCAACAGCGCCTGCGGGAAGGCTCGAATGCTTCGGGGGCTTCGCTACATCGAGCTTCTCGCGCTTTCCGCATCGTCAGCGCATGTCTTCAGCTCAAGAAAACAACAACGAACGTAATGATGAAGCTTGTTCAGCAATTGCTCTTTCTTCGCCGCGCTAAACTCTAGCGCATTTCCGCCCAGTCGTACCGTACATACTTGGACAAGCGTAGCGATGCGCAAACTGCGCAACTCGCTTTTGTTACCGTAGTCTAGGACGGCCATTGCATAATCGATTTCCCACTGCGTAGGAGGGCCTGACCCCCGAGCTAGTTCGGAAAGCTCATTCGGGGAGCCCAGAACACCATGTTCGGCTCTCTGAATTGTTGGTCAGTGTCTGCCTCTCAGAATGCATCCAATAGGTAACTCACATAACTATCCAGTTTTGCGCGGAGAGCACAGAGTTTGAGCTTGCTATACTCTGTGTCCTTCCCGCCAAAGGTATGGACACATGCCTTGACCAAGACAGGCAGCCCGTGAGTGGGCAAGGAAGGTGCGTTCTTGTAGCGCAGAACATTGAGAACTTCCTGTAATTGGAGGTCCTGCAATGCGGTCCACGTTGCAGTGGGTGCGTTCTGGAATCCGCTCTGTCGAGCAATGTTGGTTTGATCCACAGGCCATCCCATTGCTCTCCTCTGTGACTTGCGTGAGCGCATGGTCCGCGACGTGATAATGCGGTACATACATGTACAAAGAGGCGCGCATGCAACTTGCCCACCCGGCCAGAGAATGGGAGATTCAGCTCCTTGCACAAGATGCGCGATACTTCTTTCGGAAGACGTTCAATGTCCCGATCAGTTCCTGTCCGAGCCATGAGATGGGCTTCGCGCATCTGGTCGTCCGTGGGCGCATTCTTTGCGGGGTCGCCCGCACGGCCACTGAGCCCATCCTTGTACCTAGAATCCATCCCCCACACAATACTGCAATGACGATGTAACAACCCGAGCAGAAGAGCGTGCATTGGATCAATAGCTGTGAACTTTATAGGGTCCCAGTATGGTAGGCGCATGAGCTCGGACCAGCGAATGCCGTGTTCTTGATATATTCGGGCACGTTCGTCCGGGTCGTCACTAGTCTTCCAGCGTTCTGCCGCGTCCCTCTGCTGGGCACCTGTACGCAGCGTCCAAGTCCACCAGTCTAGATTGTCGATGTCTTCTAGCTTGAGAAAGCAATACGAACAGAAAAGGCTGGACCCGTGGCCAGAGAACCCGGCCATCTGTCTCGCTGCGAGCAAGTCGGAGACTAGTGGACAGATCATACATCGCGCCGTCCTCCCTGTCATGTGACATGGTGTGCTGGAGAAACGGATTCCTTGGAACCACGCGTCGAGAAAGTCATCCACGAGGGGGGACAACATCGGATTAATGGCTTCTTGCGATGGGTGGCTTGGACCCGGGATAATCCCGCATAGGTATAGATTCTCTTCTTTGTAGCGCAGGGACAGGGGAAGGTTGAGACAAGCGAGATAGATAGCCCCAACGGAGACAGAGGCATTGCTGCCCTTGCCGCTTGGTAGGAAACCGTCCATGCAAATGCTGAAGACGAATCGACCCTCAGTCGTATCACTTCGAATGAACTTCTCTCCGTCGGGATCAACAAGGGAACGGAGAGTCTGAGTGTCGTAGAAGTCTTCAATCGTCGAGTCTTCTGGTGGTCTCTGTCGTAACGCGTCGACTAGTGTCCGATCCATGATCTCCTCCATCCCAGGGCGACATACAAGGCGCGCCAACCACTGCTTGAAGTCGTGGTAGACGTATTGGCGGGCAGGAAAAGAGCGCAAACGGCCATTGATCAGGCGCGTTCTGCGCAGCTCAGCGCCGCACATATCCCCACTAGACACTGTTGCTTTAGTGCAGCGATCCGGGTAGCCTGCTCCGCCTCCAAGCGCATAGATGGCGAAACACTGAGGACAGCAGACGTAGGATTTGGTGCTCGGTGATATAGACAAGTCGCTGATGACCGTTCGGACGTCCTGTGATATATGGGAGATGATGCGGAGGTATTCGGGGCTACGAGATGCAACGTCTGGCTGATCGGTGAACGTGGGTGCCAATGAAAGGAGTAGCTGCAAGCCACTCAGAAAAAACCCGCAGCGTTTGATTGATACACCGCAGAGCAGATGGAGGACCGCAACGATGAGGTTACAGAGTAAAACCAAAGGGTGAAACGATAGAGTGCGCGGGAAGACGTATGAATCTATGTTGTGTGCGTCAGCTCAGCTGGAGGACACGATCTTCTGGGCACGAACCTGTGTTGATGTTCGTCCTCTCTCCCGGGAGGTCATGTCTCTGGGTCTGCAAATCCTCTCGCGCAGCTAGTCGCTGTCGTTCCCACTCAGCGCGTCTCCACGCCTCGACGTCCTGGATTGCTGTCGAGAAGTCCATCCGAACTACGTCCGCACGCGTAGCGACCAATATATCTTGGCTCCTCATTGGCGTCTCGAGTGCAACATAGCCTTCGTGGAGCCATTGTTCGTACTGAAGGAGAGGCGCGTTGTGCGGGTTGTCGTATTCGAGCCCGAAGGCACCCGCGTTGATTTCCCTCGACTCGCCCTTAACCTCCGCCACGTCGGCGGCAGGCAGAGACAATGCATGGGGCGGGCTCTGGAATACCAGACAAAGACCTTGCTCCTGTAGCGCGCCTCTTCGCCGAACCAAGTCGTCTTGAAGTGTGCTTATAGTGTCATCCGGCTTAGGATGTCTTCGAGATGATGTCGCCTCTCTAGCTGCCGATCGATGCATAGCCAGTTGCAGAGGAATATTTGTCTACACCATCAAAGCATGAACACATTAAGTTCAAGATACGCGGATTGTGAATGTACCTGCGTTGCCAGCGTCGTGTATTCAACTCATTGGCGCCGCCGTCAAGGCCTGAATATCTGGTCTGCGAGTAAAGAACCATGATTAGATGCAGTGAAGTATTTCCATTTACTGGTGCTCTCACCGCACAGCACTGTTCTTTCAAACGTGTGTAGGACGCGTAGAGCAAAAAGGGAGTTGCCAACTTCCCAGTGCTGTTGATGGGCCCGGGGATGCTAAGCCCGCCCACTCCTTGCCTTTTCGGGATGCATCCCGATAAGGATGCGATCGCGTCGGATGTCGCTGACAGTCGATTGCGTCGGCTCATCGTGTCAGCGCGCTCTGCGCGTTCGGCCTCTAAGTCCCTCAGCGCCCCTCACGGTGTCGCGTCGCTCAGAGTTGCGCGCCACCCCCGTCGCGGCCGTCGCAGACTGTAGTGCTCAATAAGTGGATTGATCAATAATCATATATGTAGCATCCTCTCAAACTGGACGATACTTACGGGAAACGAGCAAGTCACGGGGACGGTCTGGCTGCGCGGCGAACGTACTAGGGCTTCCACGTAATGCCAGAGTTTGCGTGGGTATTGAGCACTCACGCATGTGCATTTTAGGCAGGCATGGTAGGAGGCAATGCCGCCCAAAATGCGACGTCTCCATCCTCTAATTCTTCAAAAACCGTATACATACTTTCGACGTACGATTGGTAACTTAGTGATGTTACGGTTTCGGATGTTACGGTTTCGGCACCGGGCACTGACACCTCACCGTACTCGGGCTCAGCTGGAGTACGTGCGTCCGAGTCCCAAAGTGCAAGGGATGCGTAGGCGCCTGGATACATCGCACGAGCGCCTGACGAATAGATATTTTCTTTTCTTTTTCTTTTCCTTTCCTGTTCTCTTTTCTGACTCGCCTTCGGCTCGCTCTAGACTCATTCATGATCCGTCTATGTTGTACTCGGACTCGGAGTGGTACCGGAGCGGCTACTGTGCCACCGCCACCACTCATTCCCCATCGTTCATGCTCTAATCTCGCTTACATTTCGCCTACGACCCTCGGAGTGGCTCACCGCGTACCGTAGGATGAAGTACTGTACATATTCCGGGCTGTAGGAAGCTTCGATACGAGGACGCTTGTGCTCACCTCCGCGTCCGACCATCAACTCCCCATGTGTTTCCGACGCTCACCCGCGCCAACGAACCGAGGAGCCGGATTCCTCACAAAGTGATTGCACCCTAAAGGCAGCCAGTAGGGCCGGCATCTGAATTTCGTGGCGGATAACCGTAGCCACCACTGGCCGGTATGTTGGTGGCGCGCGCGACCCTATTGGTACTCAGGCTGAAGATGGCTGGTCGGAAGCTAGCATTGGGTGCGGTTGTACGTCTGCTAACAACCGCCGCATCAGCTCGACCCTTGACATGTGTGGATCTCAACACTACCCTGCCGGATGAAAATACAGTCAAGCGGGGATACGCACATTCGCAGAAGCTGTACTCACCGTTTCACTTCATCTCTGTGATGCGTCGGTCGTGCTCATTTGCACACCGGACACGTCGTGCGTCGTGATGCCGCTGGGCTCCTTAGCCACGTCGTCGCGATGATCCAGTACCCCGGATGATTCGCCAGCAGCAGGCGCAACGAACTCATGGTTCATTGTACCATCTGCTGGGATGGGTATTGGATGCGGACGCGCCAGGGTGAAAATTTGACGGATAGCGGTAGGCACAGACGGGCGTGCGGAACATGCGTTCGGAGAAGTAGTGAAGAATACGACGAGCGGCAAGCTCGGCGTGCCCACAGCGCGCGAGGATAGACGAGTGGATGGAGGAGGCGGCCTGATAGAGAGCTTGGCGGCTCTCCAAATGCGCCGTCTCGCGAAACATAGGCAGCAGGCACACTCGCCGTACTTCTGCACAGGTCCAGCACCCCGTCTTTGACGTCGGAGAGACACAACGAACCCATTGCTCGTTGCGTTGCCTCTCCGATGCAAGCGCTGGTACTGCTGACGGGCATAACGGGTGCACGGTCGTAAGGTGCACCACGAAACCGTCGCGTGCGCATGAGGGGTCGACAACCGCACGAGGTACGTGTGTGTGTACATCAAGCAGTATGCTTGACGTACTTTCTGTGCGGCAGAGAGTAGAAGTGCGGGGCACGACGAGCTTCCAGTTCGTCGATACGTCTGCCGACGCGGGCGCTGGGAGTGAAGACGGCGAGGCAGGGACGGCCAAGCGAGGGCGTACCTGCGATGTTCAAGCCCATGTGCTTGTTCTTTCTGCTCACCCCATGCCCTTACTCCTTCCCTCTATTCCTCTCCTCCTGTTGCTACCTACGCCCCGTGTCTGCTGTGTTCTGTGCGGCCTTGTTGCTGCTCGGCGCTGGACTTGCATGCGCGTCGTGCGAGTCCTGGGCCGTGCAGCTGTCTTGCGTATCGCCAGATTTGAGAGGCGAGGTGCGAGGTGCGATGTAGGGTGGAGAACTCCCGGGTGGAGTTCGAGCACCGGGAGAGGAACTTGAAGGGGGCAGCGGTCATTTACCACGCGCAGAGTTGCCGGGCGCTCCTAGCTGAGCTGGCGGCAATTGTCGTCGTACGCCAGTGCGAGCGTCTTGCCAATAGGTCGAGCGGTCGTGATGCTGGACGAGGTGTCGAGGGCAGGGCGCCGGGCGCTGGTGCTGAGCGCTAGCGCTCGGAACGCTCGCTATCCTCCGCCCTAGCGTGAGACGCCCAACACTCGTCACACCCTGACCTTACTATTTATTTAAGTTGCTGTACCGGCACTCCCACCCAACCACCTACGTCCACAAGACAGTCCTCGGGCGAGAAGACATCGTGGAGCCGAGCTACCCGACGGCGTACGCCGCTACGATACCGGGCGAGAAGATGTATGTCGTCGACATAAACTTACCTTCGCCCGCCGCCCGATGACGGATACGTGGAAGTGAGCCATTCTTCCATCTCGCAGGTTCAGCTTTGTGATTCGCGAGCCACGCGCAAGGAGCTCCGTTCATGTATTGTTCAGGATAGCTTGTCCTCGTCATCTGCCAAGGTCGACGACCCGGGCACTTCCTGCACAATCATTGGCAGCAATGCCTTGGATATGCTATGACACAAACTGCTATAGCGACAACTGATGTTACTCTACTCAACCCCCAAGGGTAGCTACGAGGCCAAAAAGAGCTCGTAGCTATGTCACGACACTCATCCATGTAAGCCCAAGCGTAGCGAATCCTGGCGTGGACATAGTGAGCCGGTTCCTTTGATTGCGCGGGCGACTCTCCTACACGGTACTCCCTCAGCAGCATCGGTTCTCCCTCCGCTTCAAGTTCCGCCATCGACCTCGCTCTCGCTGGTACACTGCCCATGAGAGGCAAGCGTAACGACCCGTGTCGGAGGTCTGACCATCATAATGATCGACAGGTCATTGACGGTGAGTACATCATGCATCTACTTCAGCATTGTAGGTCCACAGAATTCCAGCACCGGTGAACGATGCTCGTCCTGTCTTCACCCTCGTGCGCATGCGCCTTGATCCCGGGGATGGATTCAGGGTCAGAGATCGTTCGACTCAGCGTCAGCATCATCGCGCGCGGGCTACTTATGGTCTCGCTCGTCAGACGGCACCTGACGGAGAGGGGCGGCGGGCGGATCTCGAAGTCGAAGGGGTTTTCTCGGTCGACGCCATCAAATGACGGGTTACTGAAGGGCGTGAGCGAAGTGGTGAGCGCAGACGGGTGCTCGACAGGCGGCTGCCGGGAACGACGCGTACGCCAGTTACGGCGCATTGTTTCGTCCGCATTCGGCTGGAAGACTACGACATTTCGTCCATGCTCGGAATGCCCTCAAGTGAGCTGACCGAGCTCGACGGAGTGAGCAAGGTGCTCCGGGGAAAGATGGCCTCGTTACCCTGCATAGTGCCGGCGGGCGACTTGACATCAATGTCGGCGAAGGGTGAAACGACTGAATCGGTATGTGCGAGAGTGGTGCAGATGAGTTTTCGGAGAGGAAAGTGTATTGGGGGCTAAACGTTGTTCATACCTTCAGGCACCTCGCGGAAATTCGAAATATTGTACGCAGTGCTGCTTCCGGCAATAGTGCGCAGGACGCAGGCAGGACGTTTCGTGCACACGTCCGTGCTTCTTGCATCGTGCACCTCGACGCTGAAACTGATATTCGGGTCAACCATGATGGTAGCTATGTTTTACCCAACTTGGTTTCCACGCACGAAATGCATCGATAGTCTCCGCCATAGCTTCGTGTAGATGCCATAAAAAATGCCCAGTCCTGGACTGTGACATGTGAAGCTTGAAGCTTTTCGCTCGGGAGCTTGAAGTCGGATGCCCCCAGCTAATTAGGTACGAGGAACGAGGTGTATTCGACGCAGTCCAAAACCTAGGACATCACGTGCGTCATGCGTCACGTCTCTACGCAGGCGCCGTCACTGTCGTCAGGCTGCTTTGTGCTCATGGTGTCACCTTACTTAGCCTCACTACTTGCCATCATGTCCAACACCGTGCCTGCGACGATGATCCACGCTGACTGTCGTACTGAAGTTGTTCAGCGACTGGCGCAGCTGCTACTGCTTCGCTACAAGGCCCTTGCACTAGCCGACCTAGCCATCGGGCCTGTGATGATGTAACATGCAAATGTCTGCGCTCTTCTCAACTGCGGCCACTTCTACGCGACGAACTAGAGATCTCCTTGAGAGCAACAATTCCTACGCTTCTAGACGACACGCTCGGGTCAGACGATATGCAGTTTGCTGACGTCGAGGCCTTGCTTCGCCGCATCGATATCTACATGAATGAAGCGCAAGCGCCTAAAGAAGTCCAGTCCGTCTCTGCTTGCTCCAAGCTTCAACACCGTGTACCAGCACTGTTGCGCGAAACAGGTCTACCCGGCCAGCTTGGAGATGTGGGGAGGTTAGCTGACACCCTTCACTCGTCGTTAGCAACCTCATGTCGCACAGATCCGTCTTACCTAGGATATGGGTTGTGGATAATCCCTTGCGTTGCGGGCATGAGGTGCACGACAGTTCAACGGCAGAGGCTTCACAGGCACATTCACCAGGTGAGACGTTCTGCGAGCCCTACAGCCGACTAACGCAGGTCTCCGGCAGAGGACTACGAAAGATGTCGCCTGCGCCAAGCTGTTAAGGCGGAACTGTCTATTCTTATATCGGAGATTGACGGGGTGCTTGCTGGGTGCTCTTACCTGTCGTGCCCTGCGCATGTGCCTCCACATCCTTGGAGGCTTTCTCCACATATTCCCCAGCTTCTCTACCAGCTGTCTGCCTTTGTACGGTCTGTCCGCGCCGCCATTCGCCACACCAAAGAAAAGGTAAAGGAAGGAGACCCATTGGTCAGGAAGTGCAAGGAAGCCACCCAACTCACGGTCGAGGATTCTGAAGATTACGTGGGCAGCTCTTCTGAGCCCAGCTCAGCGCTGCCGATTATGGAGGTTCATGGGCCACGCACCAACGCCGGATGGATGTGTTCACAACTCGTGCAGCGCGTGGTAATCAGTGGCAACGGCGCGCGGCGCGCTGCTAGGCTAATAGGATGGTACTTCGTGTCTAGGAATTGGAAAGCGTGCGTCTCAGGGAAATGCATTTGTCTGGCCATGTGGACTGATCTTCACTATGTCTGCCTAGGGTGTTTCGCATTCTTTGTTATGGGTATCGTATCGCGCTCGTTTTTCCTGTCAATCATACTTGTAGGATGGGCCTTGTCTTTGGGATGAAAGGTACCGTAGAAGTGCGGCGCTAGGCATGACCGATATTGACCACTTGGTTGACCGCAGACACTTTGGACGCGCTGCAGCGCGCCTGCCAAGCTGGCGTTGTTATGTTTGCCTGTGCCGCCAATCTCGCCCGCAAAATTGGCTCCTTTCCCCAGAGGGCACGCCCCCGACGCGGTCTTTCCATCAGGTTCGCTACTCTCGTCTCTGCCTTCTCCTCTGTCACGACATAGTTCAAGTATAAACGTAGGCTTTCTTGGGCGCTCGTCGCGATCGTATTCTCCCTGTGTGGTATGTGGTTATGGTCTCGAATAGATTTGACCCTGGATCATGATGGGCAGAGATCCTGCGAAGGTTTCTACGATAGAACTCTGAACGATGATGATTACGAATATTGAATAAAAACCCAACCTGTGCCCTGTTCCCTGAACCGCCCAGCCAATCAATGCCATCTTCGTGATGCAGTAGTACGCACCAATCTCCGAAGTAAGCAACGCAGTAGCCTATCATCGAACTTGAGCATGTTCAGACCGTCAGCTTGATGGCTTCTCAAGCGCTTCGAAATGGGACCGCTTGCCATAGACTCGGAGCAGCTTGATGCTTATTCGGTACTAGCAAACACATGCAGAGGTCGGAGTGACATATCATGCAACGCGGTGGTGTTACGGAGATGGAGCAACAGCTTCTAGAGGCGTTCCGTATGGTACATATAAAGGTATACAAACGCGACCCGCTCCCGTTGACCAAGCACCGACAGACATACCTAGTTGAGTCACTTACGTGATGTCCTCTGCATCGCAGCTGCCAGACGAGACGTGTCAACAATCGAATCGCTGTCTCTGATTTGGAACTCCGCCGGAGGTGAAACCCTTGCTCGCGCGTTTGCGTTGAGCAGTGTCGATGCCGGGAGGTGCGTCGCGAGGAATCCCCCTTACCACTTTCCTTCCTTTGCTTTATCGAGCAGCCTGTTGAGGCCTTGATAGTCTTGATTGTTCCTCCAGAAACACGGTCTTCGCGCCAGTGCCACTCACGATGGCGTCTGCCCGTTCGATTTCGAAGCTGTAGTCCGCGATGGTGGGCACGGCAATGTCCGGGAGCGTGTTCTCGATCTAGACGGCGAGCACGACGGCGTGCCCTTCGTTGCCTGCCTTGCGCTGCTCGCGCGTCTCGACATCGACATCGTCGCCATCACATTCATCGGCCGTCCCAGCAGTGGTAGTGTTGATGATCTTGCGCTTCTCTTGCCCGTCGCGCTGGAGCAGGAAGTACGGGACAAATATTGTGCGCATGCGCACGTGGAAGCCGCTCGCGGGAGGGGGCGGGAGCCTTGTCTTCGCAAACGCGAAGGCTGTCAACAATGTCCCCGACTGTTTCGATGACGAGGGACCCGGTACTGGAGGGAGCGCAAAAGCTGTCCGGCGGGTCTTCGGTCCGAGACGAGCAGAAGGGAGCCTGAGGGGCGCGTTTTCTGAGTTAGCGAAAGTAGAATCTAGCGCAGAGAAGATGTTTCAGAGTGCGTAGGTCAGCAACGAAGTTATGAAAACGTACCTACTTGAAGACCCTCCGAAAAGTTGATTTCTTCCAGACCCGAAAGTAGATCGCCATCATCGTCTTGTCGGCGCGAGAGTGGACGATCGCCATGCAAACGCCTGCGGTTTGGACGATGCGCTTCACCGAGGAAAGCTACCCTCCCGCCCGTAGGCTCCGCATACAGGCGAGAAATCCAGTCCTTCGTCTTCTTGCAGGAGACACCGTCCGGAAACTCGAGTGCGCTGCCTGGCGCAACAACTGGCAAGACGCTTGGGTTGAACAAACCGCCGAAGCTGGCCATTAGTTCTGACGTGTCCTTGCAGCAATCGTAATCAGCCCCCGTGCCTGAGCTGCAAGTAACAGAACTTCTTGTCACCCCTAGACAGCCTGAGGACGACCCGTTTGTTGTGCCCGGGGCGGTGGTGATGAGGCGGAACTCCGCGGTCAGGCCCTTCGGAATAGCCCCGCAAATAGGCCCCAAACTTGAAGTAGGCAAAGAAACCCACAATTCAGCTAGTACAGAGCAAAGCCCCGAGCGGTCGCGTTCAGTAAGGGCGGTTGGCCGAAGCCTGAGGCCTGAGGCCTGGCTCGGAGTCTTGAGATCATGAGATCTAGTGGTCGGTTGCTCGTCAGTATGCGCGCAGACTCGGAATATTCCGAGCGGGCGCCTACGCGGTCTTACCTCCTCAATCGACGCTTTAAGTAAGTACTGTATCGGGCCGGGATCTCGGCCGGACATGGTACTCGGTCAGTCGAGTGCTGTAGGCTCAGTTCCCAATCTGACGACAAACTACGCATACCAGTCGATTCTCATAATCCTCCTCTACCTGCTGATATGTATTTCTTGTCATTAACTTTAGGGATGAGTCCACGGTGGTCGACTGACCGAGTACCTTGTCCGGCCGAGATCCCGGCCCGATACAGTAGGTAAATATTTCGCGGTTGAGGACTGGTGGCATCGGTCTTTGCTGTCGACCCATCTCGCTCGGATTTCGTTCTCTGCCTCTTTTCCAACCGCAGTTCGACCCCCGCTTTCAGATACTCTGCAGCTATGGCACCCACCATGAATGTCAAAGGCAGCTCCGGTACCGCGCGGATTCTCGGCTCGGCATGCCAGCTTACAACCTTGCGGTATAAGGGTCGACAACAGATGTCCATGTTGGCGCTTCCTCCGATCGTCGTCAAGGAATGCTTACGCCACGGCACCACTCGGGACGAAGCTGCTCTCGCTCTTCCCTGATCGTGGTTATGCTGCAGGATACAAGGTCACCCAGCGGATGTGCGAGTACGGTGGACAGCCATGGTTCAGGGACATCCTTGCGCGGAACTACTGATCGCAGTGTACGAACGCTTTTGGTGAGCGGAAGTGCAAGATGATGATGTAGGCAACTGCCGGCGGGTGAGTGATTCTGGCCTGTACATGTATCTACCCTTTGTAACGTCATCATGGGACGCAGCTTGACTGATGTCGGCGAGGTTGTCCTTCTTCCGTTGAATGTTCTCAAGATCAAGTGGCAGGTAAATTCCGAGGCGTTTTGTGGACGGGGTGTCGTTCGTGTTTTCCTGGAGGAAGGCACGACGCTGAACGCGGCGCGGAACATGCCCGGCTCTTTCGCCGTACGTCCTCCCTCTCCTATCTCCCTATCGCATACTAACCGCTAGTGCGCCCTCGTAGCTCTTCGGTGCCACACCTATGCTGTGTGAGAGACGTCTGGGCTGACCACCCCTTGTTTTTCTCTTCATAGGACAAGGAACGTGTCGCCGCATACAAGACCAGCATCAAAGAGTAGCTCACCCTCGCAGGCCTCATCCGCGGCCAGCCCCGAGCCAACCTCATGCGAGCAGCTCGCCCAGCCCCGCCGTCGCAGGCCCCGGCTTCTCTCCCTGCACCGACGCTCACCCCTCGGAGAGGCGCGCTTCAACAACCGTACTCGTCGTCGCGCAGCCGTCAGTACTCAGGCCTCAGGCATAGCGGCCATGTCAGGTGCGCGACGATCCTGCCTTTGTAAGGCTGTGGCGAAGCTTATGCTGACGCGGATTGATGCACACCCAGGGTCTGTCAGCGCTCGGACGAGCCCCGCTCTCCCAACAAACAGCCATATAGGGGGTATCTCAACGTCAACTCTTGAGCTCAAGCCGCCGTGAAAGAACTTTAGCAATGATTGATGATCACGACCCCTGAGATTTTATAGAATAATATACTTCTGTGACTACATGTTATTTGACGAAGCTCAATCCAACCGTGCACATACTCCTCAGGGTTCGTCCGACGCGTATGGGTTCAGGCAAGGGAAGAACTCATCGAACGCGTTGCGACTGGTGGACGGTTGGCTAATGCTGCCAGCGGCCGATACAGAAACGGATGGCGACTCGGGGCGATCATCTCCTTGAATTTCGGCGACCAATGCGGCGACTTCCTTCAGCGAATACGCCTCAATCGGTTTGGTGCCTACGACGGCACGACACTCGGGACATGTAAACCGGGGATGCGGCAGTGTCCCTTCTATGACTCCGATCTCGGCATACGCTGTAGTCCGGGCGGCGGAATGTGCTTCAAGGGCAGGCCGTGCGTTCAGAATAGCACGTAGAGCGTCTAGATGCCGATGGTCATAGCCTGGATGTCTTCGCATGTGTTCAGCAAGTGTCCGGCGAAATATAGCCTCCAGGCATGACCGACAGCATACGTGCCCACAAGGTAGGCTGCTTGGGACGTCAGTTCGATGCTCGAGAACACAGCTAAAAGGACGGAGCGCACGCACAACCACGGTGTCCACAGCCTCTCCAAGCAGACGGGACAAGTTGTCGCTTCATCAACTTGGGATATTCGTACCTGACGATACCGATTAGTTCCACTGCTATCAAGATCGACACCGTTACGCACCTTTAAGCGCGCCATGGTCTCGGCATGGCTCCGGATCTCAGACTCCAGACGGTCAATGTCCTAGGTCATCGCAGCGTTAAATCTTTCAGTTGCGATGGGCAGAAACCTTCTCACCGCATGCAAGGAGGCCACAATACTATCTTGCTCTTCGTGTTGACCTCTCAATACTGTAATGTCCTGAGGCAAACATCGTAAATCAACAAAAACAAGGTAAAATGGTCGACTGACGGCTTGCTGGGCCACGATCAGGGCTTCCCGGCCTTGCGTTTCAATGTGGAGATTCCCCAGCCCCTGATACGGGGGTGTTGGCACGGCTAACATAACCTCGTACCACAACGTACCATCTGCAGCAGATGATCAGAGCGTCACTAAGTGCAGAGGATGTGGCCACGTACTCCCAGTCCAGTCACCGCGTCCTGCGAATGCCGAGCCTCCGCTTTCCATCTCTCGAGCTCCTGTGCGCCGTTAGCCAAATCTCAGAGAAAGCCGCGAGCGCCACCGACGGTCTACGAAGGGCTGATGAATGATCTGCTATCGTACGATGCGGGCATCAACCCACCTCCAATTTTTTGATTTCTCTTCGGTCGTTGTCGACCTGGAGCTTCCACCCCTCATTGTTCTATGCTCCGCTCGCAGTGAAAGACGCGTCAGCAGCCATTTACTCGCGACGTACCAGCTACGTGCGCTAGGATCAACAATCAAACATCTGTCAAGAGCCACAGCGACGTTACCTCACTGTCCAATAATTGCTGTTTTGTCTTCGCAAGCGCGCCTTGCAGGTACTTGATGTCCTGGGGCTCGTCGATAGTTGAGATGCCCGTTTTCTGCACCGGCAGAATGTTATCATCCACCATAGCAAAGCGAGACGCAGCATTACCTGACGGACGACAATGGTATTAGTGTCTAGGTGTGTTGCATAGGAATTGTGAGAAGCAGGTACCTGTCTATCTGTTGTCATAGTCCTGGATAGCGTTAACGGATAGCAAGGGGCAGTATGGAGAAGACGAACGGAATGATGGGCCAAATCCCCCCTTAAGTAGCCACTGTCGCAGACAATGGTTGTCAAATCGAGCAGCGTGAGCAACTTCCCCCACACGCGTGCACCGCACATCCTTTGTGCAAATACCGCCACTTGACATCCCATTGTTCTTCCCTGCCCAAGAAGATCTCTCGAATTACGTGCCCTTACGGACGAGCTCGCGCACGCTGAGCCCGCCCCGGCGTACCAGCCCCGCGTTCTTCCAACTCGCGAGCGCGGAGATCTCCCCAGTCGCGAGGGCCACTTCATCTGGGGACCCCGTGAGCAGGTCCATACGAACGCCGGTCTGCGGCGAGTTCGCCCAGAAGCTGCTGCCCGAAAGGCGTTGGTAGAGCGCCAGGAAGCGCCAGGAAGCGCGGGGGCGTCCCGAGAGTGACGCTTCCCAGCACGTCGAAGCAACTTGTGTACTGGAGGAGGAGGAGGAGGGGGAGGAGGAAGGGGGATCCATTTAGATCTACGAATGTGGATCTGACGCACCATGGTCCTCTTCGGCCTCGCTAGCAGGCCTGGCGTCATGTTCATCAAGGTAAGCTTGAGGTTTTGCTTCTCGTGGATCCTGCCAGCCAGTCGCAGGCGACTTCTAGCTTCCCGTGCCGGTTTCTGCGACCGCCGGTGAGGAGGGAGTACTGGACGAGCAGTGTTGCAGCGATTGCCTCGGTGTCGGGGTACTGGAGGTGTCTCGCGTTGCCGAGCTGCCAGTGCGCGCTCTCGTGGTACTTCGCGGCCGAGTCGTCCGGGTTCGAAGCCTGCGGCTCGACTCCCCTTCGCGATGCCCGCGCGGATGTAACGTAGACTCGATGATGCGCAAATGGTGTTCGCGACCGTGCCTTTCGGATCTGAGTTGAGTGGACGATCTGTCGAGCGCGAGTGAAGGAGCGAGGTCAGGATCTGCCAGATGCACGCCGATCAGGATGACAAGCTGCGTATCAAGTAGAGGGTGCCATTCGCAAGAGAGTTGCCAGCGAAGACGAATTGCTCCCTCCAGTTCCGGGCGCATTCAAAGCAGTACATGAAGTAGGTCTCGTCCGAGCCTGGGACCTCATGCGCCGCGGGCGGCAGCGGGAACTTGGATGGGCTGTGCCCCGACGGGGACAGACACGGACTTGTCTGAGGAGGACAAGAAGAGCGTACATTTCTCATTACAGTGTCGTAAGGAACATCGTGTGCGTGTGCGGGTATGAAGGGGACCCGGACTGGGTAGGGTGGTCGCCCGTGGCGAAAGCAGCGGCGCCGGAAGACGCGCTGTTATAGCGTAGGTTGACGTCGCACCCGACAAAGTATACCAAGTAAACCTGCAGAGCGCTTCTGGACATTCTTGGGCTACTCCCTCAAGGAGAGCAGAACGAGGCCAGCATCAAACGCTTCTGGCGTACTTGCAGTGCATTTTTCCTTGTGTCCTGACTGTGTATTTGGTGAAGATCGCTCTCGGTGGCGCATGTATGTGCTTTTGAGACCATTGCTTTTCATGGGACGCTGTCAATGTCGCCTTGGTCTTAGTACCAGCTAATCGTACGCATGATGATGTGTATCGCTACAGGGCGTAAATGGGGCCATTTGCCTGAGGTCGACGAGCCCACAGACTTATCCGTAAGCCTAGTTGAACGATCTGCGGACATGTACGCGAATCCTGACGGGCCACGCTGCTATGCCCGGACCTGGGGGCGTATGCGTGCGCGTTGATCGCAGACAAGCTTAAGGTCTTCCGCGATGGACGGTCATTATGACCGCGACGCCGTCATCTGGCGACTTCGTTTGGTCCAATTTTCCCGCGTGTGTACCTCTCCTGTCGGTCTGGAGGGATCACGAGAAGCGAACAGGCTGAGAAATGGACGTACCGGCCGGGCCTGCATGATCGATTTGAATATTCGATGAATGACTGACGCGGTGCGCTACAGCATGGTCCGGATGGATCTCCGGTTTCAGTTATTGCAACGGGGTGCTCCGCCGTACGAGACGGTGTGGGTATCCTTCCATTCGTCACGTCCAGTTCGCGGGTTCGCCTCGGAGCCTGAGCTCGGCGTGCGGCCTCGCAGTACTGTGCCGTTTCGACCATGGGGGGTTTTTTTTTAAATCCCATTCTTTTCCGCGAGGGCCGAGCCCTATGTAGACAAGATTCTAATGGTACGAAGTAGGTATATGAGTCCACGCGTTCAGAGTCAGGCTTGGCTTAGGCTCGTCGCCGAGGCTAGAGCGTGGACCATGGGTTTAGTCACAGGTCGCACCCCCCTCGAAGTAGGGTGCCAGTTACATGTCACAGGTCACAGAGGAGGAGGAGCTAAGGATTCCCGTAGGCGGTCACAGGTGTACGAATGCATTTTCGGGCCTGCGGCGCAGTGCTGGCAAAGGCGGTCTTTTTTTTAATTTTTTTAAATTCTCCATGTTTTAGGCCCGTACAGTAGGTACATGCGGGGCAACAATAATAAGGGATGTCCGACGTGAGCAGACCGTGTTGCGGCATGGATCCCCAGATCCCGAGAACCCCGCCTCCCTGCGACCTCACCACCCTCCTGGCAAAGGCGGTCACCCGCCGCCTGCCCCGGCCACCGGCGAACTGTGCGGGTTCTTGCTTTCAAAGACCCAACCTAACCTCGCCCGTCGACAGGGCCACATCTTGCAGCAGAATAACGGGAGCCTGCGCAAGTTTCCAATGCGGACACCCCAAGCTTCGCGGAATCGAACAACGATGCCTCCGGCAGTGAGCACGAGGGCTGTAGCCGAGATGAGTTCTGTATTCATGAGATTATTCCCTTACTGAACATCGTCTACTGCCCTTGTTCGAGGCTTCGACTGAGACTCGGGGTTGTAGCCCATGTAGCGCGGGCAGGCTGCTGCCTACAGGTACGTTTTGAGGTCTTATGTAGGCTTTGTACCGTGCTTACACCTGTCGATTGCAGTAGGTCCGACGCATGTAATGCGCTCTGACCACGTTTTCTATCGACGGTCACGGCGGCGCAGTGCTCAACGATTCCATGGCGCATGTACAACATGTACGAAATCCTGTATTAGACGGTCGAATATGTTAACCTCTCGTCTGATTGCGTCGGATGTGCCTGAGTATCCTCAACGGCGAGCAGTCTAATGGGCCTCGCTCGCACTTGCGCTCCCCTGCGTCGGCGGCGGTCCGGACTGGGGGCTCGGAGGCGAGGCGAGCGCGTGCCCACTGGATGCGTTCGGAGCGCGCGCGACATCTGGCGGACGGTCTGCTCAGCGGGAACCGGATCCGGAGGCTGAGGGTGGGAATGCGGATGTGTATGGGCATGTGGGTAGGGCTGCGATGGGCCGGCGTACAAGTCCGCCTCAGTTTGCACGGCGATAATCTCTTTGCCCTTGCGTGCGAAGAAGGCGCGCTCCTGCGCGAAGAAGAGGTTGGACGTCGAGCCCATGGTGGGTATCGGCGGCGGCGGCGGCGGAAAGAGTGCCATGAGCTCGTGGCCCGTTGGCGGCGTGGGGAAGCCGCGGCTGCAGGGCATGACAGCAGCAGACACGTCGATGGGGGAGAGCTCAAGGTCTGCGCGCACGGACATCAGTGGGGGCAGTTCGTGGGACAGGGCTAGCGCACCTCGTATGGTCGGGGGTGACATGGGGCCACGCATGCAAGCGGGGTTCAGCATTTGAGCGAGCCGTAGCACTGTCGGGCCAGGGCGCCATCAGCAGTAGCAAGGCAATATCTTCGTCGAAGTACCTTTGGGATGGAGTTCAAAGCTCAGGCACACCTACACCCCGGACGGGGGTAGGGATGGATGCGTGCGATCATCGGGGGACAGTACGTGCGCAGACGTAAAAGGATTGACGCTTAGCCCGCGCCGTGGCAGCCTAGTTTATCGGCTGCGACACGGGTGCTCATGATCAGCCACGACCGTGACAATGAGCATTTGGCGTGTCAAAAAGTATGCCCTCGTGGACGTCCCACTTTCACTACGCTGTCCCAGAGTCTATAACCGCCAAGCTGCGAAGATAAATACATGTATGAGAGATCAGAAAAGGTCACACAAAGCGGCTTGGAAAGCGTGCAATCCCCTCCGCAATGCGCGCAGCTCTGCCCGCGCGGTACAGGAGAAGCTCGTCTGGCCCGAGCTGCGAAACCATCCGTCCGCGGAGCTCATGGTATTGAAACATCGTACCGCCAGTCCAGAACACAGCTGAGCCACGGGTAGCTCCCTCCGTCACAAGCGGGGTATTGTAGTGTGTGAAAGCCGCGGATGGTATCCAGATGGGCACGCCCGGGCCTACCTCAACTTCGCACCCCAGTTCTGCCAGACCAATTCGGCAGTCCTTCGAGGGATTGAACACACCGAAAGGAATGATGCAGCAGAGGCCGGGGCCCAGGTTGGTGCTGTCTAAGTGGCGCGAAGAAACGACGTCTCCGACGTTGAGGGCGAACGATGCGAAAGGGTAGAAGAGACTCTCAAGGGTGCGGTCGTTGCCCAGCGCATAATCAAGCGTACGGGCATAGTAGTCAAAGAGTTGTGGGAAGACCCGCCGAAAAGCATCTGTAACGCCCACACATGTCAGCGCATGCCTGAATTTGAGGACGTAGAGAGCGCAATGCGCCTTACCGGCTACCAGTCGAACAACTGGGGCCAGCTGACGACCTAGCTCATGTGCGACATCCGTGTGGTCGCAGAAGTACGTAGACATTCTGGGGCTCTGACTGGAAGTGAGTCGCTGCTGTCAAGACCGCCCGCCCACCTTACACATACCTCTTGGTTGTCCTTGTGAAGGGCGAAATAATACTGTGCAAAAGCACCCCGTTTGGAAGACGTATACGTGGGTTTGGGGCCGGACTGTTTGAGGTACGCGGCGGCCGCGATTAGAAGTACGTTAGCGTCTTGGGTCGCGACGCCTTGCCACGCCCGGTACACGACCAAGCGGCCACCGCGATCTACGATCTCAGCTGCCCTGCTAAGGCCACGCCGCAAACTCAGCCCTCGTGTCATGGGATCTCGAAGAGAAACGCACCCGTCTTCGTGCCCAATGGTCAGTAACAAGCCATCGTGCTCCGCGCTTCCCGCAGCCGAGCGTTGTACCCGTCGATGGCCAGTGAATCCGCCCGAGAGCGGCATGTCAGCGAGTCCGCTTTCTGCCACGGCGGCGCGCACGGCCTGCGCGTCTTTGACCAGGAGCCGCGTCGTTGCGCGGGCAGCGCTGCGTACGCTTTGGCGTCGCGCTTTGCGCGCTTGCTTCTTATCGGAGCGCGTAGGGCCGGTCAAGCAAGCGGCTGCGCTGAGCCATGGGTGTTCATCAACGGTGTTAAGCCGGCGGCGCGAACCGCTCACCTGTTGCCGTCCGCAAGAGACCCTGTGCCCTCGTCCAACCCATTCACGCCGACCGAAGGTCGCTCCGACGCCGGGCCCACCGTTCCCTCATCCACAGCCTCCTCGTCCCAGACACACGCTAGCCGATCCTCGAACGACGCTGGCCGTCGGGTGACAACGGGGGCCTTCGTCGTCGTACGGTCGTGAGCGAGAGCAGCGCCAGAGAAAGGGGGCTCACAGCCATCAGCCTGAAGCTCAACAGGCCCCTCTAGTCGGCTGTTTTCATGGAGCGGTCAGCCTGAAGCACGCACGCGTGCCCGGCAAGCACAACAGCGCCGGCTGACTGGGGCGTGTGAGGCACGGGATATTGGTCTCCACTCGACCGTGCGCCTCACGCCCCCGGCAGAAGGCGCTGAGCGGGCTTGGGGCGGGGCTCCTCACCTGGCTGGGGTCTGGGGCGTCGAATGAAAGCGGTTGAAGGGGCGGGCCTTATGCTCGAAGGCTCAGCGTTCAGCGCTCAGCGATATATATACGGCCGCGACCCGCGACGCGCCCCGCGGTTCAACAATGTCACGTGCGTCGCGTTGGACACGAGCGCGGCGCCCTCGGCCTCCTCCGCTGAATGCGGTCTAAAGGCCCCGCGCCGGCGTTTGAGCTCTGTGATTGGCCCCGAGCTCCGCAGCAGCAGCAGCGCCGCCGCCCCGGGCCTCATTGACCCATCTTCCGCTTTAAGATCTACCTTCTAGGCATCTATCTTCGGGCGAGGTTGATTGGTGTAGTAGAGAGATATGTAAATGCTGTACGAACGATAGCGGTGATTGGACCGCCGCGCGGTCCTGAACGGAGGGATCAGGGATGAAAAGGGTCATGTATGTAGCGGGCAGTGCGGGCGCAGCCCATAGGGCTGCCCGGCCCCAAACGGACCTCCGGGGCTGTGGGGCAACGGGCGAGCTGCGAGGGCGGGCGGGCCAACCGCGGCAGCCTCATCGTGTGGCCATTCACAGGTCGCGGGGAGGAAGCGTGTCGAGCCGATTTGAATGATTGAAAGACGGACTCGCGTGGGTTATTTAAGCGGCGAGATCTCGCGGAAAGGGACAGGCGGGTGAGCGGGCGGGTGAGCAAATGACTCAAGGCCGGACGAAAGCTAGCCTAGATAACTGTCGCTGGAGTTCGGACGTGGGCGCGCAACGAGCTGCAACGAGAGAGGCGCTGCGTGCTTAAGCCCTGCATACCGCTCCTTAGACTCAGCTCTGCGGTCGGCTCGTTCCTCGCCTCTCGCAGATCACCAACTTCCTCCCTCCTATACCCCGTACCATGAGCCGTGAACCGCATCCCGCGCGGTGCACGGGTGTTTGCTCGTAGATCATATGGCCCCACGAGCGTCGAAGTTCGGAACGGTATGCTCAGTGTCACTGCCTAGAAGTGACAAAATCGGAAGAGCCAAGCCCAGACGTCATTTCGCCACGCGCCGATCATCCATGGCACCCGCCCTCGTCTCCGCGGAAGCAGTCAACATAAGCATACGAGAGACTAACGAAGTGGGCTGAGAGGTCGGGCGGATCCGGCGTTAGCACCCGTTTCGTAGACTCCTCCTCCTCGTAAAAAATCGGACGCCGCAATGCATTGCAGGCTTCGAAACGTGAAACTAAACAGATAGAGATGAAGGCGCGGAGGGGAAGTAAGATAGCTGCGGTAAGGGAAAGGGCGGACGCTGTCCAACGCGGTTCAAACGACCGCGGTGTATGCCTATCCGTAATCGGGTCAACATAGAAGGTGGCGGTGACGACGAGCCGCTCGACGCGCAGTGTCGGCGAGACGGTGCGCGGCCTTGCGTAGGGACTCGTTGGCGGAGATAAAGCGTCGGAATAGAGGTAGAATGTCAGGATCAGGGTGAGGAGAGGGGAAGGCTTCGTGTACGAGGAGCAGTACCGATTCGGCCGCATCGTAGTCATCTTGTTCAATTGGAGTGTTCATCGGCGGCGGCACATACATCGTCACCCGTCCGGTTCGAGAAATCCGTTGTTGAAGCTTTGCGTGAGCGAGACCGCCTTGGAGCCGTCGCTGGGCTTGAGCACCGAGTTCTTGCCAGGCGCGAACTACTCGAGGCCGACTGTGTCGACGCGGTCGTGAGGGCGGACTTTCTCGTAGCCCTCATAGTCGGCGAACGCGACTGCGAGTATGCCCTGCTTCCCTGGGCTCGTCTCGTGAATACGGGCAAACGAGCGGGCAATGGCAGCAATACCACCGAGTAAGCAGGGCTCAAAAGCGGCATGCTCACGCGGCGAACCCTAACCCTAGTTGTGGTTACCGATGACAACACACCTTACGCCGTGATCACGGTAATAGGCACCAGTCTCTGAGGAACGACGCCGTACTCGCCAGTGATCCGGTTCTTTGCCTGATTAGCCCCGCCGTTCTCTGAGTTGATGGCACCGATCCGACAGTTTCCTACACGGGACCGTCAGAAGTAAGCGGAAAGCAGAGACGAGACACTACGCACGAGGAATGCCCTCGTGGCAACCGCGGTACCTGTAACCACTGGGGGGCACCAGCGGATATGTGATCCGTCGCTGCCGACCGATGGTGGGGGCATGGGCGAGGGCGAAGACGGGAGTTGCGAGCGACGGGCCGCATCGCGTGTGTCTACGCGCCGTCGCCCTGCTCGTCTGTTGGTGATTGTGCACTCGGAATCAGGGACTGTTTCACTTGCCGTGTGCACGTTCGAAGGCGATGAGAACATGCGGGGCTGTGGATGAGACGGCAGGTCTCCGGTTGTGGTCGGTCTGCGCGTCCTGGCACTATTCGTCTGTCGCGTTGTGGTGAGTATGGATCCATCGGAGCTCTCTGTCGCGTTGATGACCCTGCGGTGAGTGTCCGTGCCTTATCACATATTGCTTCACTTACCGTGCACATCTAGGGATCCGCTGCGACCCGGATGGAACGGGCGGGATTGTAGGTCGCAGGCGGGAGTTGCGAGCGACGGGACGTATCGCGTGCCGGCGAGCGATGGTCTGCGCGCCGCAGCCCTACTCGTCTGCTGCGTTGGTGAGTGTGCAGCCGAGATGATGTACTGTTTCACTTACCATGTGGACGCCCAGGCAACCGTGCGGAGGCGGCAGGAATGGGCGAGGTTCTGGATGGGAGGGGACGAGATGAGTGCACATTCCTACTTGCCTGCCTCGTTGGGTGGATGTCCAAAGCTTTGAATCGCGCGAAGCTGTACTCACCAGCCTCGAGCAAGACGGAGTGACTTGGCGCGGCGAATGCTGGGCGGATGGTCACTGAGCGGGGAGCAGGGAAGTTGGGAAAGGAAGAGTGTCGAGTGCAGTAGTAGACAGCGCGAGAGTCGTGCACATAGGATGCCCTGAGAGGCAGAAAAGACGGGCGCCTACACGCGGGCAGCACAGAAATATACAGTACATGCAAGTCTGGGTATCTTAGGAGAAACGGCACAATGAATGCGAGAGCGAAGAAAAGAAGAAAGGCGCCACGAACCAGATGCAATAGGTCCTATGCGAGAGCACGCTGTCCGAGATAACGAGCGGCAACGGCCGCCTGCGCGAGCAAAGACGCGGCAACCAGCTGGGGCAAAGCAAGCATGGAAGACAGAATGTCGCGCGACGGGCCTATCACACGCACGGCGTCGCGTGAGTCGCGTGGGCGTACCAGTCCTGGCCCTTCGAGCAAGAGTCCGTCGCCGCCGTCGTGCCGCCGCCAATGCAGAAGCAAGCTGGCCAGTCGCTGTCGAGGTCGAACACGTTCGACTCGTTTCCCGTGAAAGGCTTGCCTTCAATATCCAACGCTATCTCGACCGACCGCGCCTCGACGACGAAGAAGGCGATAGCGTGGGGCGTCCCGTGGGTGCTGTGCGAGGCGAGGCGAATGTTGGCGTAGATGGAACCTGGTGGCGTTGACGGTGATGCGGACGACGCGGGGCTCGTGGGCGGTGGGTACGCCGTGCTGGCGTAGACAGGCATAGGGGTGGGCTTCGGTGACGACATTGATGGATGCCTAGCGAAGCTCAGGGTGGTGGTGGACGTGGCGCCGTATGGCGTCGATCGATGGTACCGGTGCCGGCGCAGGCGAGGGGACTCGGAGCACGTACCTAGGAGAAGGAGGAGGAGGGTATTAGGTCCATTTAGTCACATCGGTCGGGAGCGCGGGAGCGCCCAGCAGCGTCGTCGGCCCGTAGCCCTTGACGGAAGTTCCTCCGCACCTTCGCCCCGAACTCCTTCAGCGCTGACAGTTCGATGTGGAGCTGCTGCTCGAGGTAAGATCACATCGCACCATCTGATTAATCTCGCGGAGGGCGCACATGCCCCGGCCTACGATTCTCCACGACTTGTGTGCGTGTCATCCCAGATGAGCTTGGATGCTATGAAAGCGGGAATCTATAGACGGTAACGAGTCGACGAGCCGCTGGCGGTAGGAAACCACGCGTTTAGACGTTGGAGAAGGTAGAGGGCAGCGAACATCACCGATGTGTGAGGCCGTTCTGTGTTGGAGGTAGGCGATAAACAACGCGAGAGGCGGCGACGGTCCTGGCGGATTGGCGGTGAATAATGGAGGGAGGACCGGGCACGCGAACAAATGCGTCACAAACCTCGTAAAGGGCTTCGAATCTCTTCGTGTCCGCCTCAGCGACAGCGGATCGGATTGAGTCTGCACACTCTACGAAATTTCGAGATGCAGGATCAATCAACGTCCCATCCACTGTAAGCTCGACAACACTCAACTTACTGCCAGTGAGTCTAGGGGGACATCCAGGGGGCAGGCGCACGGAAGCGACGTGTACATTGGTAAAGAAGAGTAACATTATGGTGCGTCGCATGATGCCCGAGACTCACTGTACTCGCATTAGCGACGTTGACGAATCTTTATAGATCTGCGCGGAACGGTCGCGCTCGCTGCCAGTGAGCAGCACTCCTCTTGCTCTCTTGCTCGACCGTGGCTCCGCATAAATGTTGGACAACTCGCATGGTTAGTTTACTAGCAAGAGGCGGCGGTCGGCGCGACATCGATGCCCCAGAACGGGCGCGAAATGCGAGAGCGTCCCATAGAACATCAAAAATCGAAGTTGAGCGCGTCGCTGTGCAAGCCACGAAGGGGTTTTGTGACCTGTATAGTGACGAAGCACGCTCAGACCGCGATAATGCGGCCTGATAATATCCGTACCCTACATGTCCACGCAGTGCGCGCCTCGATGATAATGGCCTGGGAGTGTTCGTCCTTCCACAGCTTGGCGAACGGCTCTGATTGCACCTTCTAGTTACATGGGTATGGATCCGGATGCGGCTCGATGGTCCGACGCCCGATCCTTTGAGTGTGTTGGTCTGAATACGGAGGGCATCCCTCATGGGCACATGGGCAATGATCTCGATGGCTCCCGGCGAGGCGGACGGGATTCAAACCATATTGGCGAGGATGACCGTGTCGTCGACACGCCTAATGGACACCAATTGCACGTATCTATATTCCATGCCACTTCTGCGCCGTCCGACTCACCAAAACTAAGTATCTTAGGCAGCGGTATCATACCATACATATCGCGGCAACACCAGTCCATTGTGAGTGACTGCTTCTGATTCTCAGGCCGCACCAGGACATGTCGCAGCAGCACGATTGACTCGGATCGGCGAGTCACGAGCCTGAGTGATCTTCAAGTTGAACATATATAAAATCATGTCCAGATGGTGACACTGGCACGCGGATACATGTACCGGGTAGTAAGTACTTACATGTACACTGTGACGGCGGGAACCAGGGCATCAGTGAGCGATGACGATCCGAGTCACCTCGGATGTCCCATCAAATCTTCTACTAGTATAGCCCATGCTTTCCATCGCTTCAACTTCAAGCTATGGCTTCTATTCTAGATCCTCTCGCCTGTCTCACTCCTTATGCACATATTTGTAGGGGCCTGCGTCGTGCACGGACGTGACGACGACACGGTCTGACACGGTCATATGTACAACACTGTTACGCAAATCGAACCGCGAGTCGCGCGGAGTGCGCCAGGTGACCGGTGAACTGGTGATGTTCCGAGCCCGGTGGATTGCGATCGGTGTTCAAATGCTCAACGTCAAATAACCCAGTACCCACCTATAGAAGGACTGGGAGCAATCCCAGACCGCTGTGCCTCAGGTCGTGACCAAACATGTGCTGGCAGAAGTTGAGCTGATGTGCCGTGACTGGAGCAGGGCTGAAGGCGACGACAATGGGCAAGCAGAAGGCATAATTTATCATCATATTTGTTATGCTCCCTCAAAACTGACGCACACAAGTATTGAAATCAGTCCATTACATTGGTGCTGTGACTCGGTGTGTGCTCTCCGGATCCGCTCCCAACAGCCTGTAGCCACAGGCTGCGATATGCATTGTGCAGGACAACAGAAGTTTCAAGCGCATGGGCGAGGGTTTTGTTCCGGGTATCGCGATCCATGATTTGGCACAGCAAAGTCATTGCATATAGGACTACTTCGTGCTGTTGCAGGCTAAGTAACACTGTAGATCCTCAGCAGGAGCATTCTAGTGGTGTGATTGAGCCAGCTTACCTCGCTGTATTTGCTCCTGACTTTGAAGAAATGTTTGGTGCTCGACACGAGCACTCTCGTATTCTGTCTGCCATTGAGACAAGGTCTCGTGAAGCAAGTCCACTAGCTCTGTCGCGTCCTTCCTGCATTACACTCAGCTACGTGCAACATATAGATAACGTCTACGGCACTTACATTGAGCACAAGCGGCGTAGCTATGTAGAGTACGAGCAGCAGTGGACGGACACTGTATATGAGCGGGCGCGTTCAATGGTGAGTCCAGAGCTAAATACGACGCGGCAGTCAGTATCCTGAGCTTGGGCAGCATGTCTGACGTGTTGCTGCCTTGCGTACTTCCTCATGCGTGAATGAGAAACTGCGCAATTGCAATTGGGCAGGATGTCTCTGCCAACATCATGGGCAAGGGGCTTCATATCGGCAGTTATGCTTCGTGCAGCCGCACGTACAGACCTAAGACGTGATCGAATAGCCGATAAGCAGGTTCTCTTTGGCGAAATTTGCCTGAACGCAATGCTTTCACACAGCTATGCCGTAATCACAAACGCACGGCCTACAACACCGGACCTCTTCGAGATTGATGTACTGGTTCATTGGAATCAAAGCGCAAAAAGAAGTCAACGTAGCCACGGTCTAGAAGCGGTGGTCAGGCGCAGGACTCATCCAGAACTCTCGAAGTACGAAGACGGCTTGGGAGGAGGAGCAATCGCAATCGCAACCCTGCAGCTAGTACTAATATGTATACTGTCAATTTACACGATCCGCCCTGTGTTCACGCGGTTCACAAGCGACCGCGATAAGCCCTGAGCTTTTTCGGTGCCGAGCAATGGGTCTGGCAACGTTGTAAGTGGAATGAATATCTCGCCTCGCCTATGTAGCGCACCTCTGCGATTCCATAGGTCGACGCACCATATCTACCAGGCTACATCCTTGGATTTCGTATTGGCGACCAGTTAGTAGCGACCTCATGCTTGGATTTCGTATTGGCGACCAGTGAGTAGTGACCTCATGTCCAAGAACTGAACAGAAGGGGATGGTGGGGAGTGTAGCGAGAGCGTGACGAGCCGCGGCGTTGGCTGGCCAAGCGCGCTCCAAGAACGGTACGGGAACGTTGCGGTCGCACTAAGTACAAAATCAAAATGTTATTGTGGTGAGGATAGTCATTAATTGCGCGCCGGGATTGAAGAGGTAGGCGAGTGTAAGCGGGCGTGCGTTTCACGGCTTCCCAACCACTGGGGCGGTTTAGTCCCAGAGAGGACACCTGTTGTGGGGGTACTGCACCTCGGTAGCTGGACGGGCGATGAAAGCCGAGGACGACGCGTGTGAGATAGTACCCCCTGCCTGAGTTAGACAATGTCTGGCCGAGGAGATTCTATGTGATCGTGGTGAACCGGCGTTGGGATCGCTTTTCGAACCGTTAGTGATGGGCGTAGTCGGCCACCGGTTCTTTCTCGATCGCAATGCGGACTGTAATGACAAATACTAACGTGATCTGAACGTTGCATGAGCGTTGAACATTGACATGGGTGATAACGCACGCTTACCCAGAACCGCTCCACGTCCAGTGGGACCAGAGTAGGACTGCTCGGGCACCGAAGCACGTTTTACACGATGCTCGCGGAAGGTTCTAGCAAAGACCTAATGAAACTAGATTAAGAGGGTCAAGTTGCCGTCCTCTGGTCGCATGACATGTCTTGAACGCGCGGCGACGGTTGGGAAGAGGAGGCCCGGATCTACGCGTTATCTAATAATCTATTGCCCAACCACCGCCACGCTGATCTCGGCCGCGATCGCACCTCTAAGTGATCCCTCCTCCTCCTCCTCCCCACCGTCGGCCGCTGGGTTCGCCCCGCAGGGCTAGGAGCATCTTCGCACGCGTACCTTGCAAGGATTTTGTCCAGCCGGGGCACCCTATGGGCCCGAAATCAGCAAACGCCCCCGCCAGGAATAGCCAGAGATGCCCAATTTGCTCGACCTGCCTTGGGCACGCCCACACTGTCGCTATGCATCGCAGCGCTCTTGAGGCGGCCAGTGGCCAGGGGTTGCGTTCACACCGCCCACGACGTGCACGCTGAGCGTTCGCCCCGGTGGCCTTTACCTGCGTGTTCTTCTCGTGCCTGGAAGTCACTTGCACGACAGGCGGGCCGCAAGTACTTGGGGCGGATGGACTTGGTGATCCGAGCTCGTAGCATGAGAAAAATGACCTAAAGAAAGTGATCCTAGGACTGTAACGGATTATGATGACGGAGTCAGCGTACCTCATCTGGAAACTACGGAACGAACGGGTGATCGAAGATGATGACCGCCTCGCCGCTCAGCGCTCACCAGCAACGCCGACAGAAATTGAGTCCAGGTGGCTGCAAACAATCAACGAGCGTCGGCAATAGACTGCAAGATGACCGACGAGAAAAAGGACGGTAAACAGGCGATCAGAAAATTCACTGTTGAACGAATATGGAGAGAAACACTGAAAGACGAAGGTGGAATTCACTGCCCGGGGACTGGTCCCGGAGTGGTACTGGGGTGTTATGGGTATCGAGAGAGGTCAGTTCAGGGAGGGCGCACGGGAGATGAGATGGAGCGATGATGGTGCGCCGAACTGACCGGCTCCGTTTTTTGAGTCCCACACTGCGTGCGTAAAAGCATTTCCTCAGCGGTGAAATGAATAAGACGGATCTATGGACCGCCTATCGGGGGGGTTTTTCTTTCCCCAGACCGCTAGCGGGATACCTGGAGACGGCTTTGTCGACTGCCAGGTCCAGCGTTGATCACCTGATCAACGCAACGCTCCGCCAAAAAAATAGAATGCAACTTTAGAGTGTCGTGCAGATCGCCCAGCCCTGGCTTTCTGTTCGCCCGGTGCACTCGACGGTGATGCTACGTATGGACGACGCTGACGATACGGTTCGCGATACGGTTTGCGGGTACGGTTTTCCGTTATCCTCAAACCTCTAGTACAGTACTTACACATTGTTGTCAATGTTCTCGACCTCCTTCCACGCATCGGGCTCTCCTTGCTGCTGCTTTGCCCGCTCGTGCTCGTCTGCAATGACATCTGGCAACACGCACATTTTCATCACGATGATAAGCCGTTGCCATTCCGCTTGTTCTGACCTGTGCGGCTGATATGTGTGCGCCACCTAATATGTAGTGCGGGCGATTTGACAGAAAGCAGACATCGGCGCCGTCAACGCTCGGCAGCGCACGCGGATGTGTATGATCGTGTACTATGCGTGATGGGCTGCCCGGTCATTCTACCGTTGCTCAGTGAATCCTAATTACAGCACGGAGTACATGTACGTCGTACGTCCTTCAACTCTGGCGTCATCTTACTGGGACTGGGAATCTACGTCTGGCTTGTGGTGACCAACCAGCGGTCACACTCCGCTTTCAAATGTGCATGTTTGTGCAGAAAACCCGGCGGAGGTGGGGGTGCGTGGCGCACGGGGACGCCGGACGCAGACGCGGCTGAGGTCGAGGTCGGCGAGGCCCGGCTCTCGCATGAGCATGCCCATGATGCTGTGTCGCGCATACAGGCCGGGGGAACTCGTCTTCAGGCAGGGTCATGTAGTCACGCTGGATAAGCCAGAGCAGGGACGGGGCATGCGAAGCGCGCCGCGAGCGAGGCAGAGTCCACGGAGGGCAGGTCAGCGCGGCGGCTCATGCTGGAAGACGGGCTCTGGGGGGCATGCGGATAAGCAGAGGATATCAAGGTTGTGTGTGCGTGTGTTCGTCTTGTACCTTTCGATAGGCTTGATATGGGGCCCGCCAGACCGGAGGAGAGACTGCAGCGCGGGCAAGGTTGAGGCGGGTCCGCCGCCGGATTGGCGCGAGGAGGGGGTTCCATTTATATTGCTAGGGGTTGACCAGCCTAGCCATCGGTGATCAGAGCTTCAGACCTTCTGGGTCTAGACGTCCGATAGTATATATGATGGGCTCAAATCCGTCTGGAGCATCCGGCTGAGTTTGCGCGCTGTGGAAGAGTACCAGTGATCCGTGACGGGGGTGACAACGCTTGTAAAACGAGAGCTGAATTGGATCATACAGTAAAAACTAAAGCATGTCGAGAGTGTATACGGTGTACATGGGGGCGCAGTACATGTTTTGTGAAGGCATAGAATGTACGCGAGGGCATAGAACATATGTGAAGACGTGTGTTTATAGATATGTGACCAGGGAAGCAATCGAGGCGACATAGAAAGAAAGGACGCATCCAAGCCTAGACATGACGCAAATCAAAGTCCAAAACGGCGGAATCAAACAGTTGTCTTACCTGAATGCTCCGCACAGCCCTCACGCGCCTCGCACGGCTTTCGCAAGCTGGCCCTTGATGTCTGTAATGAGGCCAATGATGGCGATGACATCCTTCTGTAGACAGGATGTGGAAGCGCGCAAGAGAAGCATATCCTGATCGGCTATTCGTCAGCCCATGGAAACACAAGCTGAGTGCACTTGAAAGGTTACCTCATGCATACGCATGATGTCCTGGTGCGATTATGCGTCAGCAAGCATATCACATCATGGAGAATCGAAGGATTACCTGTCGCATGCGTACGATATCCTGCCATGATCATTCGTCAGCGACGTAACCTAAGAACGACCGACTCAAGCATGTACTTACCTGGTGCATCCTCTCACCGCCGTCGTTCGACTTCGGAGGTAGAACCGTGCTCCCGGTGTCACCGCCGTCGACGATGCAGAGTGACTCGACCTCCATGATGTCTTGATCATCCTCGACTTGACCTTGCTCAGAAGAGACGGGGGCAGCTGCAGGCCTGGCTGCCCTGAAGGGCCGACACTCTTTTGTGGCGACTGTAGCCTGCACGGAGTCTACGGACTCAACGAAGCCTTGCGGAGGCTCGCCCCTGTGCGAAGGCAGCTCCCCTAGCTCAGCGACGCAGCGCTGGATGGGTTCAACTTTGGCGTCAGTGAAGGTCGGAGACATCTCTGGACCTCCGGCCGCATCGCAAAGTGGAAGAGCGTTCCTGGCACAGTTAACGTCACCACTATTCCACATAAAGTGAAACAAGTACATACCCCGTGGTATAGACGGAAGGATTATGATACATTGATCGCATACGCTGAGGCGATCGGTCAGCGCCACCCGCGCCGGTGAGGGTGGTCCCCGACGTGTTGCTGTTAGCGCCACGCGAGTGTTCGTGTCCCGTATGGGCCGGGGGTTTTCCGTTAGCATGATAGCGCCAACTGTTCGCATATGAGTTGGTTGGGTCAGAGAAGATGCTTGAGATGCTCACGTAGAGTGGTGGCCCAAGCGCCGCGCAGGATGTGCCTCCGGGTTCGCGCCGCGCAGGCGCTTCACCTGGTGGCGCTCAGGGTCGTTACCAGCCCCTTCATCAACAAGAGCCTTCCCCGACAGCACAGAAGCGACGGGGTATTCTTCTCTAGGGCGTTTGGTCGCTGGAATCATGGACGAACTGGGGTGGCATGGACCGCAGGCTTAGTCTCTAACGAGGCGCAGTGACTGGTACACGCACCTCCCTTCGCAGGAAATAGGCATGCTAGTCGTCGCTGTTGAAACTTGCGCAAGCAAGTGGAAGGCTGTATAACGTTGAGCGATCTTTAAGTGAGCCACAGCGTCTTTGGGGAGTGGGGTCTAAGAGTTACGGTCTCCGAAATCCTTCGTTTATATCCGGTCCTCAGAGCGCCGAACACTGAATCGCACAATAGGTCAGTGCACATGTTGGCCGAAGAACCATGGAAGTTCAGACGCGGGACACCTCCAAACCGACTTTCGCTGAGGCATAATGCAGGTCCGAGTCAATGACATCCCGATCGCGACTAGTCGAGCTCGGAACTTTCCGAGCCTACGGGGCCAGTCCCGGCGTCCGCCGGAGCGCAGCATCTTGCGGTGGGCGGGCGAGCGCCTGTCGAGCAGCGTTTTTCTTCGCTGACCATAGTATAAAGTGTAGTCATGAACCTCGCGCGCATCGTACTTAGCGTGCGAGTAAGTACCCCGCCGCCGAGCACGCAAGCGCCCGACCCCCACCCCACACGCTCCCTCACCCATTTCTGACGGCATGACGACACGGCGCGCGTGGATCTCAACGATGGAAAGGGATGGGATGGAGATGGGTATGTCGAACGGAATTGAAGGTGCGTCGGTAGCATGTCCGCCGAGCCGTTCCCGGTTTGCTGATCGTCCTAGCAGCATCTCATTTATCCTCAACGCTCGTTGCTAGGATCGTGCGTGTCAGCCGGCCGCATCGCGCTCAAGAGCCCGCTCCCGCCCATTCGTCTGCCGCCCTGTTTTATCTTGCCCTCAGGTCTCTTCCCTGCCCGCCCGGCAACATCGCTCCCGTCTCGACCCGCGGTTGCCCTACGCGTCACTCTGCAGCGCGGTTTCACATGCGTCCCGGCAATGATACTGGATGGTATACACAGTCGACCTCCGCGATCCCGCCCTCGTCCTCGGCTCGAAGTCGTCGTTCGTTTAGCGATGTCGTCTGCTAAACGAATGTCTGCCAAACGAATTGCCATCTCCCATGCACTCCACACGAACGGTCTCGACTAACGGTGCATGTCCCGTCGCGCGGATGCTCGTCGACCTCAAGACCTCTCTTCCCCCAACAAGTCATTCTAGACGAGATTGTACCACAACTCCGATCCCCCACTGCGCTCTCGAAAGCCTGAATCCGGCGCCTGCTCAATACATTCGTCGCGCCGGCCCGAGCAAGGCCAGCGTACGTCCTGTTCGGCGACTCGTGGAACATGCGGCATCCGCTCACAGGGGGCTGCATGACCGCTGCGTTCAACGACGACGTTGTCCCCCTGAAGCGCCAGCGTGAGATCGTCTGAAGCAATCTGCGAGTCCACTGTCTTTCACCTGCACATCGACATCTCAGCTCTTCTCGCGCGCGTCCTCCGCCCACGGCTGGCTTGGCCACCCCAGGGCATTGATTGCATATTGAGGTATGTCTTTCCCTTCTGTGTCACTTGCTGACGTCTTCAGTTGCCGTCCCCCTCTAGGGATGCGTCGTCGACCTCTCATCGCGGTCACCGGGAGCTTGCCCGCTGACCGTATCTGTCTTCGCTCCGTCCGGTTGGAGACGGGCACCGTGCCCTTCTGCATGCGCGCGAGGTTCGCGCTGCTCGACGGCTACTTCGGCGGACTCCCCGTGAGCCATCGGGGTCTCACAGGTCCATGGAGTTACACGGTTCGTGCCTCACAGCCTTTGCTTGACGAACAGACACTTGCACCGTCGCAGGCGGCGGACCATCAATTTGGGGCCCGATCACGCCCGACTCGGACACACGCTGTCCGGCCTTATTGAGGAGGAGGAGGAGGCTCCGTTGTGACTACGCTGCGTGAGGACGCGAGGGAGCGGCTGACCCGGACTTCACTCGATGGTGGGCGTCACGACCAGAATGAACAACACGCGCTGATCACTCATTAATCTCTCCGCCAACCCTGCGAGATGTGCAGTCATCCCCCATCCACTTCGCAGCGTCTCTGTCGCGCGGTGAGTCCTGCCGCTCGGCCTGTAAGTACAGCGCCGACCACGCCACGGGCCGCTTTGCCCTCCGAGACGGTTTGCCTAGGGCACGGATAGCAAGTGCATTTCTCCACTCACAGGCCTTCTGCTTACCACATGACCTGTAGGCCAATTGCGTCGTATTCTACGCCAGGGTGCCGGACTTCAGAGGGTCCGCCGTCCCCTTCAATCAACCAGCCTGTGTAGGCGGCCGACCGTCGACCTACCTTGACGAGCAATGGGACAGCGTAGATCAAACAGCTACTTCCCTTCTCGGTTGTCTGCCCTGGGGCCATTGTGAGCATCCGTGCGGGAGCGATATTTTGATGTTCATTGTGCCAGTTGCAGTCGCCGTCTGTTTCTTCGCCTGCACGGGGGAGAGATATCGCGTGACCTTGATACACGACGAATAGTGGCTTCCGTCTTTGCGCAGTGGGCGAAACGCATGATAATGTCCCAGAATTGCGATCGGTTGCGTAGCTTCACCCAATACCAGCCGGGTGGCAAGCTTCGTAAGGCGTCTCTGAAAGGCGATTAGGGAAAAGCTTCAACGTGACCCAAATTCTCAAGCTAAGTTTCACCTTAGAGGTATACCTCTGCAATCTGGCTGATCAATCGCGCACTGGCTGAGCAGTTTGAGAGGGATACCGCCGAGAAAGCTAGCTCGCAGCCAATGCCGATACCTATGTGCTATGCGGTAATCCTGTTGACGGGGATTGCGGGTATCGGCGTTGTGCTACGGTTACAGCTGTAACCTTGTGTGCATACCATAATTCCGTTGCCATGTATACTGCACGTCATCCCAGTACTAGTGCTCTGTGCGAATCCTACGTCGCATTCCTGCAGCGGCACTGCGGATTCGTTCACACTGGCAGATTGATCAAGGATAGCGATGAGTTCGATGAGAGCGACGCTGACGCACGCTACATACGTAAAAACATGTTAGGCATTGCGCATGGACTCGGAGACTCGAGCTCAGAGTCGCTTTCGGGCGAAGAGAGCTCATTGAGCCACAACCGCGCCGCGACCGCCACCTGACCAATGATGGATAAGGCCGGCATCATTATGCCAGTAGGGCTAGGTTAATATAGACGTCAGACATATGGCTCCGACTGGTCCGCTTGCGTAGCTGCCGCGTAAGTAGTCTCCGTCCGATCCTCGTACCTTCATCCGGTGTCTTGCTCGGTCGTCGATCACGAAACATGGCTCTAGAATACGTTTCGATACGGGACTTGACAGGGGTGCATAATGACGCTGTCAATTCTGTTGCGATCAGCCCCGACGGAGAACTCATCGCCAGCGGTAGCTCCGATTGTCTCGTCGTCGTCTGGTCGCTCGACACGGGATTACCTCTGCATCGCCTTGTTGCTGATGCCGCTGTACTTTCTTTAACTTGGCTGGAAGATCCACGCATTCTTACTGTCGGCACAGCCAACGGCTCATTGCTTACGATCTCCGTTGATTCGGTGAGTCCCTTGATCAAATTCTCTCGTACGCACGATGGCAATAAATCAAGCTCATACGGCTATGACGACTATGAAGTCCTGCATCACTGTTTCGGGATTCAATGCACACTCAAGACCTATCGAGTTCTTAGCCACCACTGTCGACCGTGCAGTGACCGGAGACCAAGACACCCCGCCACCTAGCCGGCTCGCGTCCGCGGCTCAAGATATAGTAAAAACTTGGACATGGGAGGCGAAAGGTATGCAGGGTGTATCCATATGGGACAGGTTGTTCAACCGTGATCTTCGCAGGATGGGAACACAGGGACACTATTCCACCGCCGCCCTCGAACTCATACAATCGAGGCGAGCCCCCCATCGTCACCTCGGTACATTGGTTATGCAATAAGAAATCCACGCGAGACTATCTGTTAGTTTCTTATCTGCATCACAGTATATAGTACGTACGCGACTGCGAGTGCATTAGCGCGAGCTTTCGGGCTGATTCCCTCTAGTTGTCATGCTTTGGAAGGTGGATCCTTGGAAGCGATATGGGCCATCCATGTTCCGTTGTGGTAGGACAAGACTGTTCGGTGCTCTCCTCACCCACTGAAATAGCACATTCTCAGCGGATCATGTACTGTCACACCAAAGGGTGACCACTTGGCCTATTCCAACATACTCAAGGGCTTTGAAATTTACGACCTTCCAGCGGGAACCCCCAGTGGTACTCACATCACTTTCAGAAGACCCCCTGCTGTGGCAGTGCCTCTGCCCGTGATGTACATCCACGATGGTACAATGTTGGCTTGTGGCGACTACGACGGCAAAGTGAGGTTAGTCGAGCCTGAAAATGGTGAGCACTTCCAGACGCTGCACCACAAAGGTGACCGCCCTTTTACAAAGAGATTCCTCAAGTACTTATCGTACCATACTGCAGACTGGGTCACCATTCAAGCAATCGACGTGAGCAGACGTCCATGGAAGTGTTATGACTCATGGAAAATCGCCTTCAGCATTTTTACAGCAAGGCCACCGATACTTTCCTAATCGCCTGCGGCGGGAGCCACACTGGACGACCAAACAACATACGCATTTGGGGGGCAGCAGAGGTCGAAACAGATAACTCGTCTGCCGCGTCCACTCCTTCTCCAGTTGGTATACGTGACTCGCTCAGCCACTCTATGTGAATTCTGACTATTTCTTGCATTGCAGTGGAGCGCAGATTGACCGACGAGCTTTGACTCTTTGTCAAAGCCCATCGACAGGAAAGCTTGCCGGCTGCTTCTCCACTTCCCCGACGTCCGATTCTCACACCATGTACTGAACAGTCGCCCGACTTCAACTCTTCTCTCCCTCCCATCCACGTCCCGTCGTTTATTTTTCGTCACGTATTGTTCCGCTGCGGGAATCCACTCCCCGCTGGCTTGAACTCGGTCTGGTTGTCAGGTCAGTTTATAGTCTGTATTGTGTAGCGAGTGACAGCGGCATAAAATCCATCTTATTTCGTTTGCCAATCACTGAGGACGATCGCAGGCACATATACAAATTCCGCGTGAGGTATACAGATATGATACATAGTCGATAAGCGAGCATAAGAGGCAGCGAACACCATTACGACACGAGGAATCACTGCGACAGGGCCTGGGACGGTAGAATCGAGACCACTCTGACATCTGTGAATTCCCGGGATGAGTGAGCGACGACGCATTGCGGACACGCAAAGCGCACTCACCGAAGATGAGGACCGACTTCGGCGGGACGGGCGTGTGATTAATTAACACGGGCGTATCGCCATATGCGGCGTGAGATTCCAACTCAAGAATGCGCCTGCCTCCAGCCTTCATGCCAGTGATGCCATTTGCGAGCCCCGGAAGAGTTTTGTCGACACTAACATGAAGCCGGAGCTGTAGCAGCAGTGAGTGACAGCGATGATCACCGTTGTCAATGGTATCGTACCGTTTGCTGTTCAGATATGGTGTCCACGAAGTAGGCGTTCGTCCCCTTGACCTTGCCAGTGAAGTGGATGTTTACGTAGTCACCTGCTTTGACCTCACGCCCCTGGCCCTCATCGATGTTGTGTACGTGTACGCCTGCCATATTGGGAGGAGCATTTTCCTTCGGCTCAACCAGCGTCGGGCCGCTCGAAGGGCGAGTAACACTGCTGGCCGGCCTTTCCGCGGTTATCTGCCTCGGCATCGCAGGGAACATCATAGCCCGGTTGGGGAGCGCAGCAGAGGGCCTAGTTGATCCTGTCGCCTGGCCGACCGCTTCGTGCGATGCGCGTGCTTGCTCGCCACTGTCTCGCTCTGTACGAGCGCGTTTCCGCTGCTGAGCGGAGCCAGCTCTGCGTGGTCATAACTCAGCAACGGGGCTCGAAGACGACAGTGGACACTCACTCGGACGCTCCTGTAAGTCCTTGCCCTGCTGTCGGAGTCAAAGAACCTGCGCACGATATGGCCATGAGTTATGCACTTAATTTGAGTTACGACCGTGTACGCAGAAGACACGCAACGTACCAGAGTAATAACCCAACAGGTGGATCGCTCTAGATGTTGAAGCATTAGTGCGGCTTTCACAAGTGGCAAGACGCCACTCACGTCGCTCCCGTGGCCTCAAACTCGTATTCCTCGTTCGCGGCCAGCCATACATCAAGGACAGATTGATTCACCTACAAGCGCATGCGTCAGCCCCGTACATGGTCTTGAAGTGTGAAGATCTCGCTTACCGTGCCAGGTGTCAACGAGCAAATGATGGCAGCAGCGCGGACCTTAGCGCCATGGGAATAAGACCCAGTGGGGTATGTCAGCTCCACGTACGTAACGTCACGGTTAACTTGGTCCTTATCCAGAGCAGCCTGTGTGATGTGCAGTGTGTGGCCTGCCGGAGAGAACCTTACGCGCTCCCCAGGTTTCAGCGTCAACGCCCTGGTCTCATCAGCTGCTTCCTCCAAGGCACAGAGCGTCACGACGTACCAGAAAGACTGTACGGTTGTCATTCCGATGAGCGAGGTCAAAGTCAAATCAGCAGAGGACGGCGATACCGAAGGCTTCGCGACGACCTGGACATGCTCTCTTATGGGGCTGGGCAGACAATGCAAGACACCATAGTGCGAGCTAGGCGCAACAGGCAAGAACAGAGACTCGCGTAACGTGGCAAACAAAGGTGCATGGGTGAGGACATCCGGCCGAAGTTCTTTGTTCCGGCGTGAAGGGGTTAGCGCGCTGTGTGTCAAGATTCGAAGGCTGTTACCCTGTCGAGGAGTTGAGATCTGAGATCTGCCAGCGAGAGCTCCTTGGGGGCGCCGGCATGGTAAGAGCCAGAGAAGAGCAGAGACACGTTACACGTGCGTCGATGCTTACCGTCCTCTTCCTCCTCTCTCTCGCGCCCACATTTGGTTGGCCGTTTCACAAAGCGGGAGGGAGATCCAACGGACGACCGGTACCGTCCGAGTCGCCCAGACGGATGTTCATCTGTGCTCACGATGAACGTGCTGTTTGGCGGTGTATAGATGGGCGCTAGCGGACGGAAGGCGACGGTTGGCCGGACCGTTTGTGCGTTCAACGTTCCAACGCTCAACCAGCGACGTTGACTCTGCATCGACCCGTACGCACTCCTTCATTGGCTACGATCCTTGGATCCTGACATGCTATTCAGAAGGGCTCCGCTGCATCCAACAGCCGGAGAATCTCGAAAACGTTGGAGTGCAGGATTTCAGGTGAGTTATACCCACTAGTGAGCGCGTTGCGACGTGTCTGAGCGCGCGTCTGTTCTTCCTCCGTGTACACAGGGGAGCATCGTGCGGAGGCAGCTGTCGCTCGTGCATGTGCCGGTGGGCGACGTCGGCAGCCAGCCCCGGATCTATCGGTCGTGGACAAAGCCCCGGATCACCCACGAAGTGTCGGGGGGGGCGATGTAGATGCTGATACCAACGAGGACAAAGTTGCCTCTGTACGGCCATCCCTGATCAACGACGGAAATGGCCGCATACGTCTCTCGCACTTGCGACTGTAATCCCCGCACCCACTCTCGCACCCGAGCTCCTTACGGATCCGCCGGCGTCAGCAGAGCGCGGCCAGTAGCAGTGATCCTTGTCTAGACTCACGCCCGCGCAGCTACTGAGTCGTCGGATACGCTCCTCGGGTCGCCGATGAACACGCAGAACAGACTCTCGCGCTGCGTGAGCTCGACCCGCAGCGTTTCCGTCCATGACCACCCGGCAAGAAGCTATCGCGATCCTCATCCTCATCGGAAACGCTGCACGTAGGCTGTACGTTTGAGTCTGCGTATCATTCTCGGCGTATGGCAGTCACCTGCAACTTACCCGTCAACTTGCAAGAGCATACCTCAACCTCTATACCTCTACCCCGTTCTCATCACTCTCCCCATCATCTGTTGCGCCGACTCGGGCGCCTTCAACGTGACCCCGCGTCCGTCTAGCGGCTTCGGCAGGCTGTTCAATGCGAAGTGCTTCCCTCCGGCTACCTCACCAGGATTGTCTTCGCTCCCTGCAGTTCCTCCGCGCACCGGTGAAGATGAAGAAACCACAGTGCCGTGTACCCAGGCAAGTCCGGCTCTTATCCCCGCATTGAAAGACGGGGAATCGGCAGAGCCCGGCGGAAGGCACCACGTCTGCCGCCTGCTGTCCTCGCCCTCTACCGGCAGCAGTCATGCGGCTGATCGAGGACAGGGGGCTGACATCGTGGGGCGTACGCAGAACACGGTGAAGTACTCGGTGAATATCCGCCACGAGTGGGAGGAGAACCTCGCCCGGATCCTTTCGCGAGCTGCAGATGGAGGACGCTGCGGAGGAGGACGTGAACGAGGACGGCGCGCAACCCGCGAGGGATAGCGTGTACGAGCAGCAGGGCGGACACGCGCGAACCACATTGGCAATACTTCCGGGTACGCCTTCGGACGGAGCCCACTCGTATCACGCCTATATCGCGGACCCCGTTCGCTGGCGATCATGCGGGTCGAGGTGTCAATCCTACTCAGGCTTCTACTCGTCTCTGCTCTCCTGTCGCGCCTATTCCTGCGTGACCTCCAAGCAATGTGTTGTGCTTGATCTCCTCCAGCATTAGCAACCCGTATAGCGCTATCTGCAACGAAGTGCTGCTCACTAGTTGACGCCGCCCACATGGATCTCAGCGACGTCCATCAAAGCGTGGTTTGGCTACGGTCCTCTCTAGCGATCGTGAGTCCCGCTTGTTCATCACCTCTGGCGGTTGCGGACGCGACGAACGCCGACATTTCAGCTGCAGCGCGACCCAGTCTCACCCCGACAAATTCGGTGTCAGACACCCCGTGATACATGATCGCCCGGCTTTCCTTCCGCCGCGTCATATTCCAGGGTGACGCCCGCGTCAGTCATGGACTTCGAGATCATGAAGCCCATCAGCGAAGGCGCTTTCGACTTTTGTCTTCCTCGTGGCACATAACCCTGCTAGCGGCTACTTCGCGACCAAGACGGACGATTGTGAAGGACCAGGTCGTGAACGTCAAGGCGGGGCGTATGACCTCATGGAGCAGGACCAGTCGTCGTTTGTCGTCAAGCGCTGCTTGGCCTTTCAGGGCAAGGAGAACCTCTGTCTCGTTATGGTGCAGTCAACAGCGGCAACGGCGCCGCGCTACCCGGTCGCTCGGATTTCTACTCAAAGAACGGGCATGCAACTACGTCGCCGAGGCAGTTCTTGACGTGGAACGTTTATACCGGCTTGGTACTGTACATCGGTACGTAGCGTCTGTGTCTGCCATTGTTCAATTGACTAACTCTTCTTGCTGCCACAGTGACGTCAAATCTGTTTATATTGGTCCATCGACGAGTGCGGTCACCTTAAGCTCACTGACCTCGGGGATACTCAGCTTCTCTTCGGGCTGCGCGCGTGGCGAAGACATAACCCTGGAACACGCGCGCCCTCAAACGACTCTGCATGCATCGGGTTCACTGGAGTTTACGCCCGGCCTACGTACTTAAGGTTCGGACGATAATCCTCGGCCAGGACGGTCACCTCAATCGTGGTCTTCGAACGCCGTCAATGTAGTCTAGCGGCTCTGATCACACGGCAGTCAAACGGCGAGCAATAGTCGCACACGGACAGTCCCCCACAGTTCCCCGCGACTGAAATGATCACCGACCTCCGCTTCTCGCAGTATCCCACCTGGAAAGCAGAAGACGGTGGGCACGTCAGGCTCCCTCGCCCAGCGAGATCATGAAGGGTTGTAAGTACCACCTGAATGATCTGCCCAGCATTAACGCATCCATCGCGCCCACCGACGTCCTCTTCTCGGCCTCCTACAAGAGTTCCATAATCTCCCCCATTGCAGACACCATCATCCCCGCCACAATCGCCTTCACCGTGTTTGCGCCCTCCAGGAGACCATCGGGCAGGTGCCGTACACGCATTGGGTTGGTGTAGGCGCGCGCTCCCAAGTCCTGCAAGGCGAGCAGGGCGTCGCCGACCTCCCTGGCGAGCAACGTCGTCGACGACAGATGTGCAGCTCCTTGGTTGGAGTGCTAACGCCACGCTTGCTCGCACCGGTGACGAGGCGAGCCGTGAGAGCCTCGGGCTCGGCGAGCGTCGGGCAGGGAAGGGCGCTGCGGTGGAGGGGGCTTGCATGTGAGCGGGAAGGTGAAGAAGGGCATCGCTGTACGACGAGCGGTGGTGCACAGACGATCGTGGAGGGCGGGAAGGGTAGCGAGGTTGTCGAGATGACTAGGTAGAACGCAGGGCGCACTACCGCTCAGTGGGCACGCAGAAGCCGGAGCAACGGCAGGCAGCAGCGAGCTTATCTGCTAGCTGGGAGGATGCGAGCGTGGACGATACTCCGAAGGATGGAGGCACGCAGGAGGAGGATGAAGAGGAGGGCGGGGAGACGCACAATGTAAGCACGTTGAAGCGCCCAAGGAATATATTTAAGAGGACTGCGTCGCATCTCTAACGATGCCACTCCACCCGCACTGGCTAGCATTCAGAATGCTGTTCCTCCTCTGCGTCTATATGCTGGTCAAAGCCGCTGTAGACGCTCTTCCTGAAGGCCCCCCTGTGAGGACTAAATGGAAGCCCCTCCTCCTCCTCCTCCTCCTCCTGTGCCAGCGTAAGTCTCAAACATGGGTTTATAAAACGGAAAGTCAGGATTACTTTCCTTTGTGACAGCGGCGTGAAGATCCGCTATGCCGGAACAGCGGACATCAGGCGGCTTACGCGCGCTCCGTGACAGTGAACTCCCCTACGTGCTCATTGTCCGGCTCACAAGTGGGAGATGTAAGCTTTCACTTGCTGCGGAATTGCTAGAGAAGTCATGCCTCTCACCACCTAGATGTTGTTCTCGTCTCGCCGGATGCGATACTTCCCGTTCCGCGCATCATGGTGCTGTCAGGCAGTACAGTGTACATTGTTTCAGAGGTATGATTTGTTTCTCGAGGACATCTCGCAACTGGGCATTGATGTACACATTGATCGTATAGCCTGCGTTCGCGATCCGCTGGGCCCATTTCACTGGCGATACCTTAATGTGGTATGAAGCAAGGATCCCGGGCCCCGATATTGAACCGTTCGAGGAGTTCGCCACCTGCTTCCTCATGAACTACGGATTTGCCCCGCGCGACACTGGCGCCGATGATGCAATCGACACGTATGAGATCGCGCACATCTACAACCGATTCGAAGATTGTATTTTGTGGGGTTCTTTCGAGGACGACACGACATGGGCCCACGTTCGCGAAGCCTACTGGAGGATCTTCGCTTTCTCCGTAGCCGCACACTATATGATCGCGGTCCTTAAGATTCTCGTAGCGATGTAGCACGCGAATCCTTTCCTCCACACATCCGAGCTATGTGTATAGTCTCATTGCCCCAATTCTTGGACAAGGGTTCGCGAGGACAGTTTCCCTTTCGGTGTCATACCTTCCCGAGCTGTCGTACTCCTCTCGCCGTCTTTTACCACCCTTCTTTGCGCTCCCGCTTTCCAGAACATCTCCACTGCTCTGCGTATACTTCTACTGGGCTGTATCGCCGTCTATGTATCGATGCCTCTCCCCAACTCTCTTCTTCGACCGGCGCGTTACACGCGACGAGATGGTTCATGTGTGCAAAACGCAGCAAGTACTTAGAGAAGGTTGTCGCACGCAGGTTTCATACAGCCCCCACGAGATATCGCAAGAGCACGCAACCATGAAGACGATCTAACACGCCGCTACCAACAATGGAGATGGCGCCGCGTTTGTCAGGCAGGCACTTGGGCGACTTCCTAGGTGCGCGGCAGCTCTGACGGAGGCGGAGAAGTGTCTAGGGCGCTGCAGTACTACACAGACGAGGTACGCGGTACTAAGATGCAAGGGCGAGTTTGTAGGCTGCGATTGGGAGAAGTCTAAGGCAAAGGGGATGATGCTGTTCTGATACGGGATTCCGAACCGGACAAGCTAGGGGAAGCGATAGTACTAGTAGGGGATTCGAAGATGATACGATGGAGGCCGCGCTCATCGAATCAACGACCACGCAACATCCTGTGTTCTGTATGAGTGACGGTTTCGTGGAAAAATACTTACGGGCAAGTCTTACTTTCGCGTGACTTAGACTTAGTGGAATTGGCGCCCAGTCGACGTGCCCGAGGCGAGACCGAGGCGGCCTTGCCAAATCGGGATGAACTTCGCACTTGCCGAGGGCACTGCATGCTCCAGACGGTTTCCCCGTTATTCTCTGTGACGCACAGTGTTCCTTCATTCACTTCTGTCATATGAGTTACAATATCTTTGTCTTTCGAGTTCATGAGAACCACGGGGACTAGTAGTATTGGCTCTCCCCGGAGTCTGAATTTTCTACTGAAGCATCTCAGGCCATACATCTCGTTGATAATGATTTTTGAGAGGAGTTTCACGATCCGCTTCTGTAGAATCATAAGCAGGCTTCCGCATTCGTGCTATCCATGCCGTGCAATGAACAGCACCGCGCGAAGACAGAGTTGCCATAAATGACTAATGATTCCGCATTGGGCAATTGACCAGCCACCGAAGCGAAATCAGGTGTTCTAGGATGGTGCATACCAGTGCCACCGATCTTTGCCTCGCCGCAATCAATATACAGTGCTGACATGGCCAGAATTATCGGAGATCGTAGAGACCAAGTGTACGAAACGGAGCGAAACTATGTCTAAGGTGTGCGGATCACGTGTCAACTAAGTAGTAAGTCTTACACGATAACTAAGTCCTGAATGTAAGTATTTTTCCGTGATAACGACCGTCATAGTTCTGTCATCGACACCGCCACATTGCTGTTCCTCGCAAGCGCGATTTAGCGAGGACAGAGCTACGTAGACGAGGCACAGCTCCCTACCAGGCGTGGCACCCTGTGTGGTATCGCGACCCTCATCCAGCAACAATTCGATCTGAGCAGCAGACACACCAGGCTGCACAGCCTGGGATGTCATGCGACTCGCTTGAATTACTGCGAGCTAACGCACGGCGGTAATGTCTCTCGTCTAAGGATACTGATGTTGGTACACGATTGCAGATACCGCGCAGGATTGTCCAGAGGCCCGACCACCGTTCTGAAGGACCCAGGTCCAACCTCAAGTTCAAGGAGACTACTAGTCCTCAGCGATGGTTGATGTTCACTGCTCAGCGCTCAGCGTCGGGACCGTTAAACTTCATCGTCAAGCTTTAAACGCTCACTGGCACCTGGGCCACTTGGAGCGATCGGAATGTCCGAAAATGGACGGACCGTGCCGTGACCGCCAATCCCGTTAATCAGTCTATCCCGAGTACGTACTTACAAGACCGTTGAGCGTCTCCATCTGCTAGCACCTTTGCGTGGTCGCCATCGCCGTCGTTACCGTTGCTGGAGACGGGAACGGTGGCAGGCGCACTCGCTGAGTCCTTCAGCATTAATGGCCAACTCAAATTATGGGCTCCAGTATAACCTTGATCAGGAGGGCCAGGCGGTCACGACCACATCACGGTATGTTTATCGGAATGTTTGCTATGACCTGCTATCGACGCGTTGACGGTGTGTAGATTCAACCGCCCAGCACGCGGCTACACGGGCGCAAGTCGACCGCGGAGCGTGCTCGTCGCGGGCATGGAGAACGGATAACCAGACATATGGGACCTTACGAAGGTCGTCGCAAATGCTAGGTTAGCATCATCGACCACTGCGCGTCGTTCGTTCAATTTTGATACGTCCAACAGTCCGATAGAGTCCCTAATTGCAGGCAACTCGACACACGGGCCCCGTACGGGGACTTCAAGTTGACTTCAACCCGGCTCAGACAAACTTGTTCTCATTAGGTGCGGTGGACTGGGAGCTGTGTATGCCTATCTATTGCGCCTTGATGTATGCGGATGTATGGGTGTACGGTGTCGTTGGATATACGGTCTTTTTGACTGTCTCGGTCACCATGACTTTCGCGCGGTGCTGCTTGCGACCCGCAACCAGGTACCTGGGGTATACTCGGAACTGTAACAGGCCCGGGGCACCCGACTTCAGCTGGGGCTTTTTCATGACATCTGAACGAAGCTTGACATTATCAGTAAAATTCGTACATAGTAACCAAGTTGGTTAAAACATACCTATCACCATGATTGAACCGAGTCTCAGTGGCGAGATGCATGACGCAAGGAACGCGGACGTGTGCACGAAACAAGCACATCCTGCGTATCATTGCCGGACACAGCACGTACGATATCTCGAACTTCCGCGACCATCTCTGCCCAGAGGGTATGAGCAACGATGCGTTCGTTCGGCCTCAACCCCCTTCCTCTCCGAGAACTCGTCTACACCACTCTCGAGCATATCAACATGTTTCTCACTTTTTCGCCCGCCGCCACTGTGCAGGGTGTCGATGCCGCCTCTCCACGGAGCACCTCACTCATTCTGTCGGACTCGATCAGCTCACTGTAGAGCATTCTAAGCATAGAGGATATGTCGTGGTCCTTCCGGTCAGACTCGCGGAAGACATGATGGGCCCTGACTGGCGTGCGCATTGCTCCCGGAAGCCGCCTGTCGAGCACCTATCTACACTCATCACGTCGCCCACGTCCATCACTAACCCGTCGTTTGATGGCGTCGACCGGGAAGACCCCTTCGGCTTCGAGATCCGCCCGCCACCCCTCTCCGTCAGGTGTGTCCGACGAGCGAGACCGTGGACATCCCGCGCGCGATGATGCCGGCGCCGAGTCGAACGATCTCGACCCTGTGTCCATTCCCCGGATCAATGCTCACGCACATGAGGGCGAAGACAAGACGAGCATTGCTCACCGGCGCCGGAACTCTGTGGAGCTACGATGCTGAAATAGATGCATGATGTACTCACCGTCATTGGCCTGTGAGCATAGTACACGAGGCACCCCCGACAAAAATGGGGCAGGAAGTGCCCGCGTCGTCGACCTTGGCCGATGACGAGGCTGTCATGGATGATGCATGAACGCAGCTCCTTGCCAGTGCGCATAGCTCGCGAATCACAATGTTGAGCCTGCGAGATGGAAGAATGGCAACTCACCTGCACGTATCCATCATTGGGCGGCGGGCGAGGGCAAGTTGACGTCGAGACCGCATAAGTGACTAAGTGGGGGTTGGTTGAACGTTGAACGTTGAACGTTGAGTGGGGGTGGCGGTAAATAAAGTATGAGACGGAGACGAGTGTTGGGATTCTCTACGCCGACGACACGCAGGCACACGAGAGCTTACATAGGTCGCCGAAGGGTGTCGTCGTAGGGTCAAAGGAGAGACGGAGGTTAGCTCCCTCGATGCATCGACAGGTCTTGCAGCTCAGATGTGCATGTGACCAGGCAAGGCGCCAATTAGACTGACTACGGTAGTCAAACGGTAGTAACGGTAAAGTACTTAAGTACCAGGTCACGGTGCTGTCGAGCTGAACAGCCCCCGGTGATCCAGATCAGTATCACCCGAGCCGCTCAGAGTTTTCTCACGTTATGCCAAATGGGCGTGTATAGTCGCTCGTCGAGAGCGACGTCGACCTCATATATAGAGGAAATTGACTCAGAGTCCATGATTGAAGAGGATTCTAAGGACCAGCGTCGGCACTGCAAACCACGGAAAAGGCAGCCATCGCATCTCGCTGGGCTTTTGCAGACTCGTCTTATTGCGCCAGGCGTATACGCGTCCATCTCGCCCTCCGAATTCACGCGTCATCGATTCATCATCAAGACGACTAGAGAGAGGAGTCCCTTAACGTTTGTGCTCCATATGCGCTCGTCAGACTACGAATGCTACAACTCTTGTGATCGCTGCTTGAATCAGTACTTATATGTAGGTATAAGCGCTAAGACACTGAGCACTGAGCTCGCTGGCTACCGTTTCGCTCATACCGTCACTGGCAATTGTCCGACTTCGCTCTCAGGCCTCAACGTTCGAAATTCTACTCCCGCCCGACCATGTCGTTTGAATCGTCAGCTGTGTACTTCGTCAAAGTGGACCTGCATACGAGTGTACCCGAGCCAGCTCCATGTCTCACCAGTGTCACTACGACCGCGGATACATCACTTAGTGCCACTGAAGTCTCCCCCGTCGAACAGGCGAGTCTACGCTCCGGTCTACCTTAGCTGTTACCATGCTGAAGAACGGGTACCCATAGCCTGGGGCAACTGTATCGCAAGATCATATGATCAAGCGTTGTGCACACACGGGATGCCCTTCTACTGGATGTGTTTCTACAGGTCCGTCACGAATGACTCGGTGTACGGGTCGTCACGATGGATCCGTGGTGAGGTTGAGAATCTCTCTAGAAAGCGTGAATGGTGGAGGAGAACGGTTGTGTCCTTCGGTGGGCGAAGACATCGCGATCATTGACAACATCGCTAGAGACCCACTGGTGCGTCTGTCAAAAGTTGCAACTAGTACATATGTGATGGTCTCAAAAACCTGGATCATTCAGGTACACAGCGATGCGGTTCCTGACTTGGTCAGCGTCTCTGCTCAGTCGGAGCATATAGTGAGTGTCAAACTACTGCTACGCCGTGTGTTGCTGAGATAGGCTTTCAATCAGATGCTCTTGTCCATTGTGCGTGGACCCCAGGAGCCGCAGCAATCTGAGTACCTGTCGATGCAGTCCTCGTGCGTGCATCTTCCAGATTGCTTGAAGCGTATTCGACTCAAGTTATCGCAACGTCTGCCAGCCGATTCCAGGGAGCTCGCTGCATCAACTAAGCAGCTCGCGCGCAAGTTGGTCTCAAATCCGATTCAGAGCGCATAATACTCGTGAGTCGTCGCTGTCCGAATTGCGGCTGCAGAAATATGATTGATCTGGTTAAATCTGCGTCTACACTGTTTCTACACTGTTTCCCAACATGCGGTCACATCGAGTCCGATCCTGCTTGCGTTGCGGACCTACGAGTGCATCGTGTACTGTATGATTGTTCCTTTCCTCTCCCCACCACACCACTTGTTTGTGCCTTCCCGACAGCAGCCCTCCATCCGTGCTTCCTTTGCATCCTCTGCAGCAGTGCAACAGTACGCATACTTTTGTCAATTGCATACTTACCTTTCCCATGGTGACGCCTTGGTTTTGAGTTGCCATGGACACCTGTCGGATGGCACGTCCTCGACTCCGGTCGGTAGGCTGCATTCCGTCGCATGCGCCTAACGACCACTGGACTTACTGATGCTTCAAGTTCCGCGCATGGAGTCTCGGCACGGGGAAATTGGATACTGTCCAGTTCTTGAGTGCCAATCTGGAAAACCTCCATCCCTTGTTCGCCAGACCAAGGCTCTCTTCCGAAAATGTTGGCCCCTCAGCCATATCACATCGCTGGTAACGGCAAATATTCCGTGAGCCTTTTTTTAATCGGCTGATGGACGTTCTAGCGTCCCCTGACCCGCTGCGCCACCGCGCACCGTCGCGACTCGCCGAGTCATCCAGCCCCTCGCGCGCTGACGCGTCCTTCACCAACGCCGTCTCCGAGTCAGCGTCGACAAGCGCGACCGCGAACCGCCGACGACCCAACGCGTCTCGGGCCGCGATTGACATGGTTCCGTCCTCGTCGTTGCCTTTGTCATCGCACGTCCCAGTACTGTCCCCGTCCCGCCCCCTTCTGGATCGTAGTGGCCAGGCTAGGACATGACGTGCACAGACACACTTCTGGCGGCAGACCCGATGCGTTGCAATGATGTTCGCGTTGGCGAAAGGGTCGGGTGATCGCATCCGCAATTTGTCAAACTGTTTGTTTCCCTGTACGTTATGTTCCCCGTCGCGCACCCGCCGCGTCCTTCCTTCCGTGCACCTTGCTGTCCCGCCCACTACATGCCTTTCCAAGCATTCTCGCCGCCGCATCACATCGTCGCCACCACTCTCGCGTCTCCCTCCGTCACCCGCCGCCACCCTTCGGCGCCCCGTCGTCGTCAAGAAGCCGCTGGGCGCTACAGCGTCCCCGGCCGACGACTAAATGGACCCACCCTCCTCCTCCTCCCTCCCCTGCGCGTCGTCCACGTCTACGCCCTATCCTATCATCCACGTCACTCCGTGCCGCTCCCGCCACAATCCCGACCCGTTATCCGATTATACTGCTGCTACGGCACATCGCGCGCCTCCAGTCGTGTAGGAATCGCCGCCCTGTCATTCCGCAGCCGGCATGCACACGCATCTCGCGCCAAGAGTACTTATTCACAAAGACTCCCAATGACCTCTTGGGAATCACGCACCCCCGCGCCCGCCTCCCGGCACGCACACTCTGAGCGCATTCAACTCTCCCGCTGCGCGCACGCGTGCCCTGGCGCTCGAGGCCGCGCTTGGTGGTCCGGACCCGATGGTGGCGCGTGTGCTGCGCGAGCTACGGGCCACCGCATTAGCTGCCGACCATTATCTCACGTCTAGCGGCCAAATCGCTGCTCGCAAGTTCGGGTTCATGGGCGAACGAACATCCCGGAACCGTTCTTCCTGGCACCCTCATGCACTCTGCCCCGGGACCGCCCCGACGCCAGCGTCCACCACCACTCAGGCAGCTCCCTTGGTGTCGGCTGCGTCTGTCGCTACTGCGCATGCTCCCGCCTCGATCGCTACTGAGGAGAGTTCAGACAGGACCAGCGATCATCGATCATCACCCGGTCCGTCCGCCCATTCCCCGCCAGCCATCTGACTACTAACCGGTACCAACCTCCGGTTCGCCGGAGTTGATCAGAAGCGTTTTGAAGAGATTGAAGCCCGCATCGAACAGTACAATCGCGTCCTGTATCGCGACACCACTTGCTACGGATCACAGTGAGATCGCGTAACGCTTCATTCCATTGATGCATACTATACGAACTGCAACTGTACCGCCCTGATAACACAAACTAGACTACAGCGCATTAATTCATACAGACGATCACCCTGCTCTTGCACTCGTCGTGCCTCACCATTCAGTTGGGAATCAAGGGAAGTGTGCGGGGCGGCGTCTAGCGAGCCATCCGCATCCGCACTCTGATGCGAGACATCCTCATTACCACACTGGCCACGCGCATTGTATGGTTGCTGGCGCATCTGCGAAGGAGTTGGCGGGCGGATAGTCAAGTTGGCGGGCGAGTGAGTGACAGCCGAGTTGAGAGTGGGCGAGTGGGTGGATGGCCGAGCAAACGGACGTGCGAGGGAACGGAGGCGTGAAGGAGCGGGCGTGCGAGGGAGCGGGAGAGAGAGCGGACGAACAAGTGAGCGAGAAGCAAGTGGGCGCACGAGAGGACCAGTACTTGAGCAAGCAAGCGACCGGAAGACAGATCAGTGTCGGGTGGGCGAACGAAGAGGCAGGCAGACGGGCGACTGGATGAGTGAGCTGACAGTCAATGGACTGCGGATGGCGCACCAATGAACGGTCGACCGCGAACGATAATCTGTTGGTTCGTCAAGTAGAGTGGGCGCCTTTAGTACGTAGGTCGTACCTTTCGCTTGCGAATCGTTGTGCCCGCTTGGCTTGCCCTTGCTATGGCCTTCCCCCTCCTAGTCCTGGACCTGGTCCTGCGCTTTGCTATCCTCTTCTTGTCCTTCGCCTCGCCCTCTCCTCCCCGTCCCATGCTCGCTGCGATCATGGAGGCTCTTTCATCCTGTAACTACTGGGGTGTTAGCCCGAATATGCATGACCGACTCACACGTCACCAGGGGTCAAGAAGAGGCGGTAGCTGAGCTTTCCCTATCCCATCGAAGTGCGAACACTGCGAGCGTATTGATGTGCGGTCAGGCAGGCACAGTGGCTAGGGGAAACTCCGGAACCGGTGCTTGGAACTTCAGCGCTTCATGATCAGCTCGCGCGCGCGGTGACGAGTCGTCGTACCCTCCTCCCTCCACATCGTCCCAAACCCTGACCGCGCTGTTCATCGCGTGACAAGCTCTAAGGTAAGCCCGAAATGGGTGCTAGGTCGAGCGGGTACACATTGGCCTATGATAGCAGGGCCGTGTCGCACACAGAATACACAAGGTACTGCTACCGCTAGCGCTGTCTTCCTCTCTGCCTGACTAAGGCTCGAGTCGGAGGAGGAGGAGGAGCAGAACACATTTCTCCAGGTTCATCGTTCTCATTTATCCTCTCGTTTGGAATGCTCATACAGTTCATGGTATTCATGTGGGACCCACTATCGTGGGTCATGGAGGGTGCCTCGCTTGCCGCTATCGCCCTATTGAGGAATTACAAAACTTCGTCGGTATCATCATCCTTCTGCTCCTGAAACCCGGTCTCGATTACTCGGAGAGCGCAATGCCGATAATAACTTACTGTGAAGGCACGCATAGACTCCCTCGCTCCGAAGACCAAGGCCGAACGCGCTGGCCAATGGAAGGAGATTGAGTCTGCGGATCTCGTCCCTGATGACATGGTCTCGTTCAAGAGCGGTGACATTATTCCCGCCGACTGCAGTCTGACAGAGTCCATCAACGTGTCGCTCGACCTGGCTGCCCTCACTGGCGAGTCGTTGCCTCAGAAGGCTGACGATCAATGCTTCTCGTACGTTGAGTCTTATACTGGCTTTGATTGGACACTGACTGTATGCGCGTAATGGCTCAACCTGCAAGCTGGGAGGGATTAAGGGCGTCGTCATCTCCACCGGTCTCCATACGTTCATCGGTCGCCCTGCGTCGCTCGTTGGTCAGGACGGCGACATCACCGGTCACTTCCCGAAGATTCGCACAGATCGGCTCTTTCTGCCTGATCTCCAGCGGTATCTTCGTCATTGCCGGGATTTTCTGCGTGTACGCTGGTTTCCACTACAACTACTGCCATGGCCTCTATGGTATCCTAGTGCATTTGAACGGTGGCATCCCCATTGCCGTCTTGTCCGTTACCCTGGCGCTCAGCAGCTTGCGAAGTACAAGGCCATCGGCACTCGTATCAATGTCATTGAGGAGCTCGCCGCTGCATTCTGTGTTCCGACAGACTGGCACTCTGAAGATCAACACACTCAACATCGGCCGCGAGACCATTCACCCTTTCTCTGTTGAGGATGTCATTCTCTGCGCCGCGTGCGCTTCACGAACTAGGGCGCTATCAACTCTTGCGTCTTCGCCGCTCTCGCCGACATCACTCGCGCGCGCCTTGGTGTCAAGCTGCTCGACTTCAAGCCCTTCATCGCACGGTCATACCTACCGTGAGGAGTCGACCGGCCGCCTCAAACGTGTTATCAAGGGTATGTATGACCAGTATCATGATCGAGCTCTGCACGAGCCGTAGGACCGGGGAGCAAGAGACCAAGCTCGAGGCCGATGTTTTAAGTTGGCCGCGCGCGATCTGCGAGCGCTCGCGGTCACTTACGAAGAGGTTGAGGGCGATGATTTCGATAGTGAGTAACGGTTTCAAGCGATCGACAACGTCAAGGTCAAGATGGTTACTAGTGACCAGCTCGCCATCGCGAAGGACACTGGCCGTCGTTCCGGCGACCACATATGGCCAGATAAGGTACTCAAGAACGGTCTCGAGGCTGGTACAACCGTGCATCACTCGACGAGATAGCTTTCGACACCGACGGCTTTGTCATCTCTTTCCCGAGCACAAGTACGAGATCGCCAAGCGTCTTTAGGGTCTCGCCCACTTCGTCGCTATAACTGGCGATGGTGCTAACGACGTCCCTGCCCCGCAGACGTCGGTATCACCGTCGAGGGTGCTAGCGACGACGCTGCCTGTTCGCTGCCGACATCGTCTTGACGGAGCCTAGTTTTTCTACTCTGGTGGGCGCCATCCGGGGACCGCGCGCCATCTTCCAGGGATGTTCAATTACTCGATCTATGCCAGCGCCGTCACGATCCGTCGTCTGCTTTGCCATCCTGGCCATGCACCACCCTATTGATTAATCCTCGCGTCTGCATTACACTACGGCGCTCGAACGGTGGCGTGCCGCCCCGAGTCCCACCCGAGCTCCGTGCGCAAGTGCTGCGGGTCATGCACGCTGCCAGCCGGGCTCTCGAGGCTACTGCCAGTCTTCGCGATGTTGACGGCCATATGGGCCATAGAGGGTAAGCTTCGCTATACTGTAGTCAATATACACTCGACATCATGCATATGAAGAGCAGGAGTATCATGAGCGAATGCTATCGGTTACGGTAGTAGCTGAGGGCTTCCCGGTCACCGTTATCCATGGCAGTTGATGTCATTTGTGAGACTACTGTGATCATGTCGTCGCATAGGTGGACGAAGGTTGTCGCAGACGTATATGCTCGCCTTACGAGATGGCGTCGGTCCCGTAAGTCTTTGGACGACCGTGCGCATGCAGCGGGCGGCCACCGCACCATCGTACCACCGGAGCGCTGGGCGAGACATTGCATTGTACGTTCTGCACGAAAACGCCGGCGAAGCACTATTACTCGCTCAGTAGGTACTGCTTTGTGCATCGCCGCCGCTGTAGGACTTAAAAGAAGGCTAGTGGACATCGTGCAGAGCATCACAAGCTTAACTGGTGCACACACAGCTGTCGTCGTCGTCTGGCCTTCTACTACAATGAGTACCTCAGGAGATGTCTTGGTAGCTCGGAAGCCTGATGCTCGGAAGCCTGACCTCCCTATTGATGACCATCTAAAGGACATACTGGTGATCTCCTCTGACGACGATCGCGGCGGAGCTCCCATCCCAAACGTGCTACGAAGCCGTCTCGCAAGGCACGCAAGAACGGAAAACCAGATGCCGGATCTTCAGCTGTGACCGTCATTGAGATCTCTTCCAGCGATGACGGCATCAACAATCGGTCGCCCAGTGGCGCAGCAGAGGTCCGCCAAACGACGCTTCATACCAGACCAGTAAGTCCTATCATCGTGCCCCATATATTATAACAGTCTCATCAAAATGTCTTTCGTCCTCGCCAGCAGTCGAGAACGCCACATGATAAAGTGCCAGCGGCGCCTAGAGGACGCCGCGGTGCACCTGCAGATGTCCAAGTATGTATATCTCAGCCTGCTCTCATAACGCATAACAACTTAGCGTCATAACAGATTGTTTGTTCGTCCTTTAGCACTCCATGTTGTATACTGACGTGCTTAGGTGCATAAGCAATCGGAGACGGAAGCTCATATGCCAGGAGACCGCATGAAAGACATGAAGGTGTGCCTGATCTGTTCATTTATTCGAATGGCACTGAGGCCTGGATGAAGCTGGTTAGTATTCCGTGATGTGCGGCGACCATGTCATCCTTAAGCTCATCCAACATATCCAGGCATTAGATTATTGGATGGGAAAGGCAGATGAACAACAAGCGACAGCGAACACGACGAAGGTGATCCATATTTGAATGATCTTGTGTTTGTTGCTCACATATTCGATAGCTGGTCAGTATTCTTGACGCATATGGGGGCTCGTTCTCATCCCGGCCAGGTTTTGAACCAGCTGCAGACGAAGTTAGCAGAATATGAGGAATTGATGACAGCGAGCAAGGTGGGACCATGATCATACATTTAACGATTCATGCGCGGCTCACAGAACCACAGCTTGTGGGTTTTGTTGCCTTACACCATGACGTTCAATCTCAGTTTTGTCTCTAGGAACTGGAGCGGTCGAACAGAAAGGTTATGGAAATGGAAGGCGCCGCCACTGCAGCACAGGTGATGTCCTCTTTGTCTATTTTGAACCATGTGTCCTGAATGTGATTGATGATAGATGGTCCGTTCGCCCTATGTGTCCAGCAATTACCATCTTCTGATGCTACTGCTGCTCTAGGAATGTCAGCAATGGATGGAGGAAGCCACTAAACAAGGTGCAGAATTGAATGAAGCGTCGGTGCGTTCACGTAGGGTTCGTTGCTGCCTTCGTTGATTGATCTCAGCACTTCTCTGGACAGGCCTTCGTGAAACGCTTGATTGAGAATACGACTTGTGCGATTTGTTCGTCGGTGTATTCTAGGCCCACCATGTTCGTGTCTACGCTTCTCTCAGTAAGATGTTGTTTGCTCAGCGGTCTATTTATACAGCACGCAGTGTGGGCATGCGTTCTGCTGGTCATGCCTATACGACTGGCTTCGGTCGGTAGCGTTGCACAACGAGCGCACATACGGTCAGGAGCCTAGGCAGCAGTACACGTGCCCTCAATGTCGCACTATCTTAACTGCAAAGCCGTACGAGGGCTTGGCGCTCAAGGAGATTGCAATGCAGGTCGCACACCTCACGAAAGAGGACGTTCGTCCCACTGGAGAGCTTCTCGCGGGCGTATGGGACCTTTTCTTCTAAGCAGTAATATTCATGCGACTGTTCTCACCGAGCAGCCACTATGCATCGTACCGTAGTGATCGTCATAAACCGAATATGGAATTGAAGATGCCAGTTCTGTAGCTTCATCTAGGAAAGCCTGAGAACTTACGTCCCGGCGTTTGCCGTCGCAAAGCTGACATACCTATTTACCTCTCGGGAGATGTACGTGATGACTAGTCACTAGTCACTGGCTGAATGGACCCCTCCTCCTCCTCCTCCTCCTCCTCCTCCTCCTCCTCCTCAAAGCGCTACTTCTCGATACTCTCAACTCCGGGACCTACTCGGGCAAGTGCTCACCTCAAGGCTTTACCGGCCGCGAGCAGAACCAGCAGCCCATGTCAAGCCTCTACAAACTCCCCTCAGTGCCGATCCCCCGTAGAGCTAGAAGTTATGTATGATGGTCGTATGCTCGGAGCTCGCATCGGACAGCCAATGGGAGCGAGCGCTCGTTCGAGGCCTCCGCACTGCTCGAGACATCACGAAATAGAGAACGCTGTCACGCGTCGCGAGCCTTATGGCGCGCAAACGTGAGGACTAAATGGAATCCCCTCCTCCTCCTCCTCCTCCTCCCATCATGCCATCATGCATCATGGCCCATCCAACGGTGTGCTTCAACTCATCCCGGCTCTCCCAGCGCCATCCTCAGGCCCTCTGCCTCCCGCTGCCGCCTTGTGCCCCGCCGCCTCCGCCCTCTACCCGCGCTGCCCTAGGCTGCCTAGGCACTCCCTCGGCTCCTATTTGGTGTCGGTCTGCCTCTATCTGCATCTTACATAACTCTCGATCCACGCCCCCACTCTCCACCATGGAAATCGCTTTCGACACAACGTGGTATCCTACAGCCGCCAACTTCTCCCAAACGCTACTACGTCCCCATCAACCCTCCACAACAAGCCCCCGCTGCGCTACCGAGCTCGCCCACCGCTGTTAAATCAATCAGCCTTCAAACTGCGACGCGCTGGGTCACTGACATGCGCTGCCTCGCAGAGTTGGAAGTGACTGCGGAAGCTTCCGCGCGTCTTCCGCGCAACAAGCCGGGCACGATATGCGCAAGGGCCGGCGGGCTTGTTCACGGCACTGGTCGTGTCAAGCCCCTCAAGCGCGACGACACCGTCAAGCAGGCAAAGAAAACCTGACCCCGGAGGCCGGGGTCGATACAAACTCGATGCACTCGTCAGGTCCGCATCGTAGTCGTCTCCAATCCCTTTTTGTACTGCTCCGACGGAGGAGGAGGAGGAAGGATCCGTTTAGTCGTCGACTGACAGCCACAGGTGCCGCTTGGTCGACGTGCATTCCTCGTTCGGCGCCATGGATATGGAGTATAATTCCGATCGCTGCACCTCTCCTACCCTGCTCCCTGGGCCATACAACTCCTACTCTGGTTTGTCTTCGAGCGAGAGCGGTGCGTCCTTTGACTCGCGTTCCTCGCCCAGTCCGGAGCCACCGACTCTGCGAATAACATCGATGACGACGAGCGCGCCCCCCCAGAGGCATACGTAGCCTTGATCAAGCTCCTCCTCAACCTTCCTCCTCGACCCCCACCGGCACCCCCACACATTAGCCGAGATGCCGGCGAGAGCACCGCCTCCTACTGCGCCTACCCTGCCGAGGAGCGTCGCGAGCGGAAGGTCATCCTCGGGTGGACAGACGGCTCAAATGCATGGCGCACGGCGTCTAGTACAACCTCTCCGCACCCCTCGACATGTCCAAACCACTCTACGAGAAACGTGTGCGCCGCGCGTACAAGGGCTTCGTCGCGGGCAGCCAGCGCTCTCACAGCGGAGTCTACTCAGCCTCTCGACGATCACCTTCGATGCGGCCTGCCGTTGACGCGTTGACGGCTTTGCTCCCTGCAGTGGCGCGAGAAATCGCGGCCGGCTTGCACATGCGCTCGCATTCGGAGGCGGACGAACTGAGCATGTGTCCCCTCTTCCATTCTCGCAGCGACTCGCGCCGATCTGTCACGGGCGCGCTCTCGACGTCGTCCACCAGCTCGACGCGTTCTATGCCTGCGGCGACCTCGGTGCGGCGCAGGGAGGGTTCGTTGGTGTAGTCCGGCGCCGTGTTCCGAACGTGAAGATGATGCGGTCGCCGTCAACGATGACGATGCCCAGCCTGACTAACGCGGGCAGCAGCTACGGCTACTATGGCTACGGACGCAAGCCTGGCCCTCTCAGCCGACGGAACAGCGCTGCCAGTATGGAGACCACGGACGGCCTCGAGACCGAGGCTGATCTGACAATGTGGCCTTCGTCGAGAAGCCCGACGAAGAAGTCGACAGGTGAGTTTGTTGTGTTAAACATAATATTGCGGTCGCTAACGAACGGCTTGCAGAGGACTCTTGGAGCTATTCTGACGACACTATGACGTTCCCCGTCCTCCAGACCCCGAATAAGGAGAAGCGCGTCGAGCGCAAGATTATCGACAGGAAGGAGCACGACGTTGAGGTCGAGGTCGAGCTACATCAGCCACTCAAAAGACCATCTCCTCTTCCCTGGCAAAGACGTCCGCTAGGGTTTTCGCTTCCCTTCCGCATCGTATCGCATCTCGTTCCGACTCTTCTGCATCACGACCCACGCGCATTGACCATACCCCCTGCATGCTAAGTTATTCCGACGACATACCGGATGACGCTCACGGCGCCGCCAACTCACTCATTCCTCAGTATAAACCTGCTAATCTCCTCGCTGTCGACACACACGCATCCTCTCGCACACGCATCCTCTCATCTTGCGCCACCATTGTCCGTCGCTGGGACATATTGTACGGGCTCCTGCCAGAATTGTGTCCTCTTCCACTCTGGTCTGCCCCACCCATTATTCGCTGCATCAACCCACCGCTAAGCTTACTTGCGTTCGCGCGCCGAAACTTGTGCATGACTAACGACCCGGTTTGTTCGTCGCCTTTCCGCTCCTAATGTTGTCTTCCGTCCTCTTCCGCCTATGCCTTCGTCGTCGCACTGTTTCTTGTTGTCGTGTACCGTCATCCTCATTCTCGTCCCTTCGCGTGCAGCATCCCGCATTGCATTATACCCATGGACTGCGGTTCATATTGTTTTATCCATCTTTTTCTTCGCCTCGATTTCCGCCGTTCCTTTGAATAATTTGGGTGCTGAACTCGCCGTACTACTAGCAATGGGATGTACGATTCGCTACGCATACTTAATGGCTGAACATACATACTTCCCGGGTTGGTGACATTTGCGGAGGCACTCGCCCTGCAACCATTCATTAATATTCGTTACGTACTTACACACAACGCGGTGTTACTGTAGTGTCCTCGTCACCACGAACCTGTGACAACTGCGTCACGCCATGATTTGTCGCATCGTGCTCTCAGACCAGATCAACTGTCCCTCCTCTGGATGCCACTGGGCGACTGGTGACGAAGAATATATTGTTGTGTATGTCGCCTTCTCGTATATCCTACACTGTCCTCATGGTCACACGCAGACACCGCTGAAGAGCCATACTTCGAATCTTTCTCATCCGCCATCTCGTCTCGGTGGCCAGTGGCACCTGTAGTCAAAGCACGACAGGAGATTTCCCCCCGGTTCGTGCGATGGCCCAGCGGATGGTATTCTGCAGCGTTTCGGCTGCTGTTCGTTACCTCGGGGATGCTCTGCAGACCGCCTTTTGGTTGCTCAAGAAGCCGCTGGGTGGCGTCATCTTTGTAATGGCCCTAGCAATCCTCTGTAATTATGTTGCTGGGAAGATCAGTGGCATGCTTTCCCCCCTCTGCTTCATTCCGGCCATCTCATCTACCATGTTCTGCGTCGGTCGTACATCATTCTCGCCCATCATGGACAAGGCGCCACAATCAGGGGACCTTGTCAAGTTGATCGAGCTGCATGGTGATTTCGGGAACCTCTTGGACACGAACGTGGACACAGCCAAGATACGCACGAAACTCAGGCAGTCGGAAGTTGCGACCCACGACCTGGTCGCGCACGTGCGCGCCAGTGACCTGCGCAGCCATGATATACTCGCGGAAGCTTTGATGCACTTCGTGGAGGATGCAAAGAGGACAGGAGATGGATTATATAGACTGAGCACAAGAATTAGCGGCGCAGTAGATCGGTGAGTCCGGCGTACGTTGGACTCAGAGAACTTCTGGCTCACTATGTATTCAGCATCACGGTCGTGAACAACAATGCTATGAACACACTATCCGCCGTGACGGTGAACGATAGCCCACCGTCGTGGATCACTACCGCCTTTTCGTCTCGCTCCGGCACTCAGGAGGCAGTCATTATCCGCTCATACGCAGATGTGATGGAAACATTGGCACAGGAGACAGAGCAGGCGCTTCTCGAGGCATCTGCCAGCGTTGCAAACCTCGAAAGACTCCAAGAACGCCTTTACAAGATCCAAGAAATCTGCGTGAGAGAGGGTCTGTCACAGAGTGATGCACACTCGAAGCTGCTTTCCGAGATATGGTCCATTCTCGGCGGAAACCGCGATGCGCTGCGCAAGACTAAGGAGCGTCTTTCCCTCCTTGCGGACGTCGACCACTATCGGAAGCAGGCTATTAATCACGTTGTCTGGACGCGCGACGTGCTCCTGGAGGTGGCAGCGGATGTGGAGGAGCTGCGGGACCGTGCCGCCGCGCCTCAGATTGTCGGTGAGCGGGTGCCGGCGTTGCTTTTAATCCAAAGCATTGGTCGAAGTATTGAGAGGCTGAAGGAAGGGCGTCAGAGAGCGGGAGACAAATTACTGGTGTCGTCCAACGATCACTACGGCGGCCACAGAGATTGAATGATTAGGTGGGAGGCAATCTCTGTTTTGTTTTGGATCGTCAATAATGTACAGTAGGCGAAATGTAGTGCTCTTTCAAGCAAGCTTGTACGTACCGCGTCATGAACCGCCGCGTCAGCAAAGCCTTAAGGCTGCCACATGAAGTGTCCCCTTCGCTCGCAGACGAATCAGGTTCAACAGGCGAGGGCGCTGCCTGCCCCAAGTGGGTGCGTGCAGCCGACATATGCTGCACTCGATAGCTACTGAATTTGTTATCCGCCTGGTGGCTATGGTGGGCAAGCATGACTCGTGCTTAGCTGCCGCGGTACACTGATATCATGCCACCTTGACAGCGACGAATCATCTTCAGCGAGATCTTCAACTTCGTCGGTATCCCATGTATCCGCCCCCTGTCTCGCCCCCCTTACTCTCTGAGCATCTATAATGAAGACTGCGCACGACGCGCCATGTAACCGAGCAAGGTACAGATACCGGCGGACGCAATCGTTGTGGCACATTCCGGTGACACGCCGCTGGGCGATCTTGAGGACGCACGCCCGACGGATACGATTACCCGCTACTAGTAGTCCGAGGTTGGACCTTTCGCGCCACGCGCCTTTGCCACATCGCGTCTCGCGCCTGTATCCTCCTCGTTCCCCACCCAGCTCTCTCTATGCTCGCCGTATGGGCTCGGAAGGCTTATATTCGCACTCTAGGCGTCAAACTCAGCGCCTTGAAGGTGTCAGCAAGGCCATATCATCGACCCGAGTGCATTAGCAAGCACATACGCCTGCGGGCGTAAACAGTAGGGCCACAATCCGAAACATCTACGGGGCGGGAGTCACACAGTCCACTCCCTCGACGATGGCCGACGCGACTCGCGTCTTCGGCTCATACGCATGCCGTATCCGTTGTCTCTCCATAGGTGCGGGAATTCGGTGTAGAGGCGGCGGACGTCCTCGGGCATGCGTTCGGTTGCTCATGGCCGCCCATTCGCGTACAGATTGAGTCACACTGCTTACTCGCGCGCTCGCATTCTCCGAGGTTCTTTCTTTGCCTGTGCGCTCCCTCCCTCACTCACATGTTTATTTTTGTTGGGTTGGCGAAGAGACTCGGCTGTGGCAGGAATGCGCTTCGGGTGCGCGCCTTCGACATTTCCGCCAGCACCCACCGGCAGGCGAGATGACGGCCGTCCGCGTCCGGCACGCGCAAGCGAGTCAACGTCGACAGTCTGGCTTCACTTCTAGGCTCGGAAATCGTGACGACGATCCCAAGCGAGTGCTCATCGCGCGTCGTTCGTTTTCTCGTAACAGTATTGCTCACCCCGTCTCTGTATCCGGGTTTTCAGGGCACAGCTTTGTGCTTGTGCTTGATTGCTCGCTATGACTTTCGCTCATCGACGTTCCCTCTGATCAGTTTCACTAGTCCTAGCTAGTCCCAGCTCGTTCGTTGAACAGCGGTGCCCAAACCGCTTGCTTGCTTGGTGTATGGGCTCGCCATCGGTACAATGACAAAATATAACGTATGCGCTGCGCTGCGATCGGTTCACACGTCACGAAGCCAGTGTGGAAGGGAAATTTGTCCCACGCCTTTCTTTTTCTCTTATGTTACAATTCCCTACAGTACGCTCGACTCCACCGGCGCGCTTGCGACGAACCAGAAGGCTGCGACGCGGACCCGCTAGTAGGACGAGGCGAGCGCCGCGACGACGAGTGCCGCACCTGCTGGGGGACCAGGTCACGAATAGCGAATAGCACCGCGTGCGTGCTGACAACCTCGTACCTAGGCAAGGGTTCGTTGCTCAACGCCCGAAGGCCTGGACTCAACGGACGTCCGTCTTGCAGAAGGGTGTCCATATGCCTGCTGTTCAATAGTTTTCTTATTTGGTATCATTCCTTCCCGATACGTCAAACGCTCATGCATCGCGCTTCTTTCGAACCATCTTCCGCTCGCCGACGTCTCTCTCTCGCCTTCTGGTTTTTATATCTCTCTAGCTCTGCTGTGATTCTAGAACCTCTCGCCTGTATTTGTACTGGGCTACGTCGCCCTGCTCTCCATTGAATTCCCACTCTGCTCTCTCTCTCGTCTCGCAGTCCCGGCTCCGGCATTTAGACGCGACGCAGCGGTCGCGGGTGCACAGCAAGTCGGGAAGCAAGTCGAGAAGACCGCGTCGAGTCGCGTTTCGATATTCGTAAGTATCCCATCAAGTCTCGGTGGCCTAACTATGTTCTCTAGACCACCACCACCACCGTCCTTCGCCAAGCCCTACGTCCATCTAGACCACTCGACCTCCCTGCATCAAGGACGAGCGTACGTGTGGTGTGGTTTGTCGTCGCACGCACGTCTTCTCTCCGACACCAGCGCTGACGGTGCTTTTGTCACGCTGTTTTTGACGTAGAATCTAGAAACAGCACCATTCACAGGCACATATCGCGAGTATTGCGCGGTCTAGTGAGGAAACAAATTGGTAACATAAGGGGCGCGACACGCGTACGATGCATGCCCAGCCGCCTCGTGTAGCAGATAACAAGAGGGAGCCTGAGGGAATTCCTAGACTAGGCTAGAGGGGATTCCTGCTGTGTTACTGGCTATAGTTAAGGTTACGAGCTCCCTCCTCACACGCCGCGACATGCGCGCTTAGTACTCAGTACTCAGTACTCAGTAAGCGCTCACTGCGTCACCGTATATATATACGGTATAGCGCTCACCAGTTCGGTGAGGATCACGTGCACAAGTCACGGTGTCTGTCCAGCCTGTGATATTGCTGCCAATACTTACATAGACAATGCACTGTGCCACGCGAGTATCCGCCACCGGCAGGCGTATGGATCCCAGGTGAGAAAGAGGTGCAGTTATTTCCTATCATCTCTAACAGCCACACGCCATGTCAGGATATCGTAGTTGGTTGGGGCTCCTTCAAGCACCGTTCACCATTATATGGCCGTTTCCTTGCAGTTCTAGACATGTGGGGCTCGCAGGCGACCGACGGGATGGGCCCGCACGAATTACAGCCACTGGGTTCTCGGATGCCAGCTCGAACAAGCGACCGGCGAGTGTAGACTTGCACTCGGGAGCAAACAAGCGCATGAAGGTATCTGCATCGACGGGCAAGCGGCCTGGCTCGCCACTCTCGTCAATCGAGGTCAAGCGCCGACGGTTCTACGAATGGCCTCAATCAAGCGCTGCTGCACGTCGAAGGCGAAACATTAGCCATAAAAACACCTTCCGCATTTCAAATCGCGAGGGACGTAGTGATGCTGAAAGTCACAGAAGCAATGGTAGGCAATGTCTTACTCTGTACACCTCGAGGCCGAGACTCAGACTTTAACGAACAGACGTTACCTCTCTATCGCTTCACGGCGAAGCGGAGGCCCCTTTCGTTACGGTCTCGGGGGAAGTGAGAGAGATCGAGCCGTATATCCCTCCAAGGAACCAAGCTGCTGCCCAATCATTGCCTCAGTCCCCGGTCATCACCTTGGATGCGAAGTATTCTGTCGAGCTGGCACTTGAGAACGACACAGAGACGGGTTATGGCCCCACCTTCGAGCAGGGAGACCTCGAGCACGGCGACGCACTATCCAAAGCTCTCGACAATGTCCAACCAGAGCACCTCTGTACCGCCCAGCAGCGCTACCCGAGCGAAGACAATCATTATATATTGTCCACGGCCCTCGAGACACTCGACCATCGTGTCTTTGTGCATCATACTGGTGGTGCCAGCGGCATGACACCAGCTTATGAGGCCGATTTTTCCGACGCGCTCGCTGTGGCGGGCATCGACGAAACACTACTAGGTAGAACTCCGAGTGCTTCAGGTTCTGCTGCTTCGTCGCCTTCCCCTTTCCGTGATGACGCCGTCGGCGGAAGCGTTGCCGCATTGCTGCCCAAGAGTCCAGACGCCGCTTACCCTCCGTCAATTGATCCGCTCATCCCTTCGCTACCAACGTACGCTGAGGACGCCACATCGCTATCCGGTCCGGACTGTAATAAACTTTTCCAGTGGACGGATTCGACCCACAAGTCCCCGATGCTAAACGCCATCGCTGCGTTGCCGCTTACTCCGGACGATGCTTACACCCCTCCAACTGATTCGCACGTTTATCCGCGGTCGATGTACAATGATGTAGCTCTACTGCTACCTGCCCCAGGCAGTACCGATCTTTCCCACTCGGTGAATTCACCCTCCAGCTTCCCGATGCTCAACGCCAATGCTGCGTTGCCGCTTACTCCGGACGATGCTCACCCTGCTCCGGCTGATCCGCATGTCTATCCGCTGTCGATGTACAATGACGTAGCTGTTCTGCTACCTGCTCCGGGCAATGACGACCTTTCCCAGTCGGCGGAATCACACTACAACCCCCCGATGCGCGATGCCTTTGCCGCGTTGCCACTTACTCCGGACGATGCACACCCTCCGCAAATTGATTCGCTCGCCCGTCCGCTGCCGATGTACGGTGTCGCCGCCACATCGCTGCCCACTCCAGGCTATGAAACTCTTTCCCAGTCGACGGAGTCAGCTTACAGACTCCCGATGTTCAACGATATGATTGATTCGCTCGTCCGGCCGCTGTCAATGAACAGCGATGTTGCAGCACTCATGCCCGCCCCAAGCCATGAGATCCATTCCCAGTCGACGGGAAGCAGCTTGATGATATGCGACGATATTCTACCAACTGCGGTTGACACCTATTCGGATCCACTGGAGTTGGCCTTCACGGATTCTGCGCAGTGGCAACGAATAAGCGCAGACACTAGTGCTCGCCGAGTGAGCGGTCCTAGCGAAGGTGAGCATTGCGTGTGCTCGTAGTCATCGTATGTGGCTTTTATCATGTTGCAATTCAGGCCGATCAGCGAATTTGGGGCAACATGTATCGTCCGAAACACCTCCTAGCCAGGTCTACTGTGGCGAGAACGATGGCGAGCGATATGATCAGACGACCGAGGTAGCCAGAGTGCCTAGTGATATCAAGGAGAGTAGTGAACTGTCAGGTGGCCGGCGGTGGTCTAGGGGTACCAAGCTGACACCTGCCTCTCGGCCCCTGGAGATGGCACGAGCCCGCAAGTTGCGCGCAAGGGTGCAAGAGGACAATACAAAGGCGGCGTCGTTAGGAGCGTTGGAACTAAAGGTTGAAAGTGCGCTGTTCCAGGTCATAATCGTGTCAAGACGGCTGACACTACTTTCTAGCGATAAGCGTAGTAAAGTGGCAGAGCTATCCTTGGCGTGACAACTCATGCTGGCTAGACACGTCGCTGGAGCTTATCTTCCAGGTAGCTATGCGAGATTGGGACTCGTTCTCTCTTTCATTCCCACACGCGCTAGGTACGACACCTCTGTTTGGTGTGTTCGAAGTCATCGATCAGCGCCGCAACCTAACGCGACGGCTGCACTTCGGAGACCGTAGCTTCGCCTCACTTCTGGGTGACCAGCGAGATACGTTGCGGCAAATGTTGTTAGATTGTAACGTCACGCGTTCCATGGAGTCAATTGACTCTGTCTTTGTGAGTCCACGAATATGACTGATACTGTAGTGTGCGCTAACGTTCTTTCCAGGGCTGGTTAGCATCTCTCCTCCGCCTTGCAAATGAAGCGGGACATGATCACTCCCTGTGGTACTTCCAGGGCCGTAGCGTTCAGCTCCGCTCCTGCTCAGGAATGCTGGACAGTAGTGAAGGTTATAACCATCACCAGCACAGAACCACGCCACGCCACAACTTTTTTTATCAACTCTCTAATTGCGATCATGCACGCTTCGAGGGCTCCGTCTCTCGCTGGTTTCATGATCAAATCAACGTGAATCGCAAACCCATCGGTACCAACTGCTGGAGAGCACGCGATGGTACCGTTTATTGCAGTGGAACCGCGCAGCTTCTGGAACTGCACTTCGTGCTACCGAACATGCTCATCATAGAGGTAGGATCAGAAGACAAAGCATGGGACTTCCCTTCAGTCTTACTGCCACGGCACGACGTAGAGGGAATTGCGCCCGCCTCCTATGCCGACGGGCCGTCGGGTATGCAATACGACCTCATCGGGCGGGTTCTATACGACACGCGAAGGAACCATTTCCTCTGTCGTTATATCGATGTCCTCGAGCCATCTCATGTTCTCGAATACGATGGTCTGCGGGCTCACGGTATGCCACAGTGTGTATGCACCGATGGTGCTGACGCCCTTGCGGGTTCAACATTCGCGCCCCCGCACGGTTGCTATACGCAAGCGGTGATTTATCACCTGCAAGGAGGCTCGCGCGCACAAAAGAGCATGTCATCTCACCAGATATCACGCATCGAACACGAACACGCACTCCGCATCCACACCGCCGAACCCGATGTCTTCCCGCGAGTTTCACTACACAAGACTGGATTTGCTGTCATGCCTGACGAGGACCGACCCTGGCTTCTAAACCCCTCTCGTAGTGCAACAATCGACTATCAGGCTCCCATATCTAGCACATTACAGGCGGTCGCACGGAATCCGCGCCCGGTAGAAGGCAGCAAGGCCAGGGCGAGACCGGACGCTGACATGGTGAGACCTCATGTATTGAGAGCTTGGCGTCATGTTCACTTGGAGCTATACATGATATTCAGGACTCTGCGATACAGCGGGATGGCTCGTACGAGCCGATGTATTCCAGCGACATCCAAATTGTTCAATCCAATACTCCAGAGGACTCTTCGCCGAAACTTCGATGCAGATGCGGTATGCGTGGAGACGTGAGCATAACAACAATTGATACCTTGCCGAAGATTGCATGTGACCTCTGCAATTGTTGGTCTCACATTTCATGCCAGAGAGAAGGACGGGCGAGCAATCTCAGGTCACCGGAACACTTCGTGTGCGACATCTGCGCCGGAAATGACTTGCCGAGAGACAGGTAAGAATCATGATACCAACAACGCGGAAGAGGGTTTTTAGCTAATGCGCCGCAGGAGGACACCACGATTCTCTTACCGCGGTACACTTATGACCCAACGGGCTTCGGGGTCGCGAGTGAGCCTGGCAGACCGATTGGTGTACGTTCTTTTAAGCCTAGCCTTCTATTTTTTCCTGATTTCATCAAGTAGTGCAGGAAGGGGTGCGCTGGCGCGCCACGGGAAATTTTGGTATCCCGTCCGCCTGCTGCAAGCTCAGAGTTACCCTATTCGAGCCTGGCAAGTAGTCTGGTGGCGGGGTTGCGTATTCCCTAAGGACGTGAGACCTCCAGGCAGAACTGCACTGATCCTTGAGACCGACCTAGTTGACGAATTGTGGGGCGACCAGAAAGCCCGGAGATGCATTCGAGTGAGTACACCCGCAACGTCTATGGTAGCTATCTAATGCGACCATCACTGGGTAGCTGGGGAAATGGGAGCACGCTTGGAATGCGGAGTCGGAGGAAGATCTTTTGATCAATCCTGCCTCATATCCGTTCTCTGCTGAGATCGATGAAATATTGACACCGCACTTACAAGTTTTGGCAGACTTAATCAACTCAACGTCGATCCATGATCGTGGCACCATAGAGGCTATTATACCCGCCTTTGACGCTGTCCATACGGCGAAGAGAAGCTTCGCACTACTTAGATCTGGCGTTATCGCGGACAAAGGCGACCTCAGTGTGACGGACTATGGCCGTATCATCAATTGGATTCACAACAGGGTCCCCGGTGCAAAGGGCAAATCTCACAAGTGGCTTGGCTGCATTCCGACTGGACACGCAACTACGCTGGTGCTCAAGGCGCGCCACAAGCACGAATTCATGCAACATCCCGATTTCGCCAAGAAGCCCACGGAGATCGACCGGGAGAATTTCCTTCTGGAGCAGGCATGGACGTACCAGCAGAACACAGTCCACCCGGACGACATGACCTGTGATGTAGATCGAGAGTGTATCCAGCTCTTCGAGCGGCGCCTGTTCGAAGTCTCAGCCAGGGCGGGCCCAGCAAGCTACGAACAGTGGGGGTTGGATGCAGGTGATCATCAGGGTAAATGGTATCCTTATGGAAATCTGCCGTCGGACTGGACAGAGGAAGATTTCGCCGTCAGTGATTCGGAACTGACCGTAAGCACTTCACTTTTGGAATCAAGTAGGCCTTGCTGCTAATGATCGCTGCCATAACATAGAGGGGGCCCGAGTATATCTCGAGTGAAGAAGACGATGATGCTCTGGCTAGAGCAGCTCAGGCACACTCCAAGAGGCCCCGGCCGAGGCCACGACTCCGACTGAAATAGGTGTACGCGTCTTGCTTTGCGTCTCGTTTACTGTTTCTCTTATGTACTATATGACTGTCCTTCCCTTCAATGTACGACCGACTATAGCCCTGCGAGGAGGCAGGCAGCGATCGTAGGACAGACTTGTTGGGGGTTGGTCTCGCAACGAACCATTGGTCATTAATTCATTCTCAGTCGGTCCATTCGAGCTCGACTACAAATAGTCCAAGACTTTTCTTGTTCCGTATGCTGTAGCGAACCCCGCATTCCAGATGGGGGTGTGACGCGTGATAATCTGACAGGATCCGGCGCAGCGGCGGGGACGCGTGTGACGTGTGATGCGCCCCCAGGACGGTGATTCAGACAACCACCAACAACTCCTCCTCTCGAGCTCGTGCCGTGTCCCACTACTAGTACCCAAGAACGACGCGCAAAAACGACGCGCCCGAGCACGACAAGCCCGAGCGCAACGAGCACCAACAAAGGGAGGTAAACAGCAGGACGAGTAGTAAACAAAAGGACGGAAGGTACAGGGGAGCATTCTTTTGTGTACCTACTACCGACGATTCTTGCTCAGTTGATGCTACTTAAGGTTACCACGGCCGAGTAGGTGCCTCGACGAGCAATCAGGTTTTGATGCCTTTACCAGTCTTCACATGTCACATCCCCCTCGTATGCCCGCGCGTCCGTCCGTGCATTCGGCTTGCCCGCCCTCGCGCCCACCTGCTTGCCCTCTCGCGCCCGCATGCCCGTCATCTTGTCCATTCGCTCTTGTGGTCTACACGTACTCCTGCGCGTAGTTTTGCGCGCCAGCATGGCGCCCTGGCCAACGTGATCATCGGCTCGCTAACCTACCTCTCCCTCGTCGTCTTGTTGATCATCGCGCCCACAAGTCCGCCAAGGACGCTGTCGCTAAAGCACTTGCTTTAACTGCTGGGCGCCGCCCCGCGGACGAGGACGAGGGTGACCAGTCCGCACGGGAGCATGACGCAGGTTGGAGGTCCCACTAGCCTACGGGCTGGTGGTGGTGGTATATCCATCTTAGGGGTGGCGACTCGGACGCGAGCCCGTCAGGCTTTGGTAGGATGCATAGCTCCGGGTAGTTCTCAAGGTCCAACGAGCAGGCGGCTGCGCGGCTGAGCGCGCTGGCGGACCTCACATTGGGTTCATCGAACTACTACGCTGACGCGTTCGCCATCGTCGCCTCTGCGGGCGAGCACGAACGCAGGCGTGAGCATGACCCTGCTGGAGGCTCCGGTCCGCCGATGTCGCGCGCGAAAAGCGGAGAGGACCCTCCTCCTCAAGTGCTCGAGTTAGCTGCCTACTGTCCCAGGCGCCACCCCCCCCCTCCACCCCACCCCGTATCGCCTACTAGGAGCGAGGACAGCGATGGCAGTGCCTGCAAGACAAGGAGACGGAGCTTCTTGGGCGTGAGCAGGCAGTGCAGGCGAGCGAGTGTGAGCGACTCGTCAACTCGAACGAGACGAGGGCGTCGTACGTCAATGCACGGAGCTCGTTCTCGGAGTCGGATCCGCGCAGTTCGCTCTTTGCTGAGTCCAGCGCCGGCGCGGTATGAACCCGAAGCGCGACGGCTGTCTGCTATGGGCGGCGTGGCAAGTGCCCCTGGTACGTTCGGGCGCTCGACCTGGAAGCGACTGCAGTCGCCTACGCTCCCGCCAGCGCCGATCCCACCTGTGGTCATACATACTCAGTTCGCCGCCGGCGCGTCCGACGTCTGCATACCCCCTAACACCCCGCGCCTCGGGCACCCTGCCGCTTTCGTCTGACTAAAACTCCAGTCCGTACCCATACGGATGCTTAACACCCTCGACCTACGCTGCGTATCCTTCCGCTTCCTCAGTATACTCATGGCGGCCTCCTGCAGCCTCCTGCGGCTGGTAAGACTGACCTTGCTGACTGCCTAGAACCACATAGCACGATCGTAACCCGTTTGTCTATGTGGCGTCGGCAGTTATGCAGGGACTCCTGCTCGGTCTACTGTCACCGCTGCAGTGCCCCTCGTTGCCATCCCCACCCGTAACACCGAATATTGGAGCGTATGCGCCACCAACCTTAACCTCAGGTACACCGAGCTCCACCCTACGTATGTGCGGCAGGTCTCCTGCGAAGGCGATAATCCGTGGCATCTGCCGCTCGCGCTCGAGCCGCGCAATACGATATCAGCCTTTCCGCTCGCCATAAGCTCGCCACGCTCCCGCGGTGACGCCTGAGCGCGAGCAGAAGTGCATGTCCCCGAGGGGCAGGCGCGTGGGTGTCACGGAAATATTCAAGTCTGTACACGGCCCAGTGGGGTCCAGCGGAGCCAGGAGGAAGCGAACGAGCGGAGCGGATGAATGAAGTGAGCGGATGGCGCTCCGGGAGACACGCAGGCTGATGGTAGTTCGAGCGTTCTACAGCCTATGCCATTACCGGCACCGAAGACAAGGCCACCCCTTTAGTTCTCCACCTTCATCTCGTTTGTTCCTCGATTATTTCGTCATTCGGTTCATCTCGACTCGCTCCTCATGCATCCATTGTTGTACTCGAAGTGGCGTCGGGGTGTCATTGCCACTGCCACAGCTACGTACTTCCTTTGTATCCTTACTTTGTAATCTTACTGACTGGGCTTACATCGTACTGTTCGGGCTCGGAGTGGCTCAAGTCCCAGATTTGTATAAAGACGGTGCGTTTCGAGAGCTGTAAGCCCAAGTCCCGTCCAAAGAACTCTCACCCACCCACTGTTTCCGCCTAACACGACTCATGCGCACCGCCACCCGCCACCATGTGCTCTCGCCACCGAACCCGCATACCTCATGCCGTCGCTACAGGCCCGAAACCTCGTCTTACAGGCGGTTTATCCTTCGTGTTCATCCTGCACAGGTGCCACTGCATGCACAGGCCGACGAACCCGACGAACACACCTTCCTCACGCCTTCGCTACAGGCCCGAAACCTCGTCTTATAGACGATTTATCCTTCGCTTTCATCCTGCACCAGTGTCACCGCATGCACAGGCCGATGAACCCGCCATACTACCTGGCCCCGGCTGTGTACCCTCGGTGTGTCTGATCGCGAGTTGCCCGTGGGTACGTAAACTGACAATTAATGCCACACCAGACAGCCCTAGTCGAAGCTGGCGATACCGCCGAGCGCGAGCGATGGGCCGGATTGAAGTTCAATCATCAATGTTGCGGACTTTGCAACTTCTCTACACCTGTCGCCGACTCACTGGCATCCGGCTTTCTTTCCGCTCAGCCTGCCGCATGAATCCTTGCGTGCGCTTCTCCGATCATGCACGACTTGTCGAAGACCCCAGCACGAAAGGACGACACTCGCATACATGAGCCGATGGTGGTCGTATGCGCGAATCCCCGGCGCAGCCTTCAAGGATGGCAATGTCACAGCATCCGAAAAAAGGGCTCGTAAAGCATGCCGACACCGACGAGGTTCCGCTGCTACTCGTCGACACGGTACGACCTCACTGAGCAATCCCCCTGCTGTACAGTGTATGAGCTCGCTGTGAGCCGCCGCCTGCACGATGCCCATCTCCGGAACGCACGTTCCGGAGATGGGCCACGCGCACGCCGCAGCACACCCTGCCTCGTTCACCGCTAAGTCGTATGTTAAGCCTTGAGGAGACCATCAACTAGTACGTTACCTCGTCTTCCCCGATAATGCAGATCTCAATTCAATGTAGGCCTTTCACGGAGATGTTGTCAGGGTGCGTCGTGAAAGGCGATGAGCCTGAGGACACCGTCCTGCGGCCGATCAAGCAGCCCGCGGCGGCGGTGGCCAGGCGGTATGCTCCCCTCACCACCACCTCCCTCGGCTTCCTCATGCGATGACACGCTTCCCCGCCGCCCAGAAATGCACGCAGACGGAGCTTGACAGCGTCGTCGGCGGGAGCCGCCCTACGCTCGTGGACCGTCCCTAAAATATCCTCGCCGTGTTCGACGTTGTCCCTACTGGCGATGCGCCGAGCCTCACGCCGCGTGGTGACGTGGCTTTGTAAACTGTCGCACGTACGTCTATCTCACATGGGTTCGTGTGTCTGTACTAAACTGATGACACCTCTCCTATCGTGACTGTCGTATACTGTCCGTCACTGACCATCGACGTGTGTGTACCGTCCGAGACTCCGCGTGCGGTAAGTGGCATTCAATCCCGGATTGCTGAGAAATTCATTGATTTTCTGAGCGAAATCGCTGTCTTCAAGCGGATTCCGATTCGTCGTGACCGCCGCGGGCGCTTGGCCCCGGTCACCGCGCGCGGTCACAACCCTTTCCACCTTCCGCTCGGCCTAAGTATTAGGTTACACCGCCCTTCCGCCCCTCGGGCATTCCCGGAGCAGCCGCTCCTCGCCCTTCGCCATTGTTCATTTGCTACAGTAGTGCTATGTTCTGACTGCCACGCTCGACTCATTTGTAGCCTTCGTCTCTTCGCATGTAATCGCGTCGCCTCGCAGGTAACAGTTATAATTGTAAATGAGACAATGCACGGCACATTGTAAAGTGATTGCGCAAACATTTCCATCGTAAAACACCAGCTATGTATGTACCTCCAAGTCCTTCTCACGTAAAATCTATCACTATCTCTTTGGCCCGACTCCCGGCGCCGTGTTGCTGCTGTCGACACAATGGATGTCGAGGCATGCCAGTTGACTAGATGCATGGCCAGTCGCACATTGGAGCTGAGACGACAAGGGCGGGGTGGCTACCGGATGCGCGATCGTTCTGTACATCCCGGTATCCTCCTTGCTGGCTGTCCGTGCGAGTTGTTCCGAGGGCCGCGGAAAGGCCAAGGTGCGGGAGTGACAATGGAGATGTGGACGAACCTCTGTGTCTGCATCATTGCGCACTGGGACTATTTTCTCGGCGAGCTTGCGAGCAGACGGTGCGCGGGCTCCTTGGTCTTCGCACCGGGCGATGAGGCGTACTCGACTGACAAGCCGCCCGCACGAGGGAGTTCGAGGGTCGTCGGACGATGAAAGTGCAAGGGAGAAGTACTGGAAGAGGGCGTGGAGGTCGTGGGTTGTGATTCTTGTGAAGCGCGGGAGTAAACGTTGCGCGGGGGCGCAAGCGCGACTCGGATGGGCAGGATAATGCGTGGCGGGGGCGTAGGTACGTCGAGGACAGAGGAGAGGTAGGTGGATGCGGAAGATGAGTCGGCGAGGGCAAACGGAAATACTTTCCGGGGTCGTAGTCACGCGTGGTCCTTCCCTACTTCCCTCCCAGTCCGGCGTGCTCGTGCCTGGTGGCCCCCCGCTCGCGATCTTGCAAAGGCTCGTTCCTGCGAAGAGGGGTGTCCCCTGGGTGCCTTGGAGTGTTTGTAGCCATGCTAGCTGCCAGGTTTGCTGCTGCGGGGTGGCTACCGGGCGCGCAGTGGTTCCGCACAGCCCGGTATATATGGGGGCCAACCGCGCGTGTTGTTCCGCTGCCTAGGGTGCGAGATGGGGAGCGGTGAGCGGACGGAGGTGGGTGAACGAGCGGGGCGGATGCCAGGCACGCAGGGGGCTTGCACAGCGCGGCTCTCGTGAGCGGACGCTGGCGGATGACGCGGGAGATCCGCGGGCGTGTAAACAGGCGGCAGCGCGGGCTCAAGAGCGCGCGGTGGGGCCATGGGCGCGTTGGGCGAGGACGGGTGCATGGATGAGGACGGGTGCATGTTGGATGAGGACGGGTGCGCGTAATGCACGTGTGGAGGAGCAGAGGGTAGTGGAGGAAGAAGGAGACAGTATTCACCAGAGTCGTCCTCGTCCTGATTCTCCTCTCCTCTCTGTCGAACTCCCTGTGCTCGCCCTCGCGGTGGCTGGGTGTTCGTGCTAAAGGGTTACATCATCTCCGCTTGCGTTTACACGCGTCGGGGCGACCTGCTCGTCGGGTTTGCGAACGCATAGCGCGTGGGTCGCCTCCGCCGTGGGTCGGACCTTCCGTCGGAACCTTGGCGCGTCGGACTCGCCGTTGCGCAAAGGGCGAGCGCGTGGTTGCCCGACCTCAGGCGTTGTTGATCTGGCGACAGCGGAACGACTACCGGGCGCGCGGCAGCATCGCACATCTACCTACTCAGACACCCAATATGTCCTGCGCAACGAAGTCGACACACACGTTAAGCGCGAGCCAGTGAGGCGGCTTGTGGCTGCGCTGTACAACTGAGAACAAGCGACTCGGAGGTCTGCTGGACACGCGAGGGCAGCATCCTCGCTCCAAGCATCCCTCACTGACGTCTTGCGTGTGCAACAGGACCCCGTATGCCTTGCGTGGTGTTGCATACTTGCGCTATGAAGCGTAGCAGGCGACGTTGGTCTGCCTAGGCTAGTCGGAGACATCATTGACGGCGGGTGGGCTTAGTACGAACGTGTTGTGTGACGATGCTACAGCTAGAGCAATGTACACAGCAGAGTAAGCAGTGAGTACGACGGGTGATCAGGTATGATTGTAGCACGTACGTAGGACGACGTCCAGGTGTGTTGGAGCACGTATGAGTAGCGGCGTCGTGTCGGAGGTGGGATTCATTGCGCCGTGTGGGTGGGCCTGTATCATTGTCGCGGAACAGTATTGAGTCAGACCCGGGTCAGAGCGGTGGGGCGAAAGTGCAAGAGGCGGACTGTCATAGTCGTCGATTGAGTGAGGGCGCAGATAGTCTAGTCTGGTGGGTAACGCAACGAGCGGGCAAGGACTCGGAGACAGGCGGCGCGCGGTCGAACCTCGGAGTCCCGCCGGGACCTCCGGGCCACCCTCTGGGCGCTTCGTGGACAGCGTCACGGTCACAATACGGATGTGACCGCGGTGGTCTTAGCTCCATCCGTCATTATACTGTATTATATACTAACTTATAGCGGTGTCACGTGTATTACGGCGAGTCGCTTGCATTCATACTATAGATATAACTCGCCGAGCATGGGGACTGTCTCTATCATCAATGGTTGGGTACTCTATTGCATGGCTCTCTTTCACTACGGCAGCATTACCAGATGACTTGTTGAATCTCTCTCCCTAGTCCTCGATGCGGGCGGGCGATATTACACGAGTCAACGCGGCTTTCCCCGTCTCAAGTCATTGTTCGGCGGTGGTGTCGGGAAGCGTCTGTCTGACTGACAATGCAAACCAGGTATGGCTGTTTCAGGTCCACATATAAGCAGCGTGAGACGGTCGCCGGACGCTAGACGAACTCCCATATCTCTTGGTGGTGCATCATGACGCTCATTTCCGCCGTCTGGACTCCTGTGTCCGTATATTTACATGATATCTTGAAGCCACTGCCATCGCTACCAAGGTGATGTCGTGGTTATTACGGACTACATGCCAACTGACTGGTCCCTTTCTCAGGGAACTACTGTGATTTATTCCGGAGCCATCAACGAATTTAATGTTTACAATGAGGATGGGGAGCCTCTTGTCGACGGCATGGCAATCGATGCGGATTATCCTGGGAAGATGGTGTTCGCACAGTTAGCCTGTGGGCGTTGTGAGTTTCCTCTTACTTACCTGTATTTGTATCACTGATGTCAGTCGCGTCGCAGATGCCGTCGTACTCGCCACGAGCGATTTCAGGACACGTATCCCATGCTTCTCTCTGAGAAGTCGAAGGTCATTTTTGCGAGGTACGATCAATCGCTTCACTTCGCCAGGTATACAGTAATGTGTTCTGGTAGCCGTATTTGGGCATCAAATGGTTCACCAGGCAGGATACGTGGTTGGAAGTGAAGGTCAACACTGTTGAAGACTTCTGGAAGATCAACCGATGCTTCGAACGGAACAATATCATGATCAGCCAGCAAGCCGCAGTCGCCGACGAAGAGCTGGCCGCCTTACATTGCAAGCTACAGGAGTGCATAGAATATGGCCATTTCGGTGGCGGTTACTCATGGTTGTCTCGTCATCTTGCTTCCCTTTTGTTCAACCTCGTCTTCGCGAGCGCTGCGGCAGGCCTCTTCTACTATGCCACTAGTCAGTAACTCTTATGTATGTTTAGTTTCTTGCAAAGCATGTTCCTCTTTGCTACCCATGTGATTTCTCGGCCGTCTGACATCTGCAACGACGCCCTGTCGTTTTCGCCGTAAGTACGTCTTGGCCGTACGTCTCTGGGTCTGAACGTTGAACGTTGAACGTCGAAGCGAGGCAGCGCTAGCGCTTGCAAAGGGCAGCACCGGATTTCGTTCAGGTCGAGCACTCAGAGCTTCGGATGTAGCGTGATGGCTCTGCCAGCACTGCAGCTGGCGTACTTGAACGCGAACTGAAGACTGCGTCGGGCAAGCCCGCTCAGGCCTCAGGCTTTGCGGTGCTGGCGAGCGTTCTCATAGCTGAAGGTATCGATTCAGTATGAATCACCTAGCAGTATTTATGATAGTAGAGCCCAAGAATGCGTATAGGACCTATACAGGATGAGCTAGCCAGAACACGGAAGTACTGAGGCTTGAGGACGAGGGGGAAGAGGAGAAATGGATGCGTGCGACTCGCACGGGACTGGATATACATACTGCAACTGAGTACTGAGCTGAGCACCGAGTACTAAGTACCTTCATCGGACGACTCGGCATGCGGGTTGGCCGTTTCACAAAGCGGGAGGGAGATCCAACGAACGACCGGTACCGTCCAAGTCGCCCAGACGGATGTTCATCTGTGCTCACGATGAACGTGCTGTTTGGCGGTGTATAGATGGGCGCTAGCGGACGGAAGGCGACGGTTGGCCGGACCGTTGTGCGTTCAACGTTCCAACGCTCAACCAGCGACGTTGACTCTGCATCGACCCGTACGCACTCCTTCATTGGCTACGATCCTTGGATCCTGACATGCTATTCAGAAGGGCTCCGCTGCATCCAACAGCCGGAGAATCTCGAAAACGTTGGAGTGCAGGATTTCAGGTGAGTTATACCCACTAGTGAGCGCGTTGCGACGTGTCTGAGCGCGCGTCTGTTCTTCCTCCGTGTACACAGGGGAGCATCGTGCGGAGGCAGCTGTCGCTCGTGCATGTGCCGGTGGCGACGTCGGCAGCCAGCCCGGATCTATCGGTCGTGGACAAAGCCCCGATCACCCACGAAGTGTCGGGGGGGCGATGTAGATGCTGATACCAACGAGGACAAAGTTGCCTCTGTACGGCCATCCCTGATCAACGACGGAAATGGCCGCATACGTCTCTCGCACTTGCGACTGTAATCCCCGCACCCACTCTCGCACCCGAGCTCCTTACGGATCCGCCGGCGTCAGCAGAGCGCGGCCAGTAGCAGTGATCCTTGTCTAGACTCACGCCCGCGCAGCTACTGAGTCGTCGGATACGCTCCTCGGGTCGCCGATGAACACGCAGAACAGACTCTCGCGCTGCGTGAGCTCGACCCGCAGCGTTTCCGTCCATGACCACCCGGCAAGAAGCTATCGCGATCCTCATCCTCATCGGAAACGCTGCACGTAGGCTGTACGTTTGAGTCTGCGTATCATTCTCGCGTATGGCAGTCACCTGCAACTTACCCGTCAACTTGCAAGAGCATACCTCAACCTCTATACCTCTACCCCGTTCTCATCACTCTCCCATCATCTGTTGCGCCGACTCGGGCGCCTTCAACGTGACCCCGCGTCCGTCTAGCGGCTTCGGCAGGCTGTTCAATGCGAAGTGCTTCCCTCCGGCTACCTCACCAGGATTGTCTTCGCTCCCTGCAGTTCCTCCGCGCACCGGTGAAGATGAAGAAACCACAGTGCCGTGTACCCAGGCAAGTCCGGCTCTTATCCCCGCATTGAAAGACGGGGAATCGGCAGAGCCCGGCGGAAGGCACCACGTCTGCCGCCTGCTGTCCTCGCCCTCTACGGCAGCAGTCATGCGGCTGATCGAGGACAGGGGGCTGACATCGTGGGGCGTACGCAGAACACGGTGAAGTACTCGGTGAATATCCGCCACGAGTGGGAGGAGAACCTCGCCGGATCCTTTCGCGAGCTGCAGATGGAGGACGCTGCGGAGGAGGACGTGAACGAGGACGGCGCGCAACCCGCGAGGATAGCGTGTACGAGCAGCAGGGCGGACACGCGCGAACCACATTGGCAATACTCCGGGTACGCCTTCGGACGGAGCCCACTCGTATCACGCCTATATCGCGGACCCCGTTCGCTGGCGATCATGCGGGTCGAGGTGTCAATCCTACTCAGGCTTCTACTCGTCTTGCTCTCCTGTCGCGCCTATTCCTGCGTGACCTCCAAGCAATGTGTTGTGCTTGATCTCCTCCAGCATTAGCAACCCGTATAGCGCTATCTGCAACGAAGTGCTGCTCACTAGTTGACGCCGCCACATGGATCTCAGCGACGTCCATCAAAGCGTGGTTTGGCTACGGTCCTCTCTAGCGATCGTGAGTCCCGCTTGTTCATCACCTCTGGCGGTTGCGGACGCGACGAACGCCGACATTTCAGCTGCAGCGCGACCCAGTCTCACCCCGACAAATTCGGTGTCAGACACCCCGTGATACATGATCGCCCGGCTTTCCTTCCGCCGCGTCATATTCCAGGTGACGCCCGCGTCAGTCATGGACTTCGAGATCATGAAGCCCATCAGCGAAGGCGCTTTCGACTTTTGTCTTCCTCGTGGCACATAACCCTGCTAGCGGCTACTTCGCGACCAAGACGGACGATTGTGAAGGACCAGGTCGTGAACGTCAAGGCGGGGCGTATGACCTCATGGAGCAGGACCAGTCGTCGTTTGTCGTCAAGCGCTGCTTGGCCTTTCAGGGCAAGGAGAACCTCTGTCTCGTTATGGTGCAGTCAACAGCGGCAACGGCGCCGCGCTACCCGGTCGCTCGGATTTCTACTCAAGAACGGGCATGCAACTACGTCGCCGAGGCAGTTCTTGACGTGGAACGTTTATACCGGCTTGGTACTGTACATCGGTACGTAGCGTCTGTGTCTGCCATTGTTCAATTGACTAACTCTTCTTGCTGCCACAGTGACGTCAAATCTGTTTATATTGGTCCATCGACGAGTGCGGTCACCTTAAGCTCACTGACCTCGGGGATACTCAGCTTCTCTTCGGGCTGCGCGCGTGGCGAAGACATAACCCTGGAACACGCGCGCCCTCAAACGACTCTGCATGCATCGGGTTCACTGGAGTTTACGCCCGGCCTACGTACTTAAGGTTCGGACGATAATCCTCGGCCAGGACGGTCACCTCAATCGTGGTCTTCGAACGCCGTCAATGTAGTCTAGCGGCTCTCTCCTGGGCTCCGGGTTCTTAGCCACGCGACGATCAAACGGCGAGCAACGGTTATGCACGGATATCCATAGCCCCTCAGTTCTCGGTGTGCATTCGGGCTCGCAGGCTACGCCCAGACTGCGTCATGACGCATAACAATAATCTCCGCGGTTTGGCCGTGCAACATTGACTGTATGCAAGGATGGCTTTTCGGCGGTGAGCAGAAATGACGCAAACTTTGGTTGTGTTTGTTTGTTCGCGCCTAGACAGTGCACGTTCGCGTCCCTTTCACGCAGACTTGCTGTAGACTCTGAGAAGAATCAGAAGGGAGTGCGACCAGCGGAAGCCAATATATAGCGGTAGAGTCATATAGCGGTAGAGTCAAAATGCGCATCCTTGCTACGCAGTGAGTATTCCTCTGAGCATGAGAGCGGCTCAGACAGCGTACCTATTTCAGCTTGTTCCGCGAGCGTCCAGTTTGAACAATGATTGGTAGCACGCGAGCACGCTTTCCTCGTGTCACGGTTGTAGCTCCTAGGGAAAGCCGTCGTGGCATACGGCTGCATCCCTCATCTGCCCTGCTACAGACACGCCACCCATGGTAGATGCTCACTCCTCTGAGACTGCTGTGCGGGACTGCGTCCAACCGATAGACACAGGACCACAATATTTTCGAGACCGATGGAGTAAACTCTTCCATCGCCTAGCGCCTCAGGCATCGTCGCTGCAGAGCAATACGAGTCGGAAGCGCGCCGCAAAGTCATTACGATCGCACAAAGACAAAGTCAGGGTCTCATCTACAGGCCCAGTGTTTCTGGAGAGCCAAAGTTTGAAGGTTAGAAGCGATCTATCCAAGTCATCCCGCGCAGGTAAGACACTCGAGTAAACACATTAACAGAGAGATTTTTATTCTTATCGTTGCAGCCACCCAGTCGGGGTCAAGTCAGAAAGGTCTTTGCCTCCTCTTCTTCAATATATTCCCTGACGCTCACGGGTACAGATATCTCCGGATCGCTAACGGTAGCCGGGACTCCTCAAAGGGCCATATTTCTGTATCGAGGGAAGGAACAGTTCATATCGCGGATGATGTTTTGGTGGTCGTCGTTCCCGAAAACTATACCTGATACGACCAATCTAGCGCCAACTGCTGGACATCTTGCTGCTTCGAACGATGGAGCGAGAACTGACGCCGAAGACACTGGGCGCTCGGATTCCAACACATCATTCCTACACGATCCCACTACCATCCCAGCTGGGCTTGACGTCTGGGCTGCCACGTACGATGAGTCGCTTTACTTTTCTGGAAGTGACACGCAGGCTCCCGAACACCCCATCGAAGATGATTCCCGACAACTCGCACATACAGGAGGAGGGGTCCGAGATCTTTTTCACCCACACGCGGGACTTGGTATGTTAGCTACCCGGTAGGCGCTGCAAGACAATACACTCATGACTTTTCGAATCAAGCGGCTTTCGGAAGCGAAGGAGTCCTTTCTCCTAGTTCGTGAGAAGTGATGCGTATGTGTACTTTTACATCAGATTATATCTGCACATTGACAGTGTCTGGTATTCCCAATTCATCAGATTCGGGCAGCACCAGTCCAACGGCCATGGCATCGACGATCTCCAATATTCGGATCATGCGAATGACCGTGACGCGAAGGCTCACCAGACGTGGGAGGAAGCTTTCGATGCACCCGGCGAATCACCCTGGGACGACGCAGTCACCTGTCCAGTTGCACCAGACTCGCCCGACGAGGTGTCTACATTAGCCCCAGGCACCACAAGTGATCAGGAGCACGGACGACTGAACGGTGTGCCAGTCAGATTGCCCGAGCCACACGCCGCCGATCTCCTCGACACAACCACGAGTGATGGCACAACTCAAGCTCACTTCCCCGCTGCAATTCCTGCAGCGGACCCCTCCGTAGGCTGGTTCAACCTCCCAGGCGCGTCCGTCGAAGCATCCAAGGTCGACTCCCCCGGCGAGGGGTCCTCAATGCGCGATCACACCGGTTCTCTCCTGGCTGCAGTTCCCGCGGCAGCAGACCCCTCCCCAGGCTGGTTCGACCTCCCAGGCGCGTTCGTCGAAGCATCCAAGGTCGACTCCCCCGGCGAGGGTCCTCGATGCGCGATCACACCGGTTCTCTCCTGGCTGCAGTTCCCGCGGCAGCAGACCCCTCCCCAGGCTGGTTCGACCTCCCAGGCGCGTTCGTCGAAGCATCCAAGGTCGACTCCCCCGGCGAGGGGTCCTCGATGCGCGATCACACCGGTTCTCTCCTGGCTGCAGTTCCCGCGGCAGCAGACCCCTCCCCAGGCTGGTTCGACCTCCCAGGCGCGTTTGTCGAAGCATCCAAGGTCGACTCCCCCGGCGAGGGGTCCTCGATGCGCGATCACACCGGTTCTTTCCTGGCTGCAGTTCCCGCGGCAGCAGACCCCTCCCCAGGCTGGTTCGACCTCCCAGGCGCGTTCGTCGAAGCATCCATGGTCGACTCGCCCGGCAAGGTGTCTGCGTTGATACCAGGCCCCACAAATGATCTGGCGCACGGACGGGTGAACGGTGTGCCAGTCGGATTGCCCGAGCCACACGCCGTCGATCTCTTCGACACAATCACGGGTGACGGCACAAGTCATGCTCACTTCCCCGCTGCAATACCGGCAGCGGAGTCTACAGGTTGGTTCGACCTCCCAGGCGCGTCCGTCGAAGCATCCATGGTCGACTCGCCCGGCGAGGTGTCTGCGTTAGTCCCAGTCCCGATGCGTAATCAGGAGTACGGGCGGGTGGACAGTATTGCTGAGACTATGGCAAGCGCCAAGGGCCTCGGTGTTCTATCCAGAGGCAGTTCGCCTCGTGACGCATGGTTGTCCGCCCCGCCTGCCCCGAACAAATATGCCACTCTCGAGGGTATGCTGGCTGATGTATCGTGTGCTGAGGATGCCATGTCTGTATCAGATGGCGAGACTTCGCTTGCTAATACTTCGGTCCAATCCCACACGACTATGGACAAGTCGGAAACAGTGTTTCTGCGCTCCGTCTTTCAAGAACCCTTGACTCCTGCTCCACTGTCTGGGAACCAACAATACGCATGGACCCCCCACACCCACAGTAAGCGCCTCTTGCCTGACCGCCACAACCCTGGTCTACTCTTCAATGACAATGCTGTATCCGGGCCTTTATCGTCTCAGCTTCTAGCACCGGAGATTTGGGGTGGACCACGCGATACTACTCTGCTTTCGACGCCCGCGCAAATAGGAACTTTCGAGGGAGTCACGAATCCGTCTCGCGCTTGGGACGTCGACATGAACGTGCTGTCCGCAGTGGATCAAGACAGTGTCGCTCAACGGACGTGCGCGGAAACCCCTGATACCGACAGCCGCAGTGCCCTGCCCTTGCAGCACGACACTCTAACACATACCTTCGCCGGGCACGCAGACGTCTTTCCTTTCGAATCTCTGCTCGCATGGCAAAGCCCTCACAGTGGTAGGGATGCATCCAAAGCGCGAGATGGGCTTCTTCATGCGAAGGGTCAGCATCGAATGCACGCGCTGCCGACTATAACAGGTAGTGGTGTTACTGAAACACCGATGTTGAAGGCGCACCCACTCAAGGGCGACCAGAAGGGGCCAGGCGGGTCACTGCTCGACGCCAACGATCGCGTCGTCGCGTCGGGACCCGGGCAGGCAACTGTACATCCGATTCCTCCTGCTTTATTTGGCAGTGGTTGGTCGGCGGATAACGTCGGTGCGCTGTTATTGCGTGAGTGCCCAGCCATCGTTCTTTTCTAGGTACTGACTGGGATTGAAGCTTCCAACACCAGCAATGATCACGGGGACAATGTTATGTTCGACCGCTCCCTTGCGTCGTTCCTTGACGAGTCGTCGGCTTACAACGAGGCGGCAGCATGGCAAGGCGGAACTCGGCTCGGGCTCAGTCACAGATCCCGTCCCGTCGCCGATCCTGCAGAAGCGATGGACTATTCACGTCAAAGTCATGCTTCTCCATCTTACACAGCTTCTGCTAACGTTGAACCTGCGGCGCACCAGGCCAGACCGGCCAACGTGCCCGAGCTCAGTAGTGGCCTGGACAAAACTTCGCCTCATTCCAGTGCTCATTCACTTCACGAAATGGACATTGATGTGGATGCCAACTCGCACCAACAGGGCGGTCAGAGCGAGGAGGAAGGAGATGAAGGAGGGATTGATAGCGACTCCAAATGCTCCGCAAGCGAGACGGATGAAGAGGGAAGCGTTGATGGAGGTGTCGAAGATTCGTTGTTGCGAGAAGTCGGTCCGAAGAGCCCGGCGCATCAACTTGGACAGCGTAGTTTAGACGGTCCACCGCCACGCCTCAACTCGAAGATGGAAGGCATTGTCACTGCCGAGAGTTTGGGCCTCGTTGATCCATCATTCATCGCTGGACAAAGCAGACAATCTCATCAAGGTGAGGGATTCCGCAATAACGTCCGACTGCTTGAATGTCTTGGACTAATGTACAGCGCGAGCACAAGCCTCTGATCAGGTCACACGTCCTCCTACATCTTCGGTATCGTTTTTGCTACCAGATAAGAGGAAAAGCCGGGTGGGGAAGCGAAGTCTCTCGGAAAAGCGTCTGATGGCAGAAGCTGAATCTCGTCTGGTGAGCAATTCCTCACAATTACACTCTTAACAGCAGCTCATCGGGTTGAAAGGATGAAATGGTGTCGACCCTGTCCGTCGGTCATCCCGTGAGTCGCTGTGAATATTAAACATTTGCACTTCTGAGCCCAAGCATCCACAGGACTCTGCCGCGACAAAACGAGACGTCCGGGCTGTGATCGAGCTGCTCCATGAGATGTTGCGGAACCAAGGAGTCCAAGATGCGCAATTGCGCGCAGCAACCCCAGGTCATTCTGACCAACATGACGACCGCATACGATGTGGCGTTGTGCACCGGGATGCGGCACTGCTACTTCTTCATGTGAGTAAATGTGCCATTTCGAAGCCTGAGACGACTGACGTATGGTTGCCTTAGGGTGAAGTGAGGAGACATGCCATGGATATAATGTCCCGAGACTCCGCTAGCGATCCAATACCTATGGCATCCGAAGAGGACGTCCGAAAGTTCACACGCAAGTTGCACAAGGGTCCCTCACTCGCCGATTTTGCACTTGACTTGACAGGCAAACCACGTTCGCCATGGAACAAGAAGGCTGGCGAGGTTTTTGCTAGGGATTTTGCATCGAAGAACTGCAGCTACACTGACATACGGTTGATCCGTAAAGTCTTCGCTAATCACACACTGACACTACGCAAGCAGCAAGCGAAGTTGGCGCGCGATCCTGACGATGAGCCAAGTCAAGCAGACCTGGATATGTGCTCGGCCCTCAGTAGTGAGCAGCGTCGTCGCCGGGTAGGTCAGCCGCCATCTCCATCCGTAGTGTACTGATGTCTTGACAGAGGAGAGAACGTCGGTCGGATGCGTGCAAATCACGCATTAGCCTTCGCCATCTTGTGGAGCTCTGGAACAGAATCCCTTACACGGCTTGCAGTGGCGACGAGTCTGAACACCATCCATCAGGGCGCCGTTACGTTGTCACGGGGTTGCCATGGCGGTCAGAAGAACTAGAAACCCTCTTTATTCATCTTGATTCTGTCCATATGTCTACTAGGTGGAGGGCACAAGGAAAGTGGGATCACGGACGGCTGCCCAGTCCACGCGAGCGGGGCTCTGACCGGATGGAACGAGAATGTGCACCCCCACCAGGGCTTCCAGCTAATTTCTACGACACGGAATGGCTCTCTGACCTGGAGGAGCGAGATCTTGAGGCCTACGAACTTCTCGATGTCCAAGCACCCGTGGATCTAACTCTCCCAGGAGATGTTGTCACGTATGTTTGCACAGCTGACATGCGAGAGGTGTACTGACACGCATCCCTATCAGACTATACAAGCGATTCCGCCATTGTCGTACGCGTGACGATAGGCCATTGTCGGCGGAGCAGTTTGCACCAATAATCATCGAATGAGTGATTGATAAAGCACCCCCAGACTGTACACTATCTTGTCATTACGAATACAACCATCGCAACTCTCATATTCGCGAGCATTACTGCGAAACCTGTACTCGTTTCTCGCATGACCAGTAATTTTCATAGATTCGTATCACTGGGTACATGATGTCTATGTCGGCGACGTCGCGCGATCGCGGCTCGGTCTGACTCTCAGTCCCCTCCGTGCTGATCTCCCCTTCCTTTCATGAGCGTAAAGCTCGACGGAAACGACTCGTCAACAATGAGCACAATAGACGCGGCTACCCTGGGCCTCTGAATCGCTGACCCCTCGAGCGCGCTGAACGCGGAGAAGCTCTGACTCGAGCACAACGTCCGTGACGTTCTCACCACGATGCGCGGCCGCGTACGCATCCACGAGGTGCGTGCCTTTCCGAGTCTGTAGGTACAAGGCTCACGCCGGACGGGTGCCGCGCAGGCTTTGACAAACTACAAATCAACCTCGATGGCACTGAAGATGCAGACGTCCTCGGCCACCTCGACGCTGCAATCCAGTTCATTGAGACTGAGCTTGAGAAGCGAAGGGTTGTGAAGTTGGTACGCCGTCAGGCGGGTCTAACTGTGAGTGCTATCACCGCACGTCTACTCTGTTGTATAGATTGCCGCGCAGGTCGGCGGTGGACGGATTGCTGACTCTCCTCCACGCAGGTCGTAGTGCGACAATTATCGCCGCCTCCCCGATGTATGTGCAGCACATCGGCTATGAAGCCACCCTCGACTCGGAGCTCATCCGGAAAGGACGTCCGAACATCCAGTGAGTTGTCTCCTCCATCTGGCTCTGATTGTACTGAAGGCTGTCATAGGCTCGATGATGGCAGCTGGTTGTTCGAGAGGCATCGTACAGAGTATCAAGACGCGACAAAGCGACGCGGATGTACTACCTTGAGCATGTCGTGGAGGAAGTCGTGGGTAAGTACTTGCCCTCTTCATATCATTCGATCGTACCAGGCTGATCTGTACTCTGTGAAGGCGGAGACGTCTCCACCGAGACAGGCTTCTTAGCCAAGTTCCCGTGCATGCTGACCGATTCCGCCCCCGCGACGCGAGGTGGACTGCAAGCTGTGCCATCAATAGCTCGCCGCATGGACCACGGCCAGGTCGGTTCTACTAGTACCACTCCCCATTTACTACTACTGCAGCAAAAAACGCCAGGCCAGGTAAGCGCTGTGAGAACAAACGAAACGACGGTAAACGGGCGCGAGTGTCCCGGGCGCGGACGATGCCCGAAGGGCAATCGCGTGAGGTATGTACATCGAAAACCACTGTTTATATACCCTGACCTCCCCTTATCTCTTCCAGGTACAATATCGGCCGAGCTTGCGAGCTCGTCCCTGACCGTATGCTCCAACAAGCGCCTGCGGCGAGCCGTAGGCCTCAGTACCACTGGCACAGCTACCAAGGGTTTTTTTTTGCTGATTAGTACGCCCGCGGTCTCTCGCCGACCGTCGTCTTCTCTCCACCATGCGCCTGTCACCACTCCTACACTGGTACCGTCGTGCATGCTCAGGCGCCGGTGAATAGTTATATTGCCCGTTCTTGCCTTCTCACCCTCTTGCTAGCTCATGCGCCTACCTGCTCGCCCACTCACTCGCTGACCCGCTCTTGTCCGCCCAGGCTCGCCGCCGTGTCACTACTTCGCTTGTACACCCGCTCTTGCCCGCCCGCACACTCACCCTCGTACCAGCTCGCTCATCTGCCGATCCACTCGATCTTGTGCGCGGGCGAGAAGCCGTCGGCTCTGCCGTCCCTCTCGCCCGCGCCCCCTCTCGCTCGCGCTCTCTCTCGCCCATCTGCTCGCCCGCCCACTCGTCCACGTACCCGCGCGCCCTGCCAATCGCCCTCCGATTGCCAGGGTGCTGCAGTGTCACACCGGACATTACTTCAAAGGCGAGTATCACAAAAAACAATCCGTACCGTCGGAATAGGTTGATTGTACCTGCAGCCACTCATACCAGACCCGGAAGCACGTCGTCCAAGACTACCCGCGCTACGAACCTTACCGATACATCATACGCGTAATCACCGATACCATCGGCCTCCCAACCATCCTTGGCTCACCAACGAAGGAACAGACGAAGACCACAGGAGTAGACGGTACTAGTTGCACGGCGACGTACCGGCATTCGTAGGATATACACAACCGCCCTCCTCATGCACTAGGCCTAGGAGAAGAACCCGACGCGCCGACCAAAGGCCGTCGTAGTTTTTGTTATTCCAACGCCAATATACGGTGTGCACGTTCCCGACACCATGCTCCTTTTCTCCATTTCCATGCATACATGCTTCATGCGCTGCGAGACGACCACGCTACGTACAACAACTAGACTCGGACCATCTCATCGTCGCGTACCCATCCTCACAGACATCTCCAGCTCTCAGTACTACCTATTTATATCGCCTCTTGTAACAGACTGTTACTGTCACTGACCGTTACCGAGTGTCACTGACCGTTACTGACTGTCACTGACCGTCACCGACTGTTACCGACCGTTATCGACCGTTATCGACCGTCCTCGACCGCCGCCACCCATCGTCGCCTCCTCCTCGCAGACTACTCACCACACGACCACACCGCCAGCTCCTCGCCACGCTTGAGCCCGCCCCATGTTCTCCGAGACTATCAGTTTGAACTGTGCATGCCAATTCGGCGCCGAGACAGGTCCACTCAAGACAATACACGGAGGAGGCAAAAGACAAGGAGGCGAAGTGAGCCTGAACATGAAGGCTCAAAATACGAACGTACGCCCTTGCCCGATGTGTTTACTATTCACTGTCTCCTTTGACAGTGCCCAAGCAAGTGAGCCGCTGACGGACTTTTTCTCGCCCGCCCGCCATCCTGCCCGCCAATTGCCTTGCTCTCTGACTCGCTTGCCTACCGGTCGTCTCCTGTTTCATACGCCCATCTGCGCATCTGTGCGCCCGCTCGTCCATTCGCCCGTCTGCGCATTGGTCCGTCGACTCGTACGCCACCGTTCTGTTCGCTCGGCCCTTCCTCGCTCATCTACCAACTCTCAGCCCTCTGCGCCCTGGCAAAGAGATCTCCCTACTCACATAGAATGGTCAATGGCGCGTCGCCACGCAGAGGAACAAACTCCCGTGGGGAAGGAGCATAGCCATGAGCAGATGGGCGGAGGTCTACGACGCGGAGATAGCAGGCGTATCGTGGGCGACCCGCGAAGTCGAGGAGTACCTGAAGAAGACCGAAGCGTGATCCATCCGACATATCCACTTCTATGCCGACGACACCACCGCCATCTCAGCAATACTCGAGGCAAAATCAGGCTCCTCACAGGGCCTCTCGCGTATCTTCAGAGCATTCGCCATCCGATTCCTGGAGGCGAGCCCCGAGCACAGAATCACGGGTAGCCTGGACACTAGGCCACAAGGGCGCTCCTGTAAGTGCCCGTAAGTGCACAGTGCATTCCTACAAGAGCCCCTTCTAACGACGCACGCAGATGCACCGCAGTGACCGTGTACAACGTGCTCATGGGCTCCGAGTCCGCTCAAGAGCGGTGACACAGTCCTCGGCATCGGCACCGGCACCATCTTCCTCTTCGGCCTCCAGATTGCCGTCGCCAGCAGTACGACTGTCATCGCGACTTCGTCGTCCAACAATCAGCTCGCTGTCGTGCAGAAGCTCGACACGGGCGTCGGTGGCTGTATCATGAGTGCTGCCCCCGCTCGCTCTCTGTGCTGATCGTCGGACCATGCGATCTCACCGCCTGCGCCTGGCAGAGGGCTACGTCATCATAGCGCTCAACGGTATGCTCTCCCCCTAGAGGAGGACAGTCCAGGTTAGGCATCGCAAAAGATGTCCCTCGCGCCCGGCTTTCTCGCGTACACCCCGACGCTCATTGTCGCATCCCTCGTCACCATATTCCGAGTCTCAACTCCTTGGTGCGTTCTCCCTTCATGTCGATGTTACGATGCAATGCATCCTGATGCCGAGACTACATGGGACGAAGAGTCCGTCGTGGTCCACGGCTGAGTCCGTCGCGGCGATCGTCACCAGCGTGTAAGGTGCGTGCAATGAAACTCGCGTCGCGGCTCGGTCACCGCGCAGTTCAAATACTGATTCATGTCGACGTGTAGTTCCGCTCTTCTCTGACGCGGCGCACAGTCACCGAAGTAATTTACCTTAACAAGGCGCTGGCGCTCTTGGATACGGGTGTCTCCGCGTCCGACAGGAGGCTTGTTGTGGTGCGTTGTCTCTTCGCATCTATGAGCGTATTCTTTCCTCGCGAACCCTTCGGCCCCTTCACAGATGCTGACCCCACCAACACCAACATACTACGTGATATGTGCGTCCAATCCGGTCGCCCTCCTGGCGGACCGCTGCGCGCTCGTACTGACGCATATCTCTTTTTCGCGTCTCCCTTTTTCGCGCGCAGTCACGTTCTTGATGTTGACACGATCGTGCTCTCCCCTCAGGGCGACGCAGATCGTCACCCTCGTGGTAGGTTTCATCCTCATCTACTTCGAGAGCACGATCCTTCAGCTCTCGAAGATTGACCAGACGGAGCTCACGGTGCTCGACGGCCGCTGGACCATCCTCCTGAGGGACACAGAGGGCCCTGTCTGTCGGGTTCTGCGGTATTTATCGACATCCAAACCTGCGTCGGCACGCACAACACCGATGGTCCTAGGCTGACAGTGGCATTCGTAGCATCTGACATCTCGTTATATCACTCGTAGCGATCATCGGGAAAGGGAGGCTCATCATCACTGCGCCGAGCGCCTTGCATTGCGTCCGACTGATTTCCGGAACGACTCTGGCACCGGTGCAATACTCCGAAACACGGACGCGCATGAGTTATGCACTGCGTTAACGAGTTCAAATGTGTCGTCTGCTAACGCTCCGCGAGTGCCAAACTCGCATAGGTACGCTTCGTCATTCAGCGAAAGGAAACGGACCGTTGGTATAGTCAGTCACTTGCTCGCCCATATATGCGTTCGGTTGCTCATGGTCACCTATGCGCGTGCAGATGCTCGTGTTACCACTCACACTTACTCGCGCGCGCACATTCTCCGAGGTTCGCACATTTATTGACATGTGCGCTCGCTCACTCACACTCCCCTGTTTCTTTTTGTTAGGTCGGCGCAGATGCTCGGTTGTGGCGGGAAAGCGTTCCGGTGCGCGCCCTTTGGCATTTATGCGGGGACACACGGGCGGGCGAGAAGATAGAACGTCCGTCCGCTTCTTCGTTCGATACTTATTGGAAGGCTCCTCGCGATCCGCCATGCCCCTGCTGCCCTTCAAGGTCGTCGCGCTAATCACTATGGGGGTCGTCTTAAAGTACTGCTCGTATCGACAATGCGCGTCTCGATCTCATTGCCTGACAGTCAGGCATTCCTTGAGTCCCAGAAATATATTTGTTACCTCATGTCGACACTGTCCTGACGAATGTCCGAATGATACTACTCGCCAGGCGCTGTCGGCGTCTTGGCGATGACAGCGCTCACTAACTACAACACCACAACCCACTGGCATACCACCACGTATTACGACAACACTCTACTATTTAATACCTCCTCCTCCTCCTAATGCCCCCACCCGTCCCCCCTTCTCATCTTCTGAGGTGAGAACATCAACAGCGACAAACAAGTGTGAAGGCGCCCGGCGGCATTTTCGACTTGGGAGAGCCTTGCTCTATGGATCCGCGAGCAAAGGACTGTCTTATGCTCCGTGTTCTCTCCCCCAATCCATTCTACGAACGACGCATCTGAGTTTGAGTTGAACGACTGGTTACGAGCCTGCCGACCCGCCGGCGTAAGTACTATTTTCGTTGTGCGCTCCGTCGTTCTCTCAGTCATAATGCAAACCCCAAGGCACCTCGGTCTCTGGATGTTGAACGCCCCGCGCGTCAACAGCTGCATAATGCAACACCAGTGGCATTCCGCGCATCCATTGTGAGGAATGGTACTTAATCTGGCCCTCTCCGAGCTCAGACCGCACCGCACGCATCCTCACCATGCCACCGAGCCACCGTATTCCTCGCTGTACGCCACTCCTTATAACTCAGAATGGGCGTTTGGTGTGAGATTCTGGTTCGCCCTCTGATTATCTGCTCATTTAAATATATCTGCATAGGGAGTGTAACATCATATTCTCTGCGACGGTACAGCTTTGCCGGTCTGCGAACCGTCCTGATCGGTTTCAAGAGCACGATCCAGGCACCGCCATGCTCATTGTTGAGCTGCCAGAGCCAGTGATGTGTAAGTCGCCTTTGGAACGCTAATCGAGCACTGCAACTCAAGATATCTCAGTTGCCATACTCCTGACATACATTGACGGCGCCACTGGAGAAACGATATTCATGGAGTCTCTGATTACAGAACGCTTGAATATCGTCATCAAAGAGGTAAGCCTTACGTTGAGTTCGAGTAGAACATGCATGAAACCCATCATTCAGCAAGACAAGTCAATCTATTGGAAGGCCACCATTCCTGCTCTCCGCTGCTACCATGTTGTCCTAGAGGACAAGCTCGACTTCTGGGATGCCGTAGGATGCTTGCAACGCTGCAAATCGGACGTGCAACGTAGTCGAGCCGCGGCGCTGGGACAGATGAAGGCCCTCGAACAGTTGCTACCTGTACTCAACGTACCGCTAGGTGAAGTGCTCCCACGCGATGAAGGCAAGCCATTGCGCAGTCCTGTTCTGGAAACCTGCTTCCTCTTTGTCTTTGGGTGCGTCTGGCGCATTCTCGAGGCGTTAACCCATGTATACAACACCTTACACTGCGGCTGGCAATGATGTCGCCAGGTAGAATAGTTTTGGCTTGTCAAGCCACCAGAGTGGACGAGCGTCGGATACTGTCAATCTATGCGATACATTCTATGTCAACTCATAAGTTCACGGATAGGGGAAAATGAATCGGCTGTGAGGGTTCTTCAATAATGCGTAGCAGAGTGCTGCTGTCCCCGTAGGGAATCGACCCTGGTAAGGTATCTGCAGTCTGTTTAGGGTCCAGCGTCGCGAGCCCGCGTCGACGGTGGGCGCTCCGGGCGCTGCTCTCGAAGTACTGCCACCACCATCGACTCGGTGACCACGACCGCGACCCGGGCAGCCACCACGACCGCCCGATCTCTCGTCAAGACGCTCGCGCTGTCCCAACGGACAGGCGAGCTCCAGTCCACGACCACTAGCTGAACTGCCGCCAGTTCAGCTAGGGGTGCCCGACAATCCTGCGCGCAGTACAAGACCGCAACTTCCTTTCTCTCCCGAGCCTCATATTCCACCCTGGACCTCTCCGTCCGACTCTACCACTTCCTCTCTCGAGTCTGGCGACCTCTACCCGAACTCCTGCGGCTCTGGCAACACGCAACAAGGGCGCACGGCCCAGGACTCGCACGACGCGCGTGCAAGTCCAGCGCCGAGCAACACAACCGCGCGGAACGCAGAGAACCCGAGGAGAGGGAAGCAGAAGGAGGAAGGGGAGAAGGGGAGGAAGAGAGAGGAGGGGGAAGGGCGCGAGGCGAGCAGTAGAAACAAGCACGAAGGCTCGACAGCCACAGGTACGCCCTCGCCGGACGTTCCTGCTTCGCCGCTTCCGCTCTCAGTGCCCGTGCCAGCAGGCGTATCGACGTACGAGAAGTCCGTCGTGCGCCCTGCTGGCCACGAAGACGGCACGCCCGACTCTCGAGGCGACTTCTACGTCGTACCCATCACTTTGCACGGCAACACGGCGGACGCACAGAGCTGCGCATCCGACGTACCCGTTTATCGATACTGCCCGCGCCAGCAGGTGCGCCAACGGGCAAGAAGCCCGTGGTGTGCTCTGCTCGCCACAAATACGGCGTCTCCGTCTTCCGGGACGACCCCATGGTCGTACCCGACGTTCCGCAGGGCAACGCGTCGGACATGCATTGCCGCATGTCTAACGTGCCTCATCCTTCTACGAGCCACCAAACAGAGGGTACGTTGAGCATCTCGCTCGATGTACACGCTGTCGACGAAAACAACGCCGCGCCCGGTGTACTTGCAATCGTACCCGGCGCGCTGCACCTCACGACCGTGCACCCGGTACGCATGTCATCGGCTCCAGTGCCGGAGTCGGGAAGTAGTACGACGGGCAACATGGTCGTCGTGCACTTCTCTGACTTCAATGTCTGCACACTGGACCTGAACAGCAGCACGGCCATCGTGTCTGTTGCCCACACTTCGCAAGACGGCACGTCCGGAGAGCCTCACTCTATCACCTTACGGTCGCACACTGTGGATACGTCGAGTACTTCAGGCAGCAATAGTGCCGTGTCGGACGCTACCAAGGGCATGTCCGACACGTCCACCGCCAAAGATATGCCCAGCGACGCGGTCGGCACGCGATCAAGCACGCTCGGCGCGTTCGTTTCCACCGTCAAGACACGACCGTCGCAAACGCCGAGCCCCTTGCTCAGCATATATGACACGATCCCCACCTCGGAGACCTTGCCCTGCAACGCGATCGGTGCGCAATCGAGCACGACCGGTGCGCCCACACCTACGGTCAAGACGTACCCGTCGAGCATGGCGAGCACCTCGCTCACCGTACACGGTGAGCCCAACACCTGCGATGACATCGCGATCGACGTACTCCTGAGCACGTCGATCGACGCATCCGCATTGACAGCTGCCACCGGTTCGACGACATAAAAGGCAGGCTCGTCCACACTCAAGCACTTACCCTCGAAGCATCACCGTCGCGTACGTCGAGCCCGTTGCTCAACGTATCCGACGAGATCAACACTTGCGATCAGGCCGTAGTCGACGCGCTCAAACGCTCGTCGACCACGCCCACTCCGATAAGGCCCTGGTCAAGGCTCCGTCAAGCGACGCAGTTAGCGCGCGACTGAGCACGACTGGCGCGTCCTTCTCTATCAAGATGCTGTCATCGAGCAGAGCCAGCCCTTCGCTCACTGCATACGGCGAATCCGACACCGGTGACAACGCTGCGATCAACGCGCTAAGCTTGTCGATCAGCTCGTCGACATCGCGGCCTGCACCAGCGTCGACCACCTCTACGTCAACGGGATGCAAGGCTCCGGATTCGACACTGGCCGTGTCGTCCAGGCTCAAGAACTCGGCCGTGATGGATGAGAGCCCGACGAAGGACAGTACATCCAACTTGAAGGATGTACCAACTTTGTCAGCATTGTCAACGAGTACTGTGACTCGCGCGCGAGACGAGCTGTCTCAGTCGAGCTCGTACGAGCGGTACAGGCCTCCCGTACTGTGTGATCAGGCCCCAGTCCGTGCACACCAGGAGTCAAGCTCACAGGCGCAGGAACCTTCGGCCGACAAGCAAGACCAAAACCGGCCTGCGCCCGAGTCGAAGGTGGATGACACATCCGCCTTGGACATACCGACATATTCTCGGCCGGAAAGCCGCCGCACGTACGAAGGGTTGACCTCGAACGTGCGCGGTACATCCTCCATCAAGACGATGTCGCCAAGCATAGCGAGCTCGTCGACACCACTGCACAGGTCAGCTTCGACAATCCGCGAGCACGACGGCGTGAAGAAACACAGTACACCCACTCTGTTGGATGTACTGCCATCTTCACGGTCGCCAGTCTCGTCGAAGACTAGGAAGCCGGGCATGTCGTCCAGCACAGGGACGAGCAAGTCTGTCCATCAGCTTTGATCGCGGAGACCTGCGTGGACGCAAGTCCAACCTCGACACATTTGCGTCGAATCCCTACACGTTGGGTACCCGCCGCACGTACGAGGAACCAACCTCGCGTGCGCGCACGACCTTGACCGCCAAGACCACCAAGCGGGTCATCGAGTAATCGACGAGGCCCAGTACATCCGAGTCGCCGGATGTACTGACCTCATCGTACTCGATGGCTGAGCTGGAATTCAAGCGCCTGCGGCTCATCGTGTTACCAAGGGTATGACCAGTCTGCACGCGCCATAAGACCGGGATGCAGGAGACCAAGCTCGAGGCCACTTACGAGGAGGTTGAGGGCGATGACTTCGACGGTGAGACTAGCGGTTTCGTGCGATCCCTCTGTGTCAAGGTCAAGATGGTTACCAGTGACTAGCTCGCCACCGCGAAGGAGACTGGCCGTCGTCTCGGTCTCGGCTACCACACGCGCCCAACTAAGGTACTCAAGGACGGTTCCGAGGTTGGTGGCAAGCATGCGTCGCTCGACGAGGTAGCTCTTGACGCCGACGGCTTTGCCGTTGTCTTCCCCGAGCACAAGTACGAGATCGCCGAGCGCCTTTAGGTTCTCTCCACTTGGTCGCTATGACTGGGGACGGTGCTAACGACGCCCCCGCCCAGCTGACGTCGGTATCGCGGTCGAGGGCGATAGCGACGACGCTGCCTGTTCGCTGCCGACATCGTCTTGTCGGAGCCTGGTCTCTCCACTATGGTGGACGCCATCCGGGGATCGCGCGTCATCTTCCAAGGATGCGCAACTACTCGATCTGTGCCTGTGCCGTCACAATCCGTATCTCTGCTTCGCCATCCTCGCCATGTGCCACCATATTGGCACCCCACTTTGCGTAGCCCTCCCCTTGATCCATCCGAGCTCATGTCATGGGTTTGTTTGGGGATAAGTTCTTTTTTCGGTAATAGCACGACAGAAGATGGGCTGAGGATACTGAAGATAACTTCCTTAGGCCAGAGTATCCGGCCTCTGCCCCGTCCCTGTGTTAGTGTTCTTCCACGCGACAACTCAAAGTACGCTACGTGTGGTCACCCACCACCACCGTTCGTGGCCGCTCGTAAGCCTAGGATGAACAAGGATGCTTCAGCAGCGGGCCTATCTACATACCATCTTCTTTGAATCCCTTGCAATTGCTGTACTATATATTGTGCGCCCTTCATTCGGCTCCTGCTCGCGCCTGCTTAAGATTCAGTGCCAGGGTACACGTCACAACAGGGAATGTTGCGACACTGCGCCTGAGACGCTGGATGGACGGAGAAAGAGAAGACATAGAATAAGGGGTGCATACTACATGGTTGGTATCATCGACACTATGGCTTTGACTGCGAGAAAATCAAGAAGTAGATCTAGGCTACACTTGCACGCTCCTCCGTGGGAGCGAGTTTGCGCATCGCGCATGTAATGTGCAGAGCCACATAGATCACGTAGAGTATCCAGCAGGCTGCTCGAACGTCACGCCATGTCCACTCGTCGTCTGCGAAGGCGCCATACTCGAGGCAAGCCTCGTAGTTGCTAGAGACGACATCAAGGTCTTCAGCGATTTCCTCCTCAATGTAGGCATCGTCCTTGATGTCGGCATCGCTAGGAGCGTCGACACTGTTCTCTCGGAAACATCGGACAAACGCCCGAAGATCTTGAGTGTCACAGAGTTGTGCTTGGTACAAGTCGTGGGCATGGGACCAGCGTACTGTCAACGTCCGCTGTCGAGAACAGAAGTCAGAAGGCAGTCAGCTATGTACTGAGGAGACTTCACCTTTGAAACGATGGTTGCCGTGTTCTTTGACAGGACCATACACACAGGAGCAGCGGGTCCCGGGAGCGACGAGGACAGAATAGCATCTGAAAAGCCATTGTTAGACCTCTCTAGACCTGATTTTACGTTCATAACGAAAGACTCACACTTTCCGCAAGGGAGACGCACAATCAGCACAGTGGCACGCAGTGGCACTCCAGCGCCAGCATCGATTGCAGGATCGCCCTGGTCGAACTGAGGGGCGATCTTCCTATAGTCATCCGTCTCGCCTGCAAAGCAGATGATCACGTCGCTGTTGTGAAGCGAAGTACCGCTCAGTCCAGGACGTTGAGCTGCACCGACGATAATACTCACTTGGGGACTGGGGGACCCTGCGGGAGTGCAGCTAGACCATACTTGACGATAGCGAAGACAAGGACCAAGGAGAGCATCTTCAATCTCTGCAGTAAACGGGGACGTTGGCATAGTGAGCACACACAGTAGCTCTTATACCTCCTCGCCTCGGGCGCCGTTCGACCTCTACATCGCATTGTGCTTCCAGGTCGCTCAGACGAGACAATAGGGATTGACCACGTTGCTAATCGGCATTATGTGCGACATTGTTCCCTGTCAACGTTCAACATTATCATGGGCGACGGGAGGATGATTGTGAGGTCGTGCAACCACGCGCCCGCCCTCTGCGCGACGGCGAGTCCGATGCGCCATCTTGTTCTATTAACGGATTTCTATTAACGGATACAAGGCTCCGACGGAAGGTCCGACCCACGGCGTAGACGACCCATGCGCTGCGTTTGCAAGCCTGACGAGCAGGCCACCCCTATGTGCGCAAGGGCAAACGAAGCCGATGTGCCCTGGCGCACAGACTAGCCACCGCGAGGACGAGCACAGAGAGGTCGACAGAGAGGAGAGGAGAGTCAGAACGATTTTGGTGAGTACATACTGGTCACCACACGTGCCACATTACGCCCCCTTCCTCCGAGTCCGCTTGGAGTCCGCTGCGCGCACGGACCCACCACGCTCTCTCGAGCCCACGCCGCCCCCTCTTTGCACATCCGCGGATCTCCCGCGTCGTCCGCCAGTGGCCACTCGCGAGAGCCGCACTGTGCAGGCTCTGCGCGTCTGGCATCCGCCCCGCTCGTTCACCCACCTCCGTCCACTCACCGCTACCCATCTCGCACCCTGGTCAACGGAGCAACACGCGCTGGTGGCCCCCATGAATACGGGCTGTGCGGAACCACCGCGCGCCTGGTAGTCACTCCGCAACAACAAACCCGGCAGCTAGCACGCTACACAGCCACGACCACCTCGAGGCACCCAGGCGACACTCCTTTCTTCGCAGGGACGAGCCTTTGCGAGACCGCAAGCGGGAGGCCGCTAGGCGCGACAATCTCCTTAACCGCCAGCCTGAGTCTGCAGTCGGCACGGCCTCTTTGACTCGCTCCCCGAGGTGAACAGCGCAGCCAGATCCACCTCGTCCCTGGTCACACCCACCGTCAAGTGGAACGTCATGCGAGCCCCGGTTTGTAGGCATTCTTCCCTCGACATTGCCTGCAAAGCATGGCGTCGGACCCCGAGGATCCGCCCAATTGACAGCGCTAGACATGCTCGTCTCGAGGAGTAAGTGGCCCGTACTTCTCATCAATACACCCACGCGCGCTCATCATGCCGGGGCGCACCTTGTCGAAGTGCACGCTGCTCCTGCAGCTTGAGCGACGAAGGCATCATCGCGCAGAAGTATATATTTCGGTTCTCCGACTGCCGTCTCTGCTCGCGTGCGCGGACAGCGAGGGCCTCTCGGACAGGCGAGGCGGCGAGCCCCACCCACATTGTCTGTGCACTCGCCGCTGATATGCATGCGCAACAAGAGTAATACGGATATGGCGTGCGCGGTGGAGACGATGGAGCAGCAAGCTAGCGTCCTGAAGTTTAGGGTGCGGCACGTGAGTGGGATGGACGAGCGGTGAGAGTTTTAAGGGTACGTAGTTATGGTGGATGTGGAGGTCGCCTACGAGGAAGGTGGGTGATCCCTTCACAGGCTCATATGCCACCAAGTTCACCCAGCCACGCAACTGACTGCTCGCTTGCCTATAGAACGAGTACATCGAGGAGCAAATCAAACGGCATGGCAGGCGGTTAGATTCTCAACAACGAAAGCGCGTACGCACGCTTTTCATATGGGGAAGGACTCCCTCATTGTGCTCCACAGGCGCAAACGTGGTCTGCCGCTCAATTGCCTTCCTCCTTGTTCGTAAACCCGCTCGTTCACCTTCCCGCATGACTCTTTGGCCGACAACCTCTACATTGGACTACCGGAAGTTCGGACGCAGGTAGATAACTATTGTAGATTATTGCGTCGGCCTAACGTCTAATGTTGCATTGCAGCACTCCGAAATCACGCTCCTCTGTACCCTGAACCACCAAGAGTGATCGCCCGAGTGTGTGGAGTAGCTCGTAGCATCCTCTCCGCTGTCCGAAGCCGCCAGTTCGCACGCATCGAGATCGGGTGTTGGTCCGCACTCAGGATCACCGCAGCGCCAATGAGGACTTGCAACCCACGGGATCCGCAGCCGCGCGAGTTTCGACATGCTATTCAAACAGTCCCGCACGTCTCTGCGAGCCATGCACTGGCTCACATTCACTCGTATACTCGTCCGAGTCGAACACGAACCCCACGCGTGCCAAGAACACGTCCGCATAAGACAGCTTGAAACTCATCGGTATGCTACACATTCGCCGCATATCACTCTCAACTGCCGCTGACCTCGTCCGCAGGGATCGTCATTGTTATGTGGGAAATTGTCTGGTGCATATCAAAAGCGTGGATGTGCGCGTCAGTATGGAGTCGACAATGGAGCCTATGGCTGTCTAGGTATGCCAGTTCCCGTGCTCTCTCTTCAGATATCCCCACACTGACCCATGATTTTCGCTAGCTCGCCTGCGTACTCTCCACTGTCGCACACTCACTCAGTCTCGCGGCATTCTGGTTGTAAATGCGTCTGCGCAGGCGTCGCAAAGGTCTCGCTGCGCTCCCGCCGGACGCGTACGACGCATCACTCAGTCTATCGCGCTGTATATGGCGCGCGGATCGCGGAGCCGAAGGGTGCTATGCTATCCTTCTGCGCGCTCCGACTCCGTTGAGGCAGTCACCACCCTGAGCTATGAAGAGCGACCTGCCAAACACGTTCAATAGCTTAGCCGCCAGCGAGCGCGCACCGAGACCCGGGGGTGTGTCGCGCTCAAGACAGTGACAGCGCCGACGAGGATGTCAGGCCCCGTGACGCTCCCGGGGGGCTATGTCGGCGCTTCAATAGCTGGACGTACGGGAAGGGCGAACGTCTGGACGTCCGCCGATGGGGCCATTCGGGACGGAGCTCTTCGCCCAAGGGACCTGTCGCGTCGAGTTGGAGCACGTCTCAGCGATGAGCCGTGATCGGCGGTTCCATTCCGGCGTTGCCATGCACTTGGACTCCAACCCTGAGATGTACGGGAAGGGGCGGCCATCTCATCGCGTGAGAGATGAAGAAGGGTGCAGAAATCATCGTCTGTACGCCTGGCCGCATGATCGGTTTGTTGACTGCCAACTCGAGCCGTGTCACTAACCTCAAGCGTGTTGCGTACCTCGTCCTCGACGAAGCCGACCGGATGTTCGACATGGGCTTCGAACCACAGGTCATGAAGATCGTCAGCAACATCCGTCCCGACCGGCAGACCGTCCTCTTCTCCGCGACCTTCCCGAAGCAGATGGATTCGTTGGCAGGCAGGATCCTGTGGAAGCCGCTCGAGATCACGATCGGTGGCCGGTCTGTTGTTGCTCCCGAGATCGATCAGGTCGTTGAGATCAGGGACGAAGACTCCAAGTTCAACCGGCTTTTGGAGATTCTTGGGCAGACGTACAACGAGGACCCTGAATCGCGGACACTCATCTTCGTTAACTGCCAGGAGGCCGCCGGTAACCTCCTGCGCGAGCTCATGCGCAAAGGCTACCTGTGCATGTCCCTGCACGGTGGCAAGGACCAGGTGGTCCAGGTCGACCGTGACTCGACCATCGCTGACTTCAAGTCCGGTCTCGTGCCCATCGTCATTGCGACGTCTGTGGCTGCGTATGGTCTGGACGTCAAGCAGCTGAAATTGGGTATAAACTACGACGTGCCGAATCACATGGAGGATGATGTCCACCGTGCAGGTCGTACCAGGCGCGCAGGCAACAAGGGCACATGTGTTCATCACGCCCGAACAAGATAGGTACTCCATTGACATCTATCGTGCACTGAAGGCTAGTGATGCGAACATGCCCAAGGAGCTTGAGGACTTGGCGTGGTGGCGAAACTCAACTGACCGACTTTTACTGACCGTTACCGACCGTTACTTACCGTCACCGACCGTGGTCGACCGTTACTGACTGTTATCGACCGTCCTCGACCGTCACTCATCGTCACCCACCATCGCCGACTCCTTACAGCTTACCCACCACACGACCACTCACTACCTGCACGACACATGTACCTTACCCTCCACATCTTGTGGTACATCGTAGGTGTATACCAAAGCAGTGGCGACCAGTCGATGACACAATGTGCTTACGTGTCAACGTAATCACAGCGTTCGGACAGCATAGGGGTCGAATAACCGGGTGGCGGAGATTTGGTGGTTACGATGTGACACAGCCGTCACAAAATCACAGCGTTCGCACAGCATAGGGGTCGAATAACTGGGTGGCAAATATTTTGTGGTTACGATGTGACACAGCCGTCACATAGTAACATCGTATGAATCAATCTTTTATGTAGGCAATACGCGGCGATACAGTCAGCGTTGTGTTAAAGTTCTCTCAGCATTATGAGGTGCTAAATACGGTGGCCTTACGTTGACAGTATTATGAGCATTACTTTGTGCCGAAGTATCAGATAAGACCAAGACATCTCCAAAATAAGCCTACACGGGTTATGCTGTCGGCCCGACAGAGTAATATCAACGTATGTTTACTCAAATTATGGTGTTTCAAGGTTCACGTAAGCTTAAAATATCCACAGCGTAAGTCGCCGTCACATATCTTTTCCTGCACCCTGTGGACCGTGTGCACGCACGCGCCCGTTGGTCGCACAGACGCCGAGCGCCAGCGGGCGTTGGACGACTTGGACGTCCCACTGTGCCCGCGCAGGTTGCGCGCAGGCCTGCAGCGCGCCTCCACCCGTCTCCCACCGGTGCTCGCCGCCCGCCCACGCTCGCCGCCCGAGCCGCGGCTAAATTGGACGAGGCAGCGTCATCCGTGATCGCCCGATGACGTGCGTGCACCCACTCCTCCCGCGGGGACGCCCTCCGAACGACCCCGCCCGCGCACAGATATCTCGCCCAGTCGCCTCCTCGAACGCCCCGCACTAGCCACTCAGCAGTCGCGTAACCGCCGCGCTCTCGTTGGCTGAACGACCCGACTCGACCTGCCCCGACATGCTGCGCTCGCAAGTCGTCTGCGCTGCCCGTGCGCCCCGCAAGCCTGCCGTCGCGCTCGTGCGCACGGGAGGAAAGCGCGACTTCAACGCGTCGGCTGCTCGAAGCCAGCAGCACCTCATCATCCTCGGGTCCGGATGGGGTGGCTACGAGCTCCTGCGCGGGATTGACAAGAAACGCTGGCGTAAGTGCTGCTCTCGGATCGTGTCTATGTCCTCGCTCACCCGTGCTCAGATGTCACCGTCGTCTCGCCCAACAACTACTTCAACTTCACGCCGCTGCTCGCAAGTTGCTGCGTTGGTACGCTCGAATTCCGCTCGGCCATCGAGCCGGTGCGTGTCCTCCGTCGTGTCTGGTGTTTCTGAGTTGGACTGACCGTGGGCTGCCGTGCACCGCGTACATTGTAGGTGAGGAGGTACACGCCGCAAGTGGTGAGTCAACTCCGTTCTATCTCTCGGATACAATCGCTCATCGAGCCTTCACTTGTTCTTTCCTGTACCTGTCCTATCCCCACGTCCCGTTCCTTCACACCTCGTCCTTGTCCATGCCATCACACACACGACTTGCATCTCCTCCATCTATCGCATCGCGTTCACGACTGTCTCCCCGCTGGCTCCCTCACCTACGCTGTCTCCGACTCGCGTACCTTTGCTCTCACCGAAACCCGCCATCCGCCCACCACCCCGTGGTATCTGCCACTTCCCATCCACGCCAACGTTCACCTACCTCTCCAACGCGTCCTGCGCCGTCCACCCCGTTGTCCACTCCCTTCCCGCACCGCCCGGTGTTACGCGTTTCTGCCCACCGTCTCGACCCCCTAACTGCTCTCCTAACCACGGCCGGCCACCCTGACCCCGCGCTCGTCCATCGCGCATCAATCTGCACTGCGCCGCGCGACGTACCGTACCTCCCACCGCTCATCACGCGCACACCTGCCTCCTCCCCACCCCTTCGCTCGCGTACCTGTGCCGTCAATCCGACGCGCAGAACGCGTACCAGGCGTGGTGCGACCACATCGACTTCAAGAACAAGACTCTAACATGCGTGAGTCCCCGATCCTACCCCTTTCCGCCAGTCATCCCCGCTCCCCCTCTCTCTCCCCGTCCGCGCCCTGCCCGTCCTCTCATCGCCCTCCCCACCGTCCCGATTCCCACCCCCTTCCCTCGTCTCCTCACACACTGATCGCCCCCCCCCCCGCGCGCCCCCACAGATGCCCGCGACCCCACCCCTCGCCTTCCACACCCCGTCCCCTTCCTCCACCTCAACACCGCCCACCCCCTCGGCCCCTCCCGCCCCATCGCCGTCCGCAGAGAACGCGCCGCACAAAGCGGCGAACGAGCGGCTCGGCGCGCGCAACCCGGGCACGGCGCCGTTCACGCTGCGCTATGATCGCCTCGTCGTCGCCGTCGGGGCGTACAACAACAGTGCGTGCGTGTGTGGATTTGAGTTGGAGGGGGCTGATGTGGTGGGGGCGGTGCAGCGTTCAGCGTGCCGGGGGTGAAGGAGAACGCGTATTTTTTGAAGGATGTCAGGGATGCGCGGGCGATCCGGGCGCGGATCCTCGAGTGTGAGTGGCCATTTGTTTGTTCGTTGTGTTTGCTTTCGTGCGTTCGTCGTTCGCCTCCCTCCGACCCCGGTCTTCGTTCCTCCCGAGCGCTTTGACGTGGCCGCTCCTCCCGCCCGCCCGTTTCCTCGCCCTTTCCCGCTTTTATCCGAGCTCTCCAGCGCGGACACACTCGTTCGCCTTCCTCCCCTTGGCGACCGTGCCCCGTTCACTCACGTTGCGACGGGCGCGCTGACCGGACGCGACACACCCGCAGGCTTCGAGCAGGCGCACCAGCCGACGATCACGGACGACGACCGCCGGAGGCTGCTGCACTTCTGCATCGTCGGTGCGTCTCTCCTCTCTGCGCGGGGCTCTGCAGGACTGACCAAGCGACTGCCCTCGACACCGCTCTCGTTTCTGCCCCACTCTCTCTCTCCTCCCACCCCACCCCGTCTCGCCACGCCTCTCCTTCCGACCGGCGGCACACGACGTCTCTCGCACCAGGCGGCGGCCCGACCGGCGTCGAGTTCGCCGCGGAGCTCCATGACCTGCTGCACACGGAGGTGCAGCGCCACTTCCCGGGGCTGCACCGGTTCGCGCGGATCAGCCTGTACGACGTCGCGCCGACGATCCTGGGCTCGTTCGACCAGGGGCTGCAGAGGTGCGTGGGTTTGCTGCTGTGTTGGGGGTCCCGGGCGGGCAGGTGATGTGAAGTTGTTCTCTATTAACGGAACGCGTTGCGTTGTGACGTGCGAATGTAGTATGGTTCTGATGCTCTTGTAGCCTGGACCTCAACTTGTCGAGTTTACTTTGTAAGGATGTGCACCGAGGCTTACTTCTGTCCTTTCGCAGCTTCGCCACGCAGAAGTTCCAGCGCGAGGGCATCCGGCTGCTCACGACGCACCACGTCGAGCGCGTCGAGCCCGTAAGTCGCGCTGCATCTCGTATCGCGCCGTTCGCTGACCTCGCTCGTTGCGCCGCAGGGCAAGATGTACGTCAAAGAGCAGGGCGAAGGTGCGCCTCCCTCTGTTGTGGTCATCTGCTGAGCTGACCGACTCCGCAGTGTACTTCGGTCTTCTCGTCTGGAGCACGGGTCTCGCGCCGAACCCGCTCGTAGAGAGCATCACGGAGATTGAGAGGGATCCTAAAACAAAGAGGTACGTACGATGTGTCTATCGGGAGAATCGTATGCAGGCTTACGGGCGCGTACAGCTTGATCACCGATGAGCACTTGAACGTAATGCTGAGGAGACGGGCAACCCGACCCGAACGTGTGGGCTCTCGGCGACGCGGCGATGATCAAAGAGATGCCCCTCCCCGCCACCGCCAAGGTCAGCGCCCCTCTCGTCCCTCCTCTGTCTCGCTCACGCGCCATTCCGTCTCGCAGTGGCCAACCAAAAGGCGAAGTACCTGTGGAAAAAGCTCAACGCGCTCGCGAAGGACCGTCCCGCGGCGGATCCGTTCCGGTTCCACAACGCAGGCTCGCTCGCGTACATCGGCGACTGGCAGGCGGTGTACGACCGCACGCGCACGGAGAAAGCGAAGGGGAAGGAGGCGGGGCGGTTCGCGTGGCTGCTGTGGCGCTCGGCGTACTTCACGATGACGCTGAGCTGGAAGAACAAGTGAGTCGCTCGTTCGTTCGCTCTCTCGTTCCTCGGGCTTCGCGCCCCTTCTGTTCGGCTTCTGTGACTGGAGAGGGTGAAGTGGTGCTGACTGAGTTCTGTACCTCGCGTTGCAGGATTCTCGTGCCGTTCTATTGGTGAGTGGGCGCGCGGTGGCGGTGTGGGCGCGCTGGACGCTGATGGGTCCTGTGACAGGTTCATGAATTGGATCTTCGGCCGGGACATGAGCCGCTTCTAAATGGGTCAGCACTGGTGCGGTAGGTGTGGGATGGTGGGACGTGGTGGACCGTTGATGCCATACGGGCTGAATAGAGAAGCACGAGGATCGGACGTGACGATCGGAGGAGGTGGAAGGTGGATGGACCGATGACAGGTGAGTGGGAGGCGAGTCGTGTTCGGACTGTACGGGCAGCCAACAGCGGCCTGCGTACAGCTGCAAAAAGTGCAACCATAGTAATCGGATAATGATCAATAGACGTGTCCCCGTTCATTCGTGGGCCCAGTGCATAGGATCCAAGCGACAGAAGGCCTCAGTTGGGTGGCTGACACGCTGAGATGAACGTGACTAAGACATGGATTGAATGCATAGACTACACGGATACAGTGTCATACAATACAGCCCTGAGATGTCCAAAGTGCGACGCAGAGGAGACTAGAATACAGCGACGAGCATAGATAGTGTACCATAGTGTCATGGACGGGAAGAATAACAAAAATACTTTTTGAGATGGCATATCCGACTCGAATGATTTGACCACGCAAACATGAACTTGCTCATGCAATGGCGGTTGGGAGTGTCGTCACGGGCTTTCGGTGGGGCGACTTGCGCTGCGGAGGCTTCGTCTCACCCGACGCTACATCGACAATCAGATAGTATCTCCAAGAAGCGACCATTGTCTACGCACTCTTAGAGTTCTCGCGCTTGACCGCCTGCGCGCCCTGCAGGAAGCCCTCGACGAAGTCCTTGTTCTTCACGAGCATCTTCCCGTCCACGCGGTGCTTCTGTAGGCCGTCCAGCGAGATGCCGTGCCGCTGCATCTGCTCGACCATGATCTTCCACTCCGGCTCCACTTTCCCCGACGCTTCCAATCGTCCGTCGGTGAAGCCAGCGTGCGCAACGTGGTCGAACGTACCTGGCACGGGGCCAGAAATCATTGAGCGGCGTACGCGGTGCGCGTTGCTAGAGCTTGTCGTGCCACTCGTGTTGCGAGGGACGGAGCGGGAGGGGGCTTTGGAGATCTTGCGAGGCGGGAGCACTGCATGAAGCGTGCAATGGCTGAGGATGAGGGTCACCGCAACAAGGAGAGCACGTACTAGTCGCGTGTGACTCGCTCATTTTCTTGTAGAATCGGTCCGCGTGTCCGTCTTCGTCGAAGCGGATGCCGAACATCCTGCTCTTAACATGCGCGTAAGTATCAACCTGGATTTGCGTTGTCGCGATGGGCATGAGAGCGGCTCACCTTTCCTTGGAAGACGTGGAAGAAGGGCTTGTCGAGGCGGTACTGGAAGTCCGTCGGGATGAGATGCATCCATACCACACCCTTCCCGGGCTCGGTGTCGACGAGCCTCAACCAGTACCGCCGGTCGAAGCTCGTCCCCGGACCTGAGCCCAACGGCTTGTCCCCGTGCATGACGACGCGATCGCGGCCGAAGACTAGCATGCCTTTGAGGCCGGTGTACGCCCAGCCGTCTTCTCGCGCGCCGAACGGGGCTTGATAGAGTCTTGCCGGGGCAATCGCGAGGATCTTCGCATCTTGCGGAAGCTTGGAGAGGATGTGGCGTCGCTCCTCTTCAGTGCGAAACGGGCTCGAGCGCGTTGAGGATGACTTCGAAGTCGCGTGGTGAACCATTGTGTAGTGAGTACGACGTGAACGGTGTAGAACGGTAGTGGCGAGGGGCGTCGAGCTAAGAGAAACCTCTATAGAACTGAAGACTCGGAGAGGAGGCGGAAAGGTATATGTATTGTCGGGTAGACGCACAGGTATCTGGGCTGCGCGACTTCGAATGCCATAACGGTGCATCGTGCCGGCCGCATGTTCGGGAAGCATGTCCGCGTTTGTCCACAACGTGCCTGTGTGTGGTACTTATCACTGCGCGTCAGATGGGCTGTAGAACGTGAAAGGCTGCATGTGGACGGAGGCGGTGATGCCAAACGTGGATGTGGTCGATTTCCACTGTACGGGGGAGTGACGGGTGGTAGGGAAGCATCCGGCGGGGTAAAGCAAGCAGAGTGCCGCGGATGCCTGGATTCGCTACGAGTAGCCTAAGCGATATGAGGGGGCGAGACTCAACTGCGAAGAGAGGCAATGATGAGGGTATGATGCCGCTCAATACTCGCTGAGATCGTCGAGGCCAAAAGAGGTCAGACAGGCTGGCATCGAAGCAAAATAGCTTTGAGTTCGTCAAGTGGATGCCTACAGATGCCTCAGAAGGTTTATAGAAGGACCACGAGGCCGGACAAGGGCGGGAGTATGATGCCACAGTCCATCGAGGCAGCTAGATAAACGCTCTGGACTAGAGACACGGGGAACTTGAGCGGAGCGGTGTTTCGCGGGAAAGGGACACAATAAACCGGCTGCTCACAAAGAGCGGGTCGAGCGTTCAGAGTGCCGAGAGGTTGTGGGTTGATGGACAGATATTCTTTGGTAAACATACCGCGAGCCGTTTGACAATACATCGGTACTCACTAGTATCGGGGGCCTCGATGCAAGTAAGGGGAAGTAAGGTTCCCTTGAGGGAAGTCTGCGGTGAGCTATGACACATCAGATACTCTCGTCGCACAATTGGTCAGTTCACGACGTACCGGCATGTCGAATGCTCCGTCGTGTTGCGCAGGCAAGAGAGAAGACGGCAAAGGGCATGGATTGTGCCCTAGATTCCTATCGCCGCAAATACCTAATCCACGGAAGGCGAACATCTGGCATTCCAGAGCCGCGATCGAGCACGGCGCAACAATGGAGCGAGAGACCTCACCCCTCGACAGCAATCTCGTTAACCGATCCTTGTGTTCGCAACGCAGTTGACGAGCCGACAGATCGCGGGTACGGGTTTTCCAGATCTATTGTTCTGCAACGAGGAACGCGCTGAGTTGTTTCACCGAACGGACGTAAAGGCGATGAACATACGTCTGCCTGGCGCCGGCTCGAATCGATATCTGGATGGGATACGTACGAAGACAATGGACGCGCCGCATTGCCTGCGTATCTGGGCATTTTCGTCGCATAATAGACCCAGCCCAGTCCAGATGGACCTGCATCACGTTCATCGCGACGTACGGCGTGTAGGGCCGTATTCGAAGCGGTGAAGATGCAACTGGGTAAACTCACTCGATTTGCACTCCCACCCTAACTCCAGCAACGTTACGGTCCAAGCTCGCCCTATGAGAAAGCGATAGCAATAGTTTCGTATTGCGTCATGCACGATACACTCAGTCACAGCCACTTGTCCGTGAGGTGCCCCCATGCCTTCAGATTTTACATCGCGACCACTGCAACGTAGTGAGAAACATCACACGCGAAGACAGGGTACGCACCTACCATTTCTCTTGTGATTCTATGTTCCCCAGCACCGCCATCACGGCGACGCGCTGCTCAAGTCCGCGCCTCTCACTCATGGCTTAATGGTGAGGCGCCGCATGAGCCACTCCCATCCTTCACATCCAAAGTCGTGCGCATTGCGGAAAGCAACCTTGCGAGCGGACCACGGCGGCAGCAAGGCCGGTTTACCGTAGGGGTACTCCACATCGTAGAGGTGGCCGTTGTAGCCCAAGAGCTGGAGTGAACTCGTGCCCTTGATGATCGCTTCTGCCTTCACGTCCGTCGCTTCCCAGGTCCGAATGTAGAGATATTGAAGGTCCGTGAAGTATGTCCACTGTATGTCGACTGAGTGAGCAACATTTTTAACACGGGTAGGCGCTCACAAACTGTGAAAACACCGCAGCATCGGAGAGGAGTCTCTGGCTCGTCAGCCTCATGGCCGCGAGACCGACGGGGAGGTGAGAGAGTAGGTTCTCGATGAACTCGGCGGTGAACGGCTGAGTTAGCTCAAGGTCGAATATCTCCATGTCCTTCATTGTTCTGATGGCATTCAAATACAGGCTCAAGCATTCCTGAGGCACCTTGAGGTTGCAGTATAGACGTCGTAACGAGCGCCTGTCGCGCAAAAAGCTGGCGAGCATCTCTGTATGGTGTACCTGGAGGATACGGCTGCCGTGGCATTGTAGCGTGAGCGACGACAAGTGTGGAAGATCGTCATGAAGCAGCGAGAGGGTAGTGACTAGCAAGTCTTCTTGCGACGAGGGCAAGAATATCGACAGCGAGCGGAGTCGAGGGAGTTGACGAAGGACGGATCCGAGTTCGTTGAGCGTCTGCATATCGACTATCAGGCCCAGATGCGTGAGTTTCGGGAGGTACTTGAGTGGGACATCTGCTGGCGAGTGGAACGGGAGCTCCAGCGTATGCAAGTTCTCCTGAGCGGTCGTACACCTTGCGATCGTGAATGAATGGTCCTTGATCGTGTCCTCATAAGTTGGCCATGTCGTGCTGACACTGATAGAGCAGAGGCTGTTGAACTGTTCGAGTGGCAATCTGTCAAGTGAATCTGCCCTATTGGCGGGACTCAGCATCAGGCTATTCAATCTTTAACGACTGAAGCATGCACTTACGGCACGGACAGATGACGGAGCGACCTGCATGATTGCACCAAGGAGTCTATGACCGCTGGGTAGGTAATGGTGCTGTCCACGCCACACGAATGAAGACAACTCCCTCAGGAAACCTATGGCGATTACCAAACAGCCTGAGGAGAAGAAGATCTAACAGCTCTGTACACATCGGCTACATTGATAACTTACGGATCTCGAATGCGCCTCTCCCACCATCAACCTTATATGCATGAACCTCCATTGACCTGATGACCGACGCGAAATGGGGATCCACAATGATGCGGTAGAGCAGATCAAACGACCTGGATGATCTCTCGTCTTCTAGTTCGTTGCCGTTGTCCGGGACAGGTTTTTTACCTTCCAGTGTCTCCCATGCACCAAAGCAGATAGTTACTTCAGAGAAGACGAGGTGCATGGCGAGGTGATGAAAGGCACTCGAGACCGAAAGACACGCCGGTCTAGAAGGCCTAGGGAGTTGGAAGATGACCTCTTGCCATATTTCCGGAGGTAGACCAGCATACTCCAGCATTGTTAGCAGAAAATGCGAACAGATCGCCAGCAAACGTAGCGGCCTGAGAACGAGTGAAAGGAGTTCGGTTCAAACTTCAAGTTTGAGCTACGGTGACGCGGTACACGTGAGCGCGTGGACTCCCGACTCATCCGGTGGTGTTGTAAGTTATTCACACACGGCAACATGACTGGAACCATGTTCGTTGGCCTCTGGAATCCGAACCAAAGCATGGACAACCCATCCAGGCTAACATCGCAGCGGGTCGAGTGGCTCTAAAATCACAGCAGCTGTGGCAACTATGTAGACGTCGTACACCGGAGCGGAACGTTCATAAATCCCGAAGAATCAAAAGACTGAGGAGAATCTCAGGCTGTGGCGAGTGATTCGTAACGGGGATAGAGTCATACAAACTACAGGTAGATTATGATGACATGTCCTGAGCCCCCACATGAACGCTCATGGTGACCGCGAGACAGAACAATGGGACTCCCTTCCCCATGCTCACTGTGAGGCATCCACTGAGATGCTAATTTGCATTCACGCGGCAGCGATGTGGTAGATCCGGCTCAGGACTGCATGAGGAACGGTGCAAAGAGATGAAGGTCTGGCGTCCATATGCAAGCCGTCAGTTAGATATCATGTCAATAGAAGATAGGAACCGTACGGGAGGGTAAGCGCACGCAATGATGGGCAACATGCATCGAGAGGACGGAGGACCATCTCGGAAGGATGAGACACCTTGGAGTATAAGTAGAATTCTGCATCCCACACAAAAGATTGCAGCCGATTGAGACGGCGTATTGCCTGAGCAAGATGCTCTACGAAACCATGATGTCGTGAGCAATCGTGGATAATACGGTTCCATAGCCATCGAGCAGCACGAGTGGACTGGTAACTCACCCATCTGTGCCTTGAAGGTACCCGTGGCATGTTCGTGGAAGCAACGAACTCGCAAATGTTGGATGATGACGGCGAAGGACAAGTCAGCGATTATACGATCCAACATGCTTGATGTTGTGGCATCGTCGTGACATGTCGCAGGCTGGACCATGGCATTTTCTTCTTCAAATGGCCCCTTCTTCTCTACCCACCAAGGGGGAATATCTGTTCCCAGCGTAATGGTGATTCGCGAAAAGCCTACAGTTTTGGCGAGGTCGTCGACTGTGTGCAAGACAAGACGGCATGTGCAAGCATCGGCCTTGGAGAGAAAAGAGATAAGTGCATATGAGTGCGACATGACGCGGCGTGCAAACGTGAGCGTTGTCACGAAGAGTCGCGCAGGAGGAGGAGGAGGAGCTGCGCAGAATCGCCCGAGCCTGAGACTCGCCCACCGTGACGCCGTTCTCCGAACTGGGTCCGTTACATAACGCTCTCCAACAGTACGATAGCAACAGCACCTCGTTTCCGGTCATGTAGCGAGCTGACGGACTGTTTGAAGTTTGAACTAACATCGATGCCCAAACTCAGGCTCTTAGCCAGATTAGTGTCGTTGTCTACAAAAGGCTCGCTCTCGCGCGTACTACTAGTACTACTAACACATCAACTTCGACGAGCCCCATGGTCCTCTGCAAATCAGCATTCGAGACATACCAATGTACATAACTCCGCACACAGAAATCACCCTACACCTATCCACCTACCGCTCACGGCACGATCGTCAGATGCCTCATCAACCACTCCCACCCCTCGCACCCAAAGTCCTCCACCCCGCGGAGCGCCGTCTTGCGGGGCGGCCACGGCGGGCGCGCGAGCGGCTCCGCTGGCTCGCCCTCGCCGATCCGCGCGTACTGCACGTCGTGGAAGTGGCCGTTGAACCCGACGAGCTCGAGCTTGCGCGCGCCGCGGATGGCGTCCTGGACGGAGAGGGGCGTGCCCTCCCACGTGCGCACGTAGAGAAGCCGAGTTCGCGGAAGTGCGGCCACTGCGGGGCGCGTGCGTCAGTCGGGCGTGGACAAGGCAGAGGAAGAGGAGGGGCGCACGCACGAAGTCGGCGAAGGCGTCGGTGTCCGTGAGCGGCCCACGCTCGTGAGCTTCAGCGCGGAGAGGCTCGACGGGAGGTAGCGCGTGAGGCCGTCAGGAACGCGCGGTCGAACGGCTGGCTCTCCATCCGCAGGTCAAGATCTCCATGTTCTTCAGCGTGGCGACCGTCGCGAGGTACGCGTCGAGCCCCGCCGTCGCGAGCTCGAACGTGAATACATCCTGCGGAGCGCCGTGCGGCCCGCAGGAAGTCGCAGAGCTGGGCGAGCTCCGCGGGGCGCACGACAGTGACGTGCGGGCTGGGGCCCTGCAGCGCGAGTGCGCGGAGGTGCGGCACGTCCGCCTTCGCGTCGGCGAGCTCGGCGAAGATGTGCTCCTGGTCGTGCACGGGCGAGAAGAGCGCGAGCGACTGCAGGTGCGGGACCTCCGGAGGAGTGCGCCGAGGCCGACGTATGAGTGCATCGAACGATCTCGAGGCGGGTGAGGTTGGGGAGGCAGGAGATCGGGATGTCGGTCGGCACGGAGTAGGGCAGCTGGAGGGTGTGCAGGGAGGGGAGGAGGGTGGTGCAGCGGCCGGCGGAGAGCTCGTGCTCGATCTGGTTCGCTGTGTACTCCGCGGAGGTGACGGAGATGGTGTGCAGCCGGCGGAATGCGGTCAAGGGGAGGTCCCGGAGGGATTGCATCCTGTGGCGGTGCATGAGCTGTCGAGTGGCGAACTGGGTGAGGACAGGACGACCTACGGCAAGGAGAGGACATGGAGAAAGGGACAAGACGTACTGAGAGCACTGACTAGTCGAGTGATGGCTTGGGATCCTCTCCGTGCCAGATGAACGATTGTAGTTGACGCAGGGTCCGGACCGCTGCGCTCAAATGAACTGTAGGACGTGAATACACGACTAGGCAATGACTGAACTCGCATACGACTCACACAAAAATGATGTGGTGCTCCATGTAGTCTCTACGCCGACCCCGAATGCATGCACCTCCAAGACCTTCACCATGCCCGCGAACCACACATCATCCACGACGCGATCGAGGAATCCGAGGAACTTGATCGATCGCTCTGCTTGCTCAGGGTTGATAATGACCATCCCCATCTCTTCGTCGAACGCATTCCAGGTGTCCCAGTCACCAAAGTTGACGACCACCCGGGCGAAGACCATTCCGGTGACGAGCCTGTGCAATGCGGGGCAGACGAGTCGGCAAGTGCGCTGGTCCGGCTTCGGGAGGTGCTCGAGGACATGCTGCCATATCTCTGGAGGAAGGCCGTCAAGGCGCAGCTGGTGCGGTTGCATTTCTAGAGGACTGAGAGGGAGGCGGACTGCCAGTGAGCGAGTTCAATATCGGGTCGAAGGCGACTCACGAGGCGCCACAACGATGTGGGGCTCGGCACAGGCGAGATCCACCGTCGAGATAGAGTCCGTCGTTGAGCGCAACGTTGAGCGCCTCGCAGCCACCGGATTCTCTCGTTCAGCTCCCCTTGCCCATCGGCAGTTGTTTGCTAGTCTCGTATAGCATGAAGCACCTCTTTGTGTTGGTTTTCAGCTGGGATTAATGACATCAAACCGACTAGCTGCTTTGCACTATGGATTCCTCACCTGAGGCTTGCGAACGCCGACTCGGGGCACCGCGCACGCTCAACGGTTACAGCTCCCAGATCTTCGTCAGACCGCCTATCGTTTCATTTGCTGGGATTCACAACATTGTGCTGACGTAATGCAGGCCCAGCAGGGAGGTGGAAGTCAGAAGTCAAGGGACGAGACCGTATAAACGTTGGAACTATCTTCAAGGTGGTCTCCTCGAACGTCAAGCGCTCACATGGCATTGACATTCCACGAGGGACCGTGATCTCTTTGCCCGATCCGACCACCATATTACTTGGAACGGGAAGTGACAAGGAGTCGAACCTGCGCTGAAAAAAGTGGCTATCCATACGCCGGTACGTTCGTCATCACGCGCGCGTGAAGGTGCATATACTCTCCATCTACAGCTAGCTAACCGTCTACTTCTAGGCTTGCCTCTGGTCACGCGCGAAGCTAGCTCGTGCGCAACGCACATACTACCTTGGCTGGACCTCTGTTAGATTCTGTCACAGCGTTCTCCTCAACCAGAACATTATAACATCCAAGGCTCCCTCTGTTCAGACAATACGCACCTAAGCTGCATTATTCAACTCGTACGTTGTGATCTCGTTGCTTTTTCTGATACCTTCACCACAGAATATAGTCGTCATGGGCGAGTGCAACCTGCAGTCAGAACCAGGCTTGCGTCTCGACCGATACAGTACGCTCCGAGTACCCGCGATGTGGCTGCCGCTTGATTCCTTACCCTCAGAGTCGATTCTGCTCCGGACTCGGCAACAATCCGACTTTTCCGCGCCATAACACACACGATGCTACATATGTAAGTTGAAAGTGACCGTCTGCTTCGCTGGCGCCCGCACGGACCGTTCGGTCTACTGTTCTTCCATCGTCTTACCGCACACCCGGCGCTCTGACCAGTCCTTGTCCTGGTTCTCCTTCTCCATCGGTATTCGTAGCCTTGTTCATGACTGCGACACTCGGTCTTCGCGCTCACGCCATCCTGGTACAGCCGGCGCCTTCATGACTACCGTGTCGTCGAGCATCCCAGAAAACGAGGTTTCGTGCTCCCGACTCACCAGGCTCTTGTAGGTGATCGTCTCCAAGCTGCCGCTTCATGCATCAGAAATGCGATGGGGCCTCATTCGTACGTGTGGCTTCTCAGTATCGACACCGCGCGAGGACAGGCAAGATGCAGCAAACGAGGTGGAGGGGTGTTCAACAACGAGTGAGCACCGCATCGCATATCCTGTCGAACAATGGCTGAGTGATGTCCGGCGAGCTAGAGGCAGAACCTACCCGCTATCACTCGCCTCGTCTCTGACAAGAACGACTCAGTCTCGCTAGCGACTCAGTCCTTGCAAATTCTCGTCGGGGTTCTTTTGTAAGTCTGCCCGCATGTTGTCATTACAACCGACGTACCTCGATGCTTATCTTATGCAGTAGATCCCTTGGTATAGCTCATACTCATCGGTGACAACCTCAGGCGAGCGAGCCGTTGTGGACTCCCTTGGACGTCGGTGCGTACCTTTCCTCAATCGTTGTCACAATGCCCTCTTCGATCAGCACACCAAGCAGTAATCGCCATGCTAGCCTCTTGACCGTCTGGGTCTTGTGGGGAACGACAGTTGACATACCGTGACATCGTCAGACCCGGCGTAGCAGCAGGTTTAGCGGGTCATCCACGTCGATCCCTCTTGCACCTTCAGAGTGTGCGACATACTGAAGTGACGGGTGGTCCGACGGCATCCCCGTGCAGCGGAGAAGGCTGCGAAGGAGAAGCGGGTGCACCTGTGCGCGCGTCGCGCACGCCCCTGCAGCCTCAGCCAACGCGAACGGGACCGCTGTGCACGAGGGCCCTTCTCGAACGTTTGATGCTACCGTCGTGTGACGGATATGGAGCGGAGACCAGGTCTCCATGATCGACAGGGATACCGGCGAGGCGCGCCGCTTGCAGCTGAGCTCTTCGAGAGCTCCACAAAGTAAGTCAGGTCGATCTGCGTAGGGTAGACTTGCATTTGATTGATAGGCACGTTTCGTAGGATGGCGGACCCAGGCAGGCGTGTTCTGCGCAAGGGGCGCGCGAATCTCTGCGCAAGCGTCTGGTACTGATTGGGGAGCATGTGAAGGTGCAGATCGACTTCATTCGTCCTACTATAAGTAAGTAAGGAGGGCGACCCTGCACCTGTCGACTCCGCCCTGGCATCCGTACTCGGGGGCCAGCGTCCGCGTCCGCGCGTGCCGCCTGCCAGCGCGCGACTCCGCCGACCACGCGGGGACCACCCGTCCACCGTCCACCGTCCCCGTCGGCGCGGACGTCCTGGGGTGCATGGGGTCGCGCCGCTCTCGACTGGAAGCGCGAGACGCGGCCCAGCCGTCCCCCGCCCGCTCCCCGTCTCCGTCTCGACCGCACGGCGCCCCCGCCCCGCACGCACCTCCAGCGTGGCCCCGTGCGTCCCGCCCCGCCGTCGCACGCCGCCCCTCGCACACGGCGGTCGGTCCTGTCGCCCGACTCGGAGGGACGGTGGGACCCCTGAGGGTCCAGGGCGACCCTCCATCGAGATCGAGGGGGGGGAGTAATGGCGGAGTGTGGCTGTTGTCGGGACACCGCGCGTCGCGGTGCGGAGCCTACCGTATCCGACATGGACGGCGCAGACGGTCGGTGCGCCGGCCACCCCCAATATCGGGGCGGCAGAGGAGTCCTGTGTACATGCGTCCATGACGGGTCCGTCGGTAGAGCCCTGGGGAGAGTGCGGACGGACCGTGCACTGGCAGCTCTCCGGACGAGCGAGCGCGTTGGGCGAGGGTCGCCATCCTTGTCTGGCTCTAGGCGGGGCGTGTAAGATGGGAGCCTGAGGCGCGCCGCGGGGAATGAGGAGCCCGGGACGGTGTCCTCGGCGGCTTCAAGTTGACTCGGAGGCGGCCGTGCGTGGGCGCCGCTGCGGGCTTCAAGTTGGTTGTGCGCTGCGGTGCGTGAGTCTGTACACGCTTGTCCGAGTCGATCGTCGCGCGCGGGCTCAGCTGCGCGTCGTTCCCGCTGTATGCCCTGCGTCTCGTTGTCCAGCTCCCTTTCGGCGCCTGTTGCCGGGATCGTCAGTAGAACACTTGGCTGAACTGCACTGCTCACGACGGCGCCTGGTGTGCGGTACGGTGTCCGGCGACCACACCCGAGCGCGAGGGACCTACCTTCGAGGCGTCTGCATCCACTCGAAGCGCGGTTCGCCGCCGCCAGCAGACGGCCGCGGACCGACGCGGGCACACCTGGTGAGAACGAACGAAGGAACGCGGTGGGCCCGCCGCACCGTCTATTGCTCGCACGCAGTCCATTCCAGCACAGTGAACTCGAACGCGAACGTGAACGAAGAACCCGCGCGCGGGAGCGTGAACACGCCCCCGTCCCGCGGAGGCGGCGAATGTTTGCACCCCCCCCTCCTCCCTCCTCCCTTCCTCCAGGCGAAGTCGAGTCGAGCGGCGCGTGTATTTTTGTGTACAGATAAGTTGTCGGTCGTGGATGAGCGGGCGGCCGCTCCAAGGCACGCGGTGCCGGTGACGGCAGGGCGCGGCGGCGATCTAAGCAGGGCGCGGGCGCAGAGCTCTGAGCGGGGACGTCAGAAGCCGGTCGCACGGTCACGGGGGGAAGGAAGGCGCACTCACTCCACGCCGTCTGTCCGCCCTCCATCAAGGATCGGTTCACGCCTTCTCCCTCGGGCCCCCGCCGCCCACGAACGAGGCGGGCGAGCCGTTGCTCTCCTGCCGCCTCATCTCCGCCTCCGGGTCGGGGTTCGCGCGGGGGTGCGCGGCGACGAGGGGCGCGGCGCAGGCGAGGGCGAGCGTGAGGGCGAGCGCGAGGGTGACGCGCATCGTGGTCCTGTCGTCGATCTCGGGGTGGATGTGCTTGAGAGCCGTCGTGCGGGGCAGGGACGGTGCTGGGAGCGACGATGGGCGGGTTGGGTTGGCGGGCGACGCGATCGTCCGTTTGTTATTTACTTTTATACGATCCTGGCATTGGCGTTGGCAACGTCGCCCGGCGTGCCCGGCGTTCCCTCCGGTCCCTGCGAACGCCCTGCGCTGCGCACCTTCGCTTCTCTTCTCTTCTCTGGCGGGCTGGGCGAGGGCCGGGCTGGGCGCGCGGCGCCCGTCTGCCATCCCGCCGGGCCCGTGATCATGATCAGCTCGCCCATCGCGTGGCGTGCGCCATTGCATGACGTCGGCGCGCGTGACGACGACGTGGTCGCACTCGCGTCCACGACGGCTTGGGTGGATGTCGAGCGCACGCGGCGCTGGAACGGTACGGGCCCCGTTCTGCTCGCCCGCCGCGGGCCGCTGACCTCCGTGGGCCCAGCGCGATCACTGCGACGGGACTGGGACACGAACATGGGCGTTGACGCGACATTGACAGGGACAACTGACGCTACGTAGTCCGCTGAGTAAGTACACTCCTGGCCCGGACGCTACCACGATCTCTACGCTCTCGACTGGGACCCCTCTGTATCTCCCTGTGCATATACATAGGCTCGCTCCCCCGCAAACGGCGCAGCTGCCCGTCCGACCTCGAAGTGCAGTCGGAAGAGTCGACGTCACGCCCATTCATCCCGTGCATTCCAGCTTCCCGCGAACGGAGCTCGATCGTGCGCGGGAGTCGCTGATACGTGACAGCCAGTACTTGGCACCGACGGCGGACTGCAAGGCCCGCGGCTGCCGGGTCGACATGCCAGCGACTCGGACGCCGCCACAACGGTCTCAACTGTCAGTCCAACGCAGGATAAGCTCCTCCGATCCGAGGACCGACACCATCGTCGCAGCCCGACGTCACCCGACCACGTCCCCGCCCCACCCGTACTCGCCAACAGTACACACCCGCCACACACCCAGCAGCCACAGGTGCCTCCCCAGCAGCAAGTAGCGCCTCCCGTCAAGTCGCCAGCTAGTAGCGCGGTTCGCAATCTTCGCGTGCCTGGGCGATATCGACTGCCAGCGAGTGCAGATCACCGCGTGGGCGCGGATCATGCGGCCGAGGAGGGGCGGCGAGGACGCAGGTCGTGCCGTCTGCGCTCGACGGGGGCCGGGGATGCACGGCGGGACTGGGCGCGGGCTCGGGGACGGCTTCACGCATACCGAGTCGCGACGCGACGGGCCCTGGCAACGCTCGCGCGACGTCCAGTCGAGATACGGCCGGGTGCTGTAGCAGCCGTCCGCGATACCGATACGGTGCGTACACACAATAGCAGTGGCAGTACGCATGACCGTACCCGGCGTCGTACCGTGAGACGCAGGCACCCGCGGCGTGCCTGGCCCACGCGCTCCGCGGTGCCGTCCGCCGGCGGATGGTGCGCGATCAGTGCACGCTCCACCCGTCCTACCTCGGACATGTGCGAGAGCACGTATATACGGCGCGGGCGCGGCCCGCCTCCTCCTGCTCCTCCCTAGCTCGCCCGCACTCGCAGCCCGCCTCTGCGCGACGCCTCGGACTGTGACACCCCCGCACGCAGCTCCCGACTCAGCCGATCCAGATACCCCCCCATCTCTATATCCCGGAACCCCTGCGACACGGACACGATGCGCACGTTCCTCGCCGCCGCCCTCGCCCTCGCCCTCGTCGCGCTCGCCACCGCCGCGCCGTCCCCATCCCCGCACCGATTCCGCGCTGACCCGGACCTGGGCCGCGCCAGGAGTGCAGCGGCGGCGGCTGCACGGGGTCGTGGCGCGTCTGACCTGCCAGTGCCCGGCGTTGGCGTCGGCGCGCCCGTGTCGACGGGCGGACGCGCCGCTGAGTGGGCTCATGGTGCGGTCGGCGAGGATACGAGGGAGCAGGAAGGGATGGGACGGGAAGGGATGAGGATGAAGAGGGCGGTGGTTGGTACGGGAGGCCTGAAGTTGGATGGATGGAGATGGAGGAGACGGGGCGGCGGGCGGGGTGCGTCTCCCGTCTGTGCCCTCCGGTCCGCGCGCGTCGCTCATGGCGAGGGCGGTTCCTGTCAGGCAGAGCGGGTGCCCCGCCGTGCGCCTCCGCCGGCGGTCGTGGTCGCCCCGCATCGGATGGGATGGGATGGGATGGCGCCCGGGATATGGCAGGGAGACATGGATATCGCGCCGCACGGCGGGCGGCGATCCCGCCTCGCAACACACTCCACCACACACTTCGACACAACACACACCCTTCCGCGCGCGACCCGAAGCCCGACGGGAGACCCACTCACCTACTCTACTCACTCTCACTCTCATGCCGTGCTACCCTCCTCCCATGCCGCGCCACTCTACCCTATCCCTCGTATGCCGTGTTACTCTCCTCGATCTCGCGTACGGGGACCTCGCTCCGGTGTAACGACGTTCCTCCTTCTCCTTCGTCGCTTGTTGTATGAACATCCGCACGCAGACACGGTTTCGGACGCGCGCCCTCGTGCGGGCGGACTGTGAGAGCACGGCGGACTGTGAGAGCAGCGCAGAAGAGCCAGGTAAGTAGTGCGTGAGTTGGACGACGGGCAGGAACGCCAGCTCGGGAGAGGCTCCCGACGCCCGACGATAGACAAAGCGAGAGTGAGTAGCCGCATGCACCGGGGGAGTAGTACACGTCTCCAGAGACAGGACACAGCGCACCGGCCAGTAAGTACATCGCGGGACAGACCGTACAACCGTAGGCATCCAACATGGCTCTCGGCCACAACAGCCTTCACCCATCGCGTCCGCCCCTCGCCTCTCGCTGGAGCCTCAACCTCAGCCATAACCACACAGCCAATCCACCCGCCCCGCCCAAACGCCAACCAAACGGGAACGAACCGAGACCGGGAGAAGAGACGACGGACGCATAAGTTAGGGACCGGGGGCCGTCGACGCGGCCGCTGGCACGCCGTACACGACGGCGGGGAAGACGCGCTGCGCGTACGGTCAGCACAGGCCGGCGGATGGGGGGCGTCCGGGCGTACGCACCTGGGGATCGCGCGCTGCGCTGCTCAGAACGAGCCGGGGTCGCCGCCGTTGCCGTCTCCGCGGTCTTGGAGCGCGGGCGCGGGGTTCGCGGTTGGGGCGGGGGCGGCGGCGACGAGGGCGGCGGCGCACGCGAGGAGGAGGAGGGCGGCGCGCATGGCTGGCGGTTCGGTTCGGGTGTGGTAGACGACGGCGACGGGCGGAGGTGTTGCGGGCGCACGCGCGGGAGGGGCTTAAGCTGGAGGAGGCGGTGTGTGCCTGGGGAAGTCGAAGATGGCGAGGAGACGGGAGATGTATATAAGCCCCTGGGCCCGGCGGTCCGCAGACCTCGGCCAGCGTCTGCGTGTTCCCACCTGCCAGAACGCGTACGTACGAGACTCGTCCCGCGGGCAGGGCACGCAACGCTGTGTGGCCGTCCACCGGTGAGAGGCGGATGTGCGTGGTCACGGTGGGCGCAGCGGGCCACATCCAGCCTGGCTCAGGTACGGTACCGCCCGTGCGTACGGTAACCACGCGCCCGGCGCTGCTATACATTGTTTCGCGCGGCCTCACAGATCCCGCCGTCTGATCTCGACTGTCCCCAGTCCGTCACCGAGATACCGTGCGTATATGCGCCTGATAATCATCGAACTCGATACCTCGCTGCAACACCCGCTCTCACCGTCAAGCCAGCAGTGCGCAGAACAGTCTCGGGGGATGCGTGCGAGTGGTTGTGCAGATCACGCAATGCAGACGGCGGTGGCTGGCGGTGGGCGTGCCTGGGGCGCGTGGAGCGGGGCTTGGCAGGCGGCCACATCGGCATCGAACTGAGCTGGATCTCGTCCCCGCGATCGATCTCACCGTTCGTCGCCGGCGGCCCCGAGAGCGGGCTCACAGCGGACCGACACGCGGACCCGACTCGAAGCTAGCATGTACGCTACTGCGGCTTGACGAACGCGTCTCTGGACGGGAGCAGGAACCCCGTAGTGGCTTTTTATTCTATGGATCATCAGTATAGGTGGTGGGACTCAGACGTCCATGCAGTGCCAGACACTCGCGAGTCAGTGGGCAGCCCTTATCGCGGCCACCCGTCAGGAGACTGAAGGAACGCCTCACACGCATCTTGTCGCGGGTGCGGTCAAGTGGCCTGTTGCTCGGGGCGCGTTTTCAAGCAGAGGGAATGCAGAACTCGATCGCATCCGGCGCACCACATCTCCAATACATGTACGTCCAGGTCCACTCGGACACAGACCTTCCGAAGTCGACGTGAAGACATCGAGGTCCGTGAGTTCCATGGCCTCATGCGCGCGGACAGCTGATAGTGCGAGGTCGGGGGAGATGCACATTGCACACCGCGACCGACCGACGTCCGAGCTCGAGTGCCCGCGTGCCAACGAACACGTACGAGCCCCCACTGCGATCGACGCCGACGCGTGCTCGTGCGCCGCCTTCCGCCGACGCCCATGCCGTCCCTGATACAACTCGCACGTCGCCAGGAGCAGACAGCCAACCCTGGCAGAAGCAGACGGCGCGCCTCGATTCTGTAGCGAGCCTCGGATGTGCTGCGCCCCCATGCCAGTGCGCCGCGCCGCTCGCTCGGCGCGCATTGATTCCGACGAGAGCCGGCGCATGGCTGCTAGTACGGGCCAGACACCGACACCGCTGGTCCTGCGGCTCCGAGTCGAGCGGACGCTGAGCGGGGTGCTGGCGCGTGTGCGGGGGAGCGCAGAGCGGATGGGTGGACCTCCGATGGACCGTCGACGCCGGTTCGGAGGCGGGACTGGGGCCGTGGCGGTGGCAGCAACAGAGAGGAAGGGAGAGCGTGTGGATTGGTTGCGAGACTGCGCGGGGGGATGTACCGGCGGAGCGTCCGGACACGCCTTCGGATTCGCAGCGAACGCGACAGCGATACGGGCGGCACACGTCCGTGTCGCGGGCCCTGGAGACGAGCTGGGCAGACTGGTGGGCGCCCGGTCGCCTAGCATCCATGATCAGCAGGGCACGTTCGGCGCAGATCGCCATACGGGAAGACCCCCAACCAGCGCGCAGGTCGCTCGCGGCTGTGACCCCCGACGCCCCGAACTTGCAGGGCGGGGGTCCGCCCGGATGCCAGGCAGGCTCCGGCGACGTGCGCGCAGTCTGCAATGTGTCCACGGGCGTGCACGGTCCCTCGCGGCTACGCAACACGTCCGCGCCGCAGGTGGAACCGCGGAAACCGCTCGGAAGATCGGAGGGTATGCTTTCCGGGTTGGCCTCCGTGGGCGGCACGGGTGTTCGCTTCCGAGTCGTGGACGTCACCAGGCGGCAAGCGCGGCGCGATGGCAGGCGTCCGCATGCATGACCGCGTTTGCACCATGGGAGGGAACGACGGCACGGACATGGTGAGGCTGACGAGGGACTCACAATCGGCCAGAACCCGAGACTGCTGCTTCCTGAGTTAGCTGGCCTGGCGCTATACGGGGTGGACAGCTGGCCTTTGATCCTTGGGCACGGGCGCTGGGTCCCGGGCCCTCGTCCGGTACTGGCGTCGTGTTCGCCGAGGTGCTGTGCGCACGTTGGGAAACGGGCGAGGCAGCGGTAGGGTATGCTGCGCACCTACTCCGAGTCCAGAGGGGTCGATAGTACAGCAGTTGAGCCCGATTCCATGCCTGGTAGTAGATTCGGATTTGACTGGCAGCAGAGCTGGCGACACGGTTCACATGTGTGAAACGTACTCGGATATCCACAGGGAAAGCGTACATACCTTGGAGATTGGGTGCTTGTTGGCTGTGGGCGAAGCTAGGAGCCCCGTGTCGCATGAGGCATGGTTCGCGGCTCGCGCGTCCATACAGGCGCGGAGAGGGCTTGAGCCACGGGCGACGAGTCGAGACGGCTGAGTCCGAAGGCCTAGGGATGCAATTGCGATGGCACAAGGGCCGCGAAGAATGTACTTGAGCGTTGAACATTGAACATTGACTTTGGGTGATGAGGACCACAGATTTGGCGATACCTCTCGATATACATGGGAAAATCGCATACCGGAACGTTCGCCCGCTTCAAGGCATCGTAGCTCTCGCGTGCTTCGCAATCGGGCCAACCGACGATGGAAGACAACCTGGGAACTCGTGAGCACTTTGCGTGTCTTGACACCCGCGTAGAGAAGCATGCACTCATTAGGACGAGGACAACCCGCGAGCCTCGCCAGTGGAAGAGCAAGGGCGGCGCCAGTGTTGCTCACGACGAACTTGCAACGGTGAGTCCTGTACGGCCTGTTCAGCCCTCTTCATGTTGCGGAACAGAGCAGGAAGACGTACGTGCGAAATACAAAGAGGCCTGTCTAAGTCGCAGACGAGCAGTCCGAGCCATCGTTCGTGAGCTGCGTGGAACGAAGGCATGCCCGTGGTGTGTCACGGCGGAAGATACTCGTCAAGCGTCGCCGACCTTGAGACTCAAGAGACCATCGCGTCCCGACATATTCCCAGGCCCGGCGTCGCACCTGACTACGAGCCCATATGTATGCGCAAATCGGAGGCTCGGGTGCGCAACGTGTCTCCGCACAAGTCGGCCGAGCCGCAGTTGAATCGAAGTTGAGGGTACCGCTTCTGGCTGTTCCTATAGTCCTCATGTCCCACATTTTCTCGATGTCGTAAACGCGTCCTGCGCTACCACAGGGTCTCGGACGCCGACATAGTCGTCTCTGCCGCGTTCTGCAGCTCTCGCATGAGCGTGCATGGTATCTCCGTGCCAATGAGCGGCTTACCTCCGTCTTGCAGGACCATCGATACTGTCGTGTCCGTGAAGCCTATGCGGGCACCTGCATCAGGTCAGCACATACGCGGGATCTCATGCGACACTGCCAGTGACGAAGTCATAGATTGTCACGCTCTATGCCGAGTGCCCCACACATGCGGTCGCCTCCGACTCGGCAGAAATCACAGCATCGACTGCTGTATCAACCAGTTCCAGCCCTCGCACCCAGAGTCCTCCATGTGCCGCAAAGCCACTCTTTGCATGGTCCAAGGGAGCAGGGCGGCGACCCGAGCATCTCCGTATAGGTAATCGACATCGTAAAATCTCCTGTTGCAGCCGAGCAACTGCAGCCGCTTGGCGCCCTCGATCATAGCGTCCTCGAGCACATGGACATTGAGGAAGCTGAGGTTCCTGAAATGGTTGTGCTATAGTATGCTGCATGAACTCACATCGTCATTGTGCCATACGTACTCGATCCCAACACGTTGTGCCCAGGGTACGCCTCTCCTCGCGCTGTGATTGGCTGGAGGGGTGAAAAAAGTTGCCTTCTTTCAAACGTCCGTCTCTCTTTCTTTATGTGCAAGCATACGTCCGCCTCCCCGCGGGGACACTGGGGTGCGCAAAACGAGTCCCTGCTCGCGATCGAGATCTCATCGGTCAGCGCTCAGGAGTCAGCAGTCACCTCCCACGCACTCGGCTATCGACTCCAACTCGTCTCTCCCTGCCCTCGCCATCTGCAGCATCCCCAGTCGTCTGCACCGCCTACCAGTTGTCAACGCGGCAGACGGTCAGCAACGCGTCCTTCCGTCAAGATGCAGCCAACGCACCGCCGCGTGCCTGTAGGAGACGGACGCGTCCGAGTGTGGTCGGCCTGAGGTGCAAGGTGAGTGGCGGTATTCCACATTCAGACGAACAGTACTGACCTCGTAGTAGCCCCGCCCATCTGCCTTGTCACCCCGCGCTCCTCCTCGCAATCCACCCTCGCCGCGGGAGAGCTCTGCCACAAAGAGCGCCCTACAAGTTGATAACGCGGCAGACGAGTACGCATCAGCAACCCATCCTTCTCTCGAAATGCGCAGCAAACTCACCCTCGCGCAGGCAAGTCCTTCTGCGCCCCGATCTCCACCGCCGCCCGTCTATGGCGAGGTGACCATGGCCGCAGCAGACCGTCTGGACGGCACGAAAGCCTGTCGATCCACGCGTACCAGTTGATAACGCGGCAGACGACTTCTACACGTCAACAACGCATCCTCGTGTCGGCGTGCTCGATGCACTCGCCTCGATATCCCGCGCTCGCCAGCCTTCTGCACCGCGATCTATGGGCAGATGCGGGGGCGCGATAGCAAGGTGAGATTCTGTGTTACATGCAAAATCGACGCTGCTCACCCTAGTCCGCCATCTTCCCTCGCCAGCACCCCTCTCCCGCCTTGCTCGCCGGACGACGATCCGTCGTGTCTTTGCTGGTCGAACGTCCCTCGATGAACCACGTGCCCGGCTGGAGCACAGAACAGTGAGTGTCACTGTCTTCTCGTGCAGGAAGGAACACCATACTCACCTCGTCGTCCTGCCTGCCTCGATTCCGCACTCCAGCTGTCGTCAACACCCGCGGCAAGGCAGATGCACTCGCCGCGTTGCCGTGCCCGCCGCCCTGCGTGCCATGCCCGCCGGAAGACATTCTATCGCGCCCTTGTCGGTCACGAGCTGCACGCGTCGCCCCTCACCGGACGTCGATACGTTGCGTCTTCGTCGATCCGTCGCAGGTGCATGTGCCTGATGCGAACATCGTCGAGGGTCGTGTCGCCGGACGGCGATACCTCGTGTCTTCGGACGTCGGGGTGGTGGTGCTGAGATCGAGGTGATGAAGAACACGAGAGAGACGAGAGACAGCGAAGTACCGGGAGAAGAGGGAAGTTGCCAGACAAGACACGAGATGAGCTGCGGAGAAAACACGACGGAGTGCGTGGGCGAGATCGGGGATGCGCACAGCCTGGTGGTCGGGCGTTGCCCGATCGTCGACTCGAGACCTGTGCGCGCTGCCGCTCGACGGACGTTGATGTGTCGTGTCTTCATCGATCATGGGCAGGATGCCAACATCTTCGAGGGCCGCGTCGCCGGGTGGCGATATGTTGTGTCTCTGAACATCGCGGTGGTGGTGCCGAGGTCGAGGGGAGGTGACGAAGAGGGCGAGAGATGGGAAGACAACCCGACATAAAGGTACCGAGGGAGGTTGCCAGACACGACACAGGGCGAGCGCGAAGAGAACGCGAGGAAGGGCGTGCGCGCAATCGAGGATGCCCGCAGCCTGGGAGAGGTAGGTTCCCTGACGAATACCCTCTTGACAGGACGGACAAGCCAGCTCTCGCCTGGACGCACCGTCCGCATCGAGGAGACCACGCAGTTGACAGCGACACAGACGTGCGCACGACTGGGAACACAGGTGAGCGGACAGTCGGGAAGACGGGACGGACGGGAAACGTACTGATTAAACGAGTCCAGTCCACACGCGAATCACCGCGCCGTCAACGGATCGGCAGGTGATGAGACGAGAAGGCACCAATGCCTCGTATACGCAAGTCGACGGGACGGCGAACATCGCTTGTCCATGCGGGCAGCATACCCCTCGGGGGAGAAGCAATCGTGCAAGTGTACAGCGCACGCCAGGCTACGGCGTGCGTGCGGCGACGCTATCGAGCAACAGAAGGTCAAGACAAATTGGGAGCGTAGACGGCTGTGACCCGACGTACCTGCGTCGACAATGCCTCGATTGGATGGCAACCAGTCGCTACGTCGTCCGTCCAGTCTGCGCAACAAACGTGCAATGTCGTGCTTGGAGGGATGGCCTTGTCTCGCAGAAGGGTACGACCACTGTGCACACATCTTCGCGCGAATAGTCCGTTGCGTGTGCGCAGAGTCGGTTGGTGCGACCCGTGGATACCAGCGAGACGACGGCGGACGCGAGCCAACGCAACAGCGCACGACGGCGGACATCGCGGGCTCGCTGTCCTGTGGACGCAAGGCGTTTGCGTAGTGCTCGCTGTGCAGACGGCTGGTGATCAGAGCTCAGCAGAGGTCCGCGCGTGATCTATGGAAACATACCTTCGAGGCCAACTCCTCGTGGAACGCACAGCCGGGTATGCTCGTTACCAACATGGGGCATTGTGTGCGACGATGAAGGAGACATGATGAGCCCGTGCTGACCGGGCGGCGATCATTCGCTATATCGCTCGCCCGGTCGGCCTAGTGGGCGAGAGCGTGTGAGATGTCCGCGAGCGGGAATAGCTGGATGAGGAAGTAAGTGCTCGTGCGCAGAGAGTTGGCAGCAACATACCAAGGGGGACCAAGTCTCGACCCTCGATGCCGCCGTACGCGTCCTCCGAGTAGTGAGCTCGCCATCTGTAAGGGAGTGAGTGAGGCTCGGGGCGAGGACAGTCGGGGGAAACTCACCTCGCTGGGCCTTCACCCGACGTAGTGCCGTTCGCTCGGGCGCGGGTCTACGAGATGGTCAGCGTGGTGAGTACATGGATTGAGTACCTGTACATACCAATGAGTAACTGCCAGTCTCGGGATGACTAGCCATGTGAGAATACTCGCTGCAATACATTGCGGCGAGTGTATCTGCGAACAGAGTGATTAGTGCATGTATCAGTAGCACTAGTAGTGAGTACTTACTGTAGCCAGGTCTCCGTCGAGGACACCTATGTAGATATGTAAGATAGAGATTGAATGAAAGATAATGTGAGACTTACCTGGGATGCTGTACAAGCATAGTTTGGGGATGTTACAAGGGGAGGATACCTGGGTACCCTTATATTTAAGCTGGAGTTGGGTCCTCAAATCCGCGGCATGTTGCCTCAGCCTCGGGCTATGCCCGGGCAATCCTATTGTTCGCCCAAATTGGCCACCGGCGTTGTATGGCCGCTCTGATCGAACATCACTAACACCGACTGATGAGTGTTTCAGGGTCACTCCTCCAAAATGTGAAGCATCCTCCTAGAGCTGGAAAATTCAGGATTTTGGTGCTGAGTCTGAGTAGTCTTTTTTAATATTCCTGAGCTCCTCAATACTAAATCCTCAAGTTGACTTCACAGAAAATCGGACCATGAGACAATGCTTACATACTGACCATCTCATCAATCTTACAGGGTCAGGGTAAATTCGGAAGATACGCAACCTGGAATTTCCGCAGCCACCGGAGGTTGCTCTCCGCCCGAGCCTCGCGCCGTGGACAGGCGGGGATTTGTCTGCCCAAGGCTGTCAGCCACTTCCGGGGCTCCCGGAATTAGCTCACACCCTTGAGCAGACGAGGCCCTGCACTGCTCTGTAAGTAACCTCACTGAATTGCATGTACAAGTTTTTTCGTAACTACTATATAGTTCTGCGCCCACTCATCGGGCACATACATTGCTCGGACATGTTTCGCGCGCGAGTGGTCACTCTGTGGTCAGTGACAATGACGAAAATGTTGTCCTCAATCAGCACTTACACCAGCCCAGACTAATCACTCCTAGTGCATACAGGGCACGAACCTTTACTTCGCCGTTCACGGCCCTGCGATCGCGGGTTTGATACAATCGCTGGATGTACATCGCTCGAACGATACCTAATCGGGCAATTGCAGCGAGCTTGACTGGGAGGTGTTGCGGGCTTTGCGAGTGCACTGGAATATGTTAGTAGACGTCTGGGTAGCTGTTTCTGATATGTCAGAAGGGCTACTGAGCTCAGAGACGGTGCAAACGGTATCCGGGTGCAGGGAAACGGTGCCGAAAGGCGATGGGATCGCCCAGATCGATCTCAGAACACGAGGCTACTCGACTGCAGCCTCGGGCGCTATGTCACTCGTCGTACTCAATCCTCTTTCTTGGACATCCGTGGCTGGTGCACCTTCCTGGTCTCGGATCCACACACCCACCCACATGTCTCGCAGATACCTGGTGTATTTGTGAGTAAAATTGAGTATACGTCAGGGCTACAGCAAGTGAAGAGTCCGAGCTGACTGTGCTGACATTCATACAAATGCACTACAGGTATCCATACAGCGGCGGCGATGTTTGCGCGAACATCCGAACGGCGCCCGTGCTAGCGCTCGTACATATCACATCAGTCAGCACATGTGCGTTGCCATACAACGGCTGACAATTGCTCGGCAGCCAGGAGCTCGCAATCGCACTTACACGAACTCGGCGGAAAACGAGAAGCGACGCTAAGATGCTTGGTTTCGGGCGGCGGAGACCGTGCGGAATTAGTACGGAGCGTGATGCGATGTCCGCGGACTTCGCTTGCAGCGCACGGACCATCGCACGTAAGCAATCCGCTGGCAAAAATCCGTATAAGAGCGAGTCCTGTTGGTGCTGGAACACCATCCCACCGTCGCTCCCTTCTCTCTCCCTCTCTGTGACCTGAGCTCGAGCTGGGCTGTCTTATCTTTCTGCAGCGAGTATCCAGTGAGTCACTGCAATGTAGCTTCTGCTTGTATGGCTTCGCTAAATTGCTTACTGCGGTGTTGCTTTGAATCCACATTCAATACGTCTTCGTACAATTCGCATAACAGTGAGATGTCATTTTATTCTAATGCTGTTGACTGGCTATTGGATCTTTGACAGGCTGATACTCTCGCATCGAGACAGTCGCAGGCAACGTGCTTAACACAACGCGCCACCATTAGTATGTATTGATGTCTGGCATTGAATATTGACCGCACACTGACATATATCCTCTTCGCTTTCAGCCCACTGTTATTGTGTTTCTCACACAGCCGTGAAGCGACTCGGTGTGTTATCAGAACCTACAGGTAAGACTGTCACCGACCCTCGTCTTATTCGAGCCTGAGTACTGACCATTCCCATCCTGTAGCCCGGTCCATACCCCGCTATTCAGCTGCTGTAGTCAAGATATATTTCCCACCCAGTGACAGTCATGTACATTACTCTACAGTAGCTCGCGCACCCCGGCGTGGACAGCTCGACGTGACGACGTCCCAGTCCACCGGTCCGGACAGGGACCAGGCTGACCGGACAGGACACATGGGCACCGTCTCGAGATGCCACAGAGAACGCATGCCCTGGCTCTCGCGTCCCCGCGTAGACTGCGGTTTCTTCGGTCTAGCTCACCGTCTGCGCCCATTGCTCCGGCTGGAGACGGTAGCCTGCAGGTCGCGACGTCGGAGACCACACCCTTGTGGCCGTCATGCCCTCTGGGGGTGTCTCGTCGTCACGTCCTTGGTTGCCATGCGCGCGGGAGGTTACCTCGCGACGTCCATTGTTCACGCCAACTGGGCACGAACTGATCCTGCTCAGATCGAGCCGGCAGCCGTCGGGCCATGAGTCAGAGAGGGAACGTACCTCGCAGTGGATCGACAGCGAGCAGTCCCTTGTGTTTCCAGGTCTCCCTGTCTGGTAGACCTTTGTGAGTTCCCGAAGAGCTTGCCAGGGCACTTGTGACCCCGCTCGCCGAGCCGTCGCGTGTCGCACCGTGAAGGGACCTGCTAAGCCAGTCTGAGAGCGCAGGAGACTGCACGAACGCCTCCGTCTCGTAAACGCGCGGGGAGGCTGCCGGACGCGTGCGCAATCGTGCCTGAGATCGTTCCGTTGAGCCCCAGCAACGAGTAGCTGTGCTTCTCGGACGACATGCCCGCTCCCGTCGTCTGTTCACGGTATCGCCGCGTCGCACCGAGTCTCCTTGATTCCGTTCTGGCATGCCTCCCGTTCGCTTCCCGCAGTCTCGCAACACAGCACTGCTGACAAGTGCATGTGTACGGGATGTTCCCGTCCTGTCCCGCACGTCGTCGTGCTTTGCCTTCCTCGGGACGTCTTGCGCGTGTTCCGGTCCGTTTCCGTGGTGTTGGCCGGTCGACCGCTACGCCCAAGGCGTGTACTCAGCACCGCCGTCCGGACGCAGAGTGTACCTACATAGACGCACGGTCAACGCTCGACACGTGCAGGCACCCACCTTCGTCGTCGTCACTCTTGTCTGCACCCTTCCTTCCAGTCAATGCACCTCTGTCTCCGACGTTCGACATTGCGTCACTGCACTATCTCGAGCCTCACGTCCTCCTCTCTCGTACTTGCCTTGTCACGCCCTTCGTCCTTCGCCGCATCCAGCCACGCCCTCTGCAACTCTCACTCGCCTCCCTCGTACCGCCGTTGGCCAAGCCTGGTCGCGTACGTCGTCCCATCCTGCCTCTATCCACGTCGTCCACTCGACTCCCTCGCATTCCAGCTCACCGTGACGTCGCATTGCCGGCTACGCGGGCTGCTTCGCTCGAGCCTCGGCCGTGGATTCCTTCCCATCCTCGCGCAACATGCATCCACCCCGTCCCATCTGACGTGTCCCCGCCCTTCATGCCGACTCCATCCTCCACCTCGTCCTCTCCGCCCCTTCATGCGAGCATCGCAACTCCCCGTCCCACTCCGTGTCGCGTCGAATCGAGGGTGAGTCGACGCATCAGCCTCGTCCTCGCCATCTGCCTCACTTTCCGTTCCCTCCGCGACTCGCACTCGTCTCTTGCCGGTCTGGCCCGCGTCGCGACGTTCTGCGCAAGACAGGTCGTGGTCAGCACGCTGCCGGTCGTCGACGTGGCAGGTATGTGCTTCACCTCTCGTACTCCGTGCTCGTGCTCACGCTGCTTTGTGTGTCGCCCCAACTCGCGCTCGCCAAGTCCAGTATGCGGCGTATAGGACGGGTTGCGGTAGCGAACCCTGTCATCTTGAGGCGGTGAGTGATTCTCCTCGCGTTCGTCCGGTGTCCCACTGACGAGTCCTGCTTCATTCCTCTGGGGTGGTGTCGATCCCCGGGCAACACTCCGCACAGCGGACCGCCCGCTCGCGCTCTCCGTGGTACGTCCCTCGCACCTTGTCCTGCCAAACACGACTGACTTGCGTGTGGTGTCTTGTGCATCGGGACACGGCCGGTACGGGAGACGCGGTGTCGGTACGTTCGCGATTCGATGGCGAGTGCAGTCCACCCGGTACGTGGCCTGCTTCGTCGTCGTTCTCGTGCACGCAGCTGACTCTTCCCCGGCATGGTTTGACGAGTGTGAACTCGCGTGCCCACGCGGAACGCAGCCAGGGCGCGGCCTTCTACGAGTCAAGCTCGAGATGTGTAGCCGGGAATCATGAGCCCGCGCACAGAACGTGTAAGCAGAAGGTACGTACTCGTTCGCATCTTCATCTGCTCACACTCACGAGCGGTCCGGCGGATAGCATCGACGTTCCACGGTCGCCAGTTCCTTCTCGTCAGTGTTTGTTCCTCGATGCGAGATGGCAGCCGACCCCCGCGCAGTCGGCGAAGAGCTTTGCGCCATGAAGCGCGCGAGGGCAGAGTCGCACCGAGTCGATTCCGGCGTGCTGGACTCAGTAAGCATAGTACGGGTAGTCCGGTTGCGCGATAGATAGACAAGGCGGGGCGGTGCTCTGCTCGTCCAGGGACGTCGAGAGACACGGACGTCCGCGGAGATCGCCACAGACGTTCGCGGGGTGAGGTGGGGGAGCGGGTGCTGGTGCTGCTAGGGACTTACGCACCGTTCCCGACTCGGAGCAGCCGGCAGAGCGTGAGATGGCCCGGGAAGCGGCGGCGAGCGAGCAGAGTGTGTCAGAGGCCCTGCTCGTCGTCGGGCACGTCGAAAGTCGCAACGGCGGCAGCGTGGACGACAAGGACAGTGCGCTAGACGTCGGAGTGAGTGAAGGAAGTGCGCCGCCGACATGGTGGACAGCCGGTGATGTGAGCGGGGGGTCAGTACCGGTCGGTTGTCCAAGAGGCACCGCGAGCGCAGTGGATCGTCCGCGGCCCTCTGGCGGACGGTCGACGATGTGTCCAGGACGGTCGTCGCTGTGCTGGACAGCGAGCACGTCGCGGGACGGCGTCCACAACGAGGGGCGCAGAGTCGACAGAGGCGGGCATGCAAGCTAGTGAAGCTTTGAAGGCGCTGAGGCTCGCGCATCCGTCCGTCCAGCGAGAGGTCGCGCAAGAGGCAGCAACGGCGTGTGCAGGTGTCGGGCGAGTCAATGAGGCGCCGGGGTTGACACGTTGACAGCTTGGGCCATGGATCGCTCCGCTTGGACGCGTGGATGCAGGGCGCGGGTCATGATTGGGCGCGGGCTCACGAAGGGGAGCACGCGCCGACCAGTAGCACCTCCGTCTCTGACAGGACGCGTGTTCCCACCTGCCAGAACGCGTACGTACGAGACTCGTCCCGCGGGCAGGGCACGCAACGCTGTGTGGCCTGTCCACCGGTGAGAGGCGGATGTGCGTGGTCACGGTGGGCGCAGCGGGCCACATCCAGCCTGGCTCAGGTACGGTACCGCCCGTGCGTACGGTAACCACGCGCCCGGCGCTGCTATACATTGTTTCGCGCGGCCTCACAGATCCCGCCGTCTGATCTCGACTGTCCCCAGTCCGTCACCGAGATACCGTGCGTATATGCGCCTGATAATCATCGAACTCGATATCCACGCTGCACAGCTGCAGCACCCGCCCTCACCGTCAAGCCAGCAGTGCGCAGAACAGTCTCCTCGGGGGATGCGTGCGAGTGGTTGTGCAGATCACGCAATGCAGACGGCGGTGGCTGGCGGTGGGCGTGCCTGGGGCGCGTGGAGCGGGGCTTGGCAGGCGGCCACATCGGCATCGAACTGAGCTGGATCTCGTCCCCGCGATCGATCTCACTGTTCGTCGCCGGCGGCCCCCAGAGCGGGCTCACAGCGGACCGACACGCGGACCCGACTCGAAGCTAGCATGTACGCTCACTGCGGCTTGACGAACGCGTCTCTGAACGGGAGCAGGAACCGCCGTAGTGGCTTTTTATTCTATGGATTCATAAGTATAGGAGGTGGGACTCGAAGTCTGGTAGGTTCGGACACACATCCATGCGGTGCCAGACACTCGCGAGTGGGTGAACATCCCTTATCGCGGCCACCCCACTGATCAGGAGACCCTCGCAGGCTCTTGTCGTGGGTGCGACCAAGTGGCCAGTCGTTGTTGTTCATGGCGTCTTGTTCCAGTCCAGCGGAGGGGACGCAGCACTCGATCGGATCCGGCGCACCACAACTCCACTACAGTAGTAGACTCGGAGTTGACTGGTAGCAGAGCTGGCGACACGGTTCACATGTTCCGTACGTACTCAGATATCCACTGGGAAAGCGTACATACCTTGGAGATTGGGTGCTTGTTGGCTGTAGGCGAAGCTAGGAGCCCCGTGTCGCATGAGGCATGGTTCGCGGCTCGCGCGTCCATACAGGTGCGGAGAGGGCTTGAGCCACGGGCGACGAGTCGAGACGGCTGAGTCCGAAGGCCTAGGGATGCAATTGCGATGGCACAAGGGCCGTGAAGAATGTACTTGAGCGTTGACATTGAACATTGACTTTGGGGTGATTTGGCGATACCTCTCGATATACATGGGAAAATCGCATACCGGAACGTTCGCCCGCTTCAAGGCATCGTAGCTCTCGCGTGCCTTCGCATCGGGCCAACCGGCGATGGAAGACAACCTGGGAACTCGTGAGCACTTTGCGTGTCTTGACACCCGCGTAGAGAAGCATGCACTCATTAGGACGAGGACAACCCGCGAGCCTCGCCAGTGGAAGAGCAAGGGCGGCGCCAGTGTTGCTCACGACGAACTTGCAACGGTGAGTCCTGTACGGCCTGTTCAGCCCTCTTCATGTTGCGGAACAGAGCAGGAAGACGTACGTGCGAAATACAAAGAGGCCTGTCTAAGTCGCAGACGAGCAGTCCGAGCCATCGTTCGTGAGCCGCGTGGAACGAAGGCATGCCCGTGGTGTGTCACGGCGGAAGATACTCGTCAAGCGTCGCCGACCTTGAGACTCAAGAGACCATCGCGTCCCGACATATTCCCAGGCCCGGTGTCGCACCTGACTACGAGCCCATACGTATGCGCAAATCGGAGGCTCGGGTGCGCAACGTGTCTCCGCACAAGTCGGCCGAGCCGCAGTTGAATCGAAGCTGAGGGTACCGCTTCTGGCTGTTCCTATAGTCCTCATGTCCCACATTTTCTCGATGTCGTAAAACGCGTCCTGCGCTACCACAGGGTCTCGGACGCCGACATAGTCGTCTCTGCCGCGTTCTGCAGCTCTCGCATGAGCGTGCATGGTATCTCCGTGCCAATGAGCGGCTTACCTCCGTCTTGCAGGACCATCGATACTGTCGTGTCCGTGAAGCCTATGCGGGCACCTGCATCAGGTCAGCACATACGCGGGATCTCATGCGACACTGCCAGTGACGAAGTCATAGATTGTCACGCTCTATGCCGAGTGCCCCACACATGCGGTCGCCTCCGACTCGGCAGAAAATCACAGCATCGACTGCTGTATCAACCAGTTCCAGCCCTCGCACCCAGAGTCCTCCATGTGCCGCAAAGCCACTCTTTGCATGGTCCAAGGGAGCAGGGCGGCGACCCGAGCATCTCCGTATAGGTAATCGACATCGTAAAATTCCTGTTGCAGCCGAGCAACTGCAGCCGCTTGGCGCCCTCGATCATAGCGTCTTCGAGCACATGGCCATTGAGGAAGCTGAGGTTCCTGAAATGGTTGTGCTATAGTATGCTGCATGAACTCACATCGTCATTGTGCCATACGTACTCGATCCCAACACGTTGTGCCCAGGGTACGCCTCTCCTCGCGCTGTGATTGGCTGGAGGGGTGAAAAAGTTGCCTTCTTTCAAACGTCCGTCTCTCTTTCTTTATGTGCAAGCATACGTCCGCCTCCCCGCGGGGACACTGGGGTGCGCAAAACGAGTCCCTGCTCGCGATCGAGATCTCACCGGTCAGCGCTCAGGAGTCAGCAGTCACCTCCCACGCACTCGGCTATCGACTCCAACTCGTCTCTCGGCCATCTGCAGCATCCCCAGTCGTCTGCACCGCCTACCAGTTGTCAACGCGGCAGACGGTCAGCAACGCGTCTTCCGTCAAGATGCAGCCAACGCACCGCCGCGTGCCTGTAGGAGACGGACGCGTCCGAGTGTGGTCGGCCTGAGGTGCAAGGTGAGTGGCGGTATTCCACATTCAGACGAACAGTACTGACCTCGTAGTAGTCCCGCCCATCTGCCTTGTCACCCCGCGCTCCTCCTCGCAATCCACCCTCGCCGCGGGAGAGCTCTGCCACAAAAGAGCGCCCTACAAGTTGATAACGCGGCAGACGAGTACGCATCAGCAACCCATCCTTCTCTCGAAATGCGCAGCAAACTCACCCTCGCGCAGGCAAGTCCTTCTGCGCCCCGATCTCCACCGCCGCCCGTCTATGGCGAGGTGACCATGGCCGCAGCAGACCGTCTGGACGGCACGAAAGCCTGTCGATCCACGCGTACCAGTTGATAACGCGGCAGACGACTTCTACACGTCAACAACGCATCCTCGTGTCGGCGTGCTCGATGCACTCGCCTCGATATCCGCGCTCGCCAGCCTTCTGCACCGCGATCTATGGGCAGATGCGGGGGCGCGATAGCAAGGTGAGATTCTGTGTTACATGCAAAATCGACGCTGCTCACCCTAGTCCGCCATCTTCCCTCGCCAGCACCCCTCTCCCGCCTTGCTCGCCGGACGACGATCCGTCGTGTCTTTGCTGGTCGAACGTCCCTCGATGAACCACGTGCCCGGCTGGAGCACAGAACAGTGAGTGTCACTGTCTTCTCGTGCAGGAAGGAACACCATACTCACCTCGTCGTCCCTGCCTGCCTCGATTCCGCACTCCAGCTGTCGTCAACACCCGCGGCAAGGCAGATGCACTCGCCGCGTTGCCGTGCCCGCCGCCCTGCGTGCCATGCCCGCCGGAAGACATTCTATCGCGCCCTTGTCGGTCACGAGCTGCACGCGTCGCCCTCACCGGACGTCGATACGTTGCGTCTTCGTCGATCCGTCGCAGGTGCATGTGCCTGATGCGAACATCGTCGAGGGTCGTGTCGCCGGACGGCGATACCTCGTGTCTTCGGACGTCGGGGTGGTGGTGCTGAGATCGAGGTGATGAAGAACACGAGAGAGACGAGAGACAGCGAAGTACCGGGAGAAGAGGGAAGTTGCCAGACAAGACACGAGATGAGCTGCGGAGAAAACACGACGGAGTGCGTGGGCGAGATCGGGGATGCGCACAGCCTGGTGGTCGGGCGTTGCCCGATCGTCGACTCGAGACCTGTGCGCGCTGCCGCTCGACGGACGTTGATGTGTCGTGTCTTCATCGATCATGGGCAGGATGCCAACATCTTCGAGGGCCGCGTCGCCGGGTGGCGATATGTTGTGTCTCTGAACATCGCGGTGGTGGTGCCGAGGTCGAGGGGAGGTGACGAAGAGGGCGAGAGATGGGAAGACAACCCGACATAAAGGTACCGAGGGAGGTTGCCAGACACGACACAGGGCGAGCGCGAAGAGAACGCGAGGAAGGGCGTGCGCGCAATCGAGGATGCCCGCAGCCTGGGAGAGGTAGGTTCCCTGACGAATACCCTCTTGACAGGACGGACAAGCCAGCTCTCGCCTGGACGCACCGTCCGCATCGAGGAGACCACGCAGTTGACAGCGACACAAGACGTGCGCACGACTGGGAACACAGGTGAGCGGACAGTCGGGAAGACGGGACGGACGGGAAACGTACTGATTAAACGAGTCCAGTCCACACGCGAATCACCGCGCCGTCAACGGATCGGCAGGTGATGAGACGAGAAGGCACCAATGCCTCGTATACGCAAGTCGACGGGACGGCGAACATCGCTTGTCCATGCGGGCAGCATACCCCTCGGGGGAGAAGCAATCGTGCAAGTGTACAGCGCACGCCAGGCTACGGCGTGCGTGCGGCGACGCTATCGAGCAACAGAAGGTCAAGACAAATTGGGAGCGTAGACGGCTGTGACCCGACGTACCTGCGTCGACAATGCCTCGATTGGATGGCAACCAGTCGCTACGTCGTCCGTCCAGTCTGCGCAACAAACGTGCAATGTCGTGCTTGGAGGGATGGCCTTGTCTCGCAGAAGGGTACGACCACTGTGCACACATCTTCGCGCGAATAGTCCGTTGCGTGTGCGCAGAGTCGGTTGGTGCGACCCGTGGATACCAGCGAGACGACGGCGGACGCGAGCCAACGCAACAGCGCACGACGGCGGACATCGCGGGCTCGCTGTCCTGTGGACGCAAGGCGTTTGCGTAGTGCTCGCTGTGCAGACGGCTGGTGATCAGAGCTCAGCAGAGGTCCGCGCGTGATCTATGGAAACATACCTTCGAGGCCAACTCCTCGTGGAACGCACAGCCGGGTATGCTCGTTACCAACACTGGGGCATTGTGTGACGACGATGAAGGAGACATGATGAGCCCGTGCTGACCGGGCGGCGATCATTCGCTATATCGCTCGCCCGGTCGGCCTAGTGGGCGAGAGCGTGTGAGATGTCCGCGAGCGGGGAATAGCTGGATGAGGAAGGTAAGTGCTCGTGCGCAGAGAGTTTGGCAGCAACATACCAAGGGGGACCAAGTCTCGACCCTCGATGCCCGCCGTACGCGTCCTCCGAGTAGTGAGCTCGCCATCTGTAAGGGAGTGAGTGAGGCTCGGGGCGAGGACAGTCGGGGGAAACTCACCTCGCTGGGCCTTCACCCGACGTAGTGCCCGTTCGCTCGGGCGCGGGTCTACGAGATGGTCAGCGTGGTGAGTACATGGATTGAGTACCTGTACATACCAATGAGTAACTGGCCAGTCTCGGGATGGACTAGCCATGTGAGAATACTCGCTGCAATACATTGCGGCGAGTGTATCTGCGAACAGAGTGATTAGTGCATGTATCAGTAGCACTAGTAGTGAGTACTTACTGTAGCCAGGTCTCCGTCGAGGACACCTATGTAGATATGTAAGATAGAGATTGAATGAAAGATAATGTGAGACTTACCTGGGATGCTGTACAAGCATAGTTTGGGGATGTTACAAGGGGAGGATACCTGGGTACCCCTTAGTATTTAAGCTGGAGTTGGGTCCTCAAATCCGCGGCATGTTGCCTCAGCCTCGGGCTATGCCCGGGCAATCCTATTGTTCGCCCAAATTGGCCACCGGCGTTGTATGGCCGCTCTGATCGAACATCACTAACACCGACTGATGAGTGTTTCAGGGTCACTCCTCCAAAATGTGAAGCATCCTCCTAGAGCTGGAAAATTCAGGATTTTGGTGCTGAGTCTGAGTAGTCTTATTTTAATATTCCTGAGCTCCTCAATACTAAATCCTCAAGTTGACTTCACAGAAAATCGGACCATGAGACAATGCTTACATACTGACCATCTCATCAATCTTACAGGGTCAGGGTAAATTCGGAAGATACGCAACCTGGAATTTCCGCAGCCACCGGAGGTTGCTCTCCGCCCGAGCCTCGGCGCCGTGGACAGGCGGGGATTTGTCTGCCCAAGGCTGTCAGCCACTTCCGGGGCTCCCGGAATTAGCTCACACCCTTGAGCAGACGAGGCCCTGCACTGCTCTGTAAGTAACCTCACTGAATTGCATGTACAAGTTTTTTCGTAACTACTATATAGTTCTGCGCCCACTCATCGGGCACATACATTGCTCGGACATGTTTCGCGCGCGAGTGGTCACTCTGTGGTCAGTGACAATGACGAAAATGTTGTCCTCAATCAGCACTTACACCAGGCCCAGACTAATCACTCCTAGTGCAATACAGGGCACGAACCTTTTACTTCGCCGTTCACGGCCCTGCGATCGCGGGTTTGATACAATCGCTGGATGTACATCGCTCGAACGATACCTAATCGGGCAATTGCAGCGAGCTTGAGCTGGGAGGTGTTGCGGGCTTTGCGAGTGCACCTGGAATATGTTAGTAGACGTCTGGGTAGCTGTTTCTGATATGTCAGAAGGGCTACTGAGGCTCAGAGACGGTGCAAACGGTATCCGGGTGCAGGGAAACGGTGCGAAAGGCGATGGGATCGCCCAGATCGATCTCAGAACACGAGGCTACTCGACTGCAGCCTCGGGCGCCTATGTCACTCGTCGTACTCAATCCTCTTTCTTGGACATCCGTGGCTGGTGCACCTTCCTGGTCTCGGATCCACACACCCACCCACATGTCTCGCAGATACCTGGTGTATTTGTGAGTAAAAATTGAGGTATACGTCAGGGCTACAGCAAGTGAAGAGTCCGAGCTGACTGTGCTGACATTCATACAAATGCACTACAGGTATCCATACAGCGGCGGCGATGTTTGCGCGAAACATCCGAACGGCGCCCGTGCTAGCGCTCGTACATATCACATCAGTCAGCACATGTGCGTTGCCATACAACGGCTGACAATTGCTCGGCAGCCAGGAGCTCGCAATCGCACTTACACGAACTCGGCGGAAAACGAGAAGCGACGCTAAGATGCTTGGTTTCGGGCGGCGGAGACCGTGCGGAATTAGTACGGAAGCGTGATGCGATGTCCGCGGACTTCGCTTGCAGCGCACGGACCATCGCACGTAAGCAATCCGCTGGCAAAAATCCGTATAAGAGCGAGTCCTGTTGGTGCTGGAACACCATCCCACCGTCGCTCCCTTCCTCTCTCCCTCTCTGTGACCTGAGCTCGAGCTGGGCTGTCTTATCTTTCTGCAGCGAGTATCCAGTGAGTCACTGCAATGTAGCTTCTGCTTGTATGGCTTCGCTAAATTGCTTACTGCGGTGTTGCTTTGAATCCACATTCAATACGTCTTCGTACAATTCGCATAACAGTGAGATGTCATTTTATTCTAATGCTGTTGACTGGCTATTGGAATCTTTGACAGGCTGATACTCTCGCATCGAGACAGTCGCAGGCAACGTGCTTAACACAACGCGCCACCATTAGTATGTATTGATGTCTGGCATTGAATATTGACCGCACACTGACATATATCCTCTTCGCTTTCAGCCCACTGTTATTGTGTTTCTCACACAGCCGTGAAGCGACTCGGTGTGTTATCAGAACCTACAGGTAAGACTGTCACCGACCCTCGTCTTATTCGAGCCTGAGTACTGACCATTCCCATCCTGTAGCCCGGTCCATACCCCGCTGATCAGCTGCTGTAGTCAAGATATATTTCCCACCCAGTGACAGTCATGTACATTACTCTACAGTAGCTCGCGCACCCCGGCGTGGACAGCTCGACGTGACGACGTCCCAGTCCACCGGTCCGGACAGGGACCAGGCTGACCGGACAGGACACATGGGCACCGTCTCGAGATGCCACAGAGAACGCATGCCCTGGCTCTCGCGTCCCCGCGTAGACTGCGGTTTCTTCGGTCTAGCTCACCGTCTGCGCCCATTGCTCCGGCTGGAGACGGTAGCCTGCAGGTCGCAGAACGCGACGTCGGAGACCACACCCTTGTGGCCGTCATGCCCTCTGGGGTGTCTGTCTCGTCGACGTGTCACGTCCTTGGTTGCAGCCATGCGCGGGGAGGTTACCTCGCGACGTCCATTGTTCACGCCAACTGGGCACGAACTGATCCTGCTCAGATCGAGC